AGCAATGTGCAAATATCCTTAGCACTGTACCAGCCTTGTTGACCTAAGACTTTTGCACAATATTTAATCAATCAGTCTCTTTATTAAAAACAAACAGAAATAGGAAAAATGTACAAAAAACAACAGCAGCACACCATTTCCTCTTTAATCAAGAGTCTGTTTAATGTGGCATCCCTTGGCTGTTTTGTTCTAATTATTCTGAAATGTTCTGAAATAATGTGCTGTCTATCCGGCTTCTTTTAGCCTGTTCCAGAGTTTTTCTTTAGGTTTAGACTGTCATACCTTTCTTTTTCTGTTCAGATGATCTCCTACAGCCTCTATAATATTCAGGTCTGGACCCTGTGGAGGCCATTTCATGACTGTCTGTTTTATCAGCTGTTTTCTTTCTTCGAATAGGATTTCACTGCAATTAGAGGATCATTATTATGATGAAAATTAACACTATTACCACTCAAGTCCTTTCCAGAAGGAATGGCATGATGGATTAAAACTCATCTGCACTTTTCAACATTCAATCAATTTGTCCATCAATTCAAACAATATTGCCAAAACACTGGTAGAAATGCAGCTCAAGGGCAAACAGCCTCTCTCCAACATTGTCCATCACATGTTTCAAACAGCTAAACCAAAATAATTCAAACTCTAACCTAACTCCTATCCTAACAAATCATACATCAACTGAAAGATCATTTATTCACTCTGTATGAATCAAAATTGTAAAAAAAAAAAAAGCTGAAAAAAATGTATACTTATGACTGGTGTTGTGGTAAAGGGTCACATATATAATTTAAAACACAAATATCAGTAAAACAACAGATTTAATGTTGGCCTAAAACTTTTGCACAGTACTGTATAAGTAAAGATTAGTTTTCAGTATTATTATTTTATGTATATAGTGTATTGACAATCTTCTGGCTCGAGATTCACTTGGTTTCATTGGTCTCAGATGGTCTTTATTCACTTCCATTGATTTTTAGATGTTATAAACAGCTTGTTGTGCTGCTGGATTTTGCAAACTGATATTTGCTTATTCGGGGTATTCACAAGGTCTTTAAAGGTTCAGGACACCCTGGATAACTTTTTTTTATATTAACAGATGTGTGAGTGTTGAGCATCAGTTAAGACAATGTTAGCACCTGTCAGCTTTAATTGTGGGGAAAACTGGATAATTTTGAGCTTTTGTCAGCTAATTTCAGCTTCCGGGTTTAAAATGATTTTTGGGGCGGGATCAAAATCAGCGACGTAGCGCAGAACTGCAAGTGAAATGATGACGCGTCGGTTTCTCATTATTATTCATAGCGGAGTTTTCTTATCCTATGAGAAGAGCTGGCTGCTTAATTATTCATGAGACCTGCCAGACCTGCCAGAGTCAAGCCCGAGCTGTGTCACGGACCCACGGGCACACAGAATTTAGCCGTTCATGAAAGCTCATATGCGTTTGTTTCCATGATCCACGGGGTTTGTTGCATGTTTTTCCCCGCGATCTTGTCAGGGCCGATCATACAGCAAAGCTGTGTGTGTGCTGCTAGCATTTTTGTCGGGAGAGCAGCATGAGAATTAGAGAATGGCGGACGCTGTCTTTCATCAGGAGTTCGTTTACATTCAGACACATCACTGTGCTGCTGTGTTTGCCTAAATCCTCCAGATTACCAGCAGGGCTAATGGTTAAAATAGACGGGTCAGGAGACCTGCTGCACTGAGTCTGCTGGATACGGGAGGGAGAAGTCCCCATTTATACGGTTTACATGAACACACTTATCTTTATAATGATATAAGTTGTGGTTATGTGTATAGGAAATTACGAATAACAAATGTAGCAGGGCATTAAATCACTGTTTATTTCTTTGCATTTTAACTTTGTAAACTATAAACTCATGCGTCTCCTCACGGTTTGTCTCATTTTGTGAGCTAGCTTCATTCGCTCACGTTCTCCCCTGCTGGCCACGCCCACTCCTGCCCGATGCTGGCGGAGCTCCACGCCCATTAATCATGCATCTTTTGAAAAAATTCTGAAGTAGACTTTAACCGAAAGTGGGGGGTGTCATGGCCCTTTAAAAGTCTTAATGTCTTAAATCTCAAAAGCTAAATTTTAGCTCTTAAAAAGTCTTTAATCTACTAAAATGTTGCATTGTAGGTCTTAAATCTTTTTAAACGGGTCTTCATTTTTCTAAATACATTCCTTGTGGTATTAATTGCTTAAAAGGTCTCCATTTATTTACTGCTGAGGATACTAACCTAATTAGGGACCGAGCACCAAAATGGTGCGTAGGCCCTATTGGAATTGCTCCGTTTCTTATTATTATTCTTCGCCGGAATGAATCGCAGTTTTGAGGGGCTAAAAATGCCCGAAAACACACAAAACTTTGCACACGCCCCAGAAATGGCGAAAATTTATGTTTGTTATGGGTTTCGGTAGTAGGCGTGGCAAAATGACTCGACAGCGCCACCTATGCACTTTTGACGGACTGGCCCCCCAAGCAATGAATCACGCATGCATACGAAAATTGGCACACACCTCAAACATGCCAAACCTGCAAAAAAGTCTCTTGAAGCAGAATCTCAAACCCAACAGGGGCCCGGGTGCGAGGTCCCTATCATCGCTGCTTGCAGCTTTAATTTCTTTATTATTATTGTAGACTGAAGTAATTTACAGCTTTGTTTTGTTATAGGGTTATAGGGTTTGTGAATGGATATATTTGAAAAATTTATTAAAAAAAATATTCAAACAAAATTATTATGATTATTCCATTATTAAATGTATAAAATTTCAATAATTTTTTGATAGGGAAAGTGAAAATCTTTTCTAACTGGAATAATAGAAAAAAATCATTTAGCATTTAGCCTGGTATAAGTCTAAAATTTCATTCGCAATGGTCTTAAAAAGTCCTAATTTTACTTAGTGAAGCCTGCAGAAATCCTGTTACTATATTATTCTACATTTTATGTAAGTCATAAACACTTGTTTGTAGAGCAAGTAGTTAGACCAGGGGTGCCCAAACTTGTTGCTAAAGGGCCGGTGTCCTGCATGGTTTAGCTCCAACTTTCTTCAACACAGCTGCCTGGAAGTTTCTAGTATACCTGGAATGAGCTTTATTAGCTGGTTCAGGTGTGTTTAATTTGGGTTGAAACTAACATATGCAGGACACCGGCCCTCCAGGATTGAGTTTGGGCACTGTTACATTTTAGTCCCTTTTCTAGGGGTACGGAGACAAAAGTAACAAAAAAATAATAATTAGGATAAAAAATATATCAAATTTTAATTGGATCGAATTAATAATAAATTAATATTTAATAATGTGCGTGGAGAATCTCCTTTTTCTCTATCCCAGCATACTTTCACTTCAGATATAATAATAACAAAAAAAACTCTGAAAAGAGATTTCAAAAGAAAAATATTTTCTTTTATTCACTGTTTAACAAAGTTCAATATATTTTTACATATCCAGAAAGGGTAAAAAAAAAAAAAAAAGAGATACTTAAATGAAAATTCTCCTAACCAAAATCATGAGAGGGTAAGGCCAAAATAACCAACAAAACAAAAGCTTCCTAAATTGACAAAAAGTTCAAGATTTCTTTATATATATATATATATATATATGTATATATATATGTATATGTGTATATGTGTATATATATATATATATATATATATATATATATATATATAAAAACTCAAAATCAATGACAATGCTTTTACCCCACAACCTGGCTAAATCCAGAAACAGGAGGAAACTTAAAGGATGTAACAGGCACCCTTGAGTTAGACTATTTTCTGTCATTTATGTTATTCCTAGTCATTTCTCCCGTAGGCTACTGAATCGGGAGTTCTAAAACAATCATGCACTGTTGCATTGCAGAATAAGGTCAGTATAAACGCAACTGAACATGTTGGTTTTGTGGCAGAATGCATTTACTGTAGGTTTGTGGGATCTATTTGACCTATTTTGTTGTCCGGTTAAAATAGAGAAGTGATGACAGTTCTTCACAACAAGCCACGTGCCACTCAGAGTGTAATCACGCTAATGTAGTGAGCTGCAAAGTTGTTTAGCACTTAGTGTTAGGATTATGAACAATTCGGCAACATGTGAGATGGACAAGGGCATGTGAGATGGTTTGTGAGCACAATTAAATGCACACTGCATGCCGTATTATCTGATAATTGTATAAATAATTCCAAAAAGCAGGTAACTATGTAAAGAAACATAAACAACACAAAAATCTGATGTATATGCCGAGTTCAGCGGCTAATCAGCCGGAATCAGCTGAGGTGACATGACGGTGACCAGCGGGAGCTAGCTGTCACTCAAGTGACCACTGCCTTAATTATGCAAACCTAATATAAAGGAAACAGATGAGTTATACGGGAGGTTGCCGCTTGGTTACAACACAATTAAATACTTATTTTGCAAACTACAGAAAACGAGGCAACCATTTTAATCACAATTGACGAAGTGTAGGAATGAAAAACACTTACAGGATCTGAAGGAAGAAACTGGTCCTGACAAAGTCCCATACATTAGTAGTCTGTTGTGCTCCTTCATTTTATAACAAACAATCGGCGAATTCCGCGCTGCAGCGAAGGTTATTGCATCAGTTGACAGAAACAAACACTGCACTTGGTTGGCTTTACTGTGGTGTTGTTGTGAAAATTAATTTTAACCCTTTATTCCCCACAGCTGCATGTCTGGCCAGCTCTCAGTGATAGTAATTTTTCCATCATGATCAATCCTCTGATCTCTCGCACTCCGCTAGTGTCTGAAGGGAAAGGCGCGTTCACGTTTTACCGGATTCGGCACTTCATATTTGGCGATGTCCTATATCGACGTCGACGTGTGCAAACAAAGGACTAATCATTCATTTGACTCTTGAGTCGACGCACTAGAATCAATAGTTTTAAACACGGTGCACTTTCAGATTTAAACCTCAGCTGGGCGTTTCCATTCACTTAGAGCTGCATTACACACTTCAAACCCATAATAGAGGCCCTTTAACATATTTAGTCCATGTGGTCCCAACACAAATCGAGTGTGGAACCCAGCAATTTTTACAATGTAATATGTTAGTCAATGCTACCAGTTTCCAGGATTCTTCAAAATACCTTATTTTGTACAGAAGAATGAAACTCAAACAGGTTTGATTATTGAACAAACTTTAACACATTAACAAATAATTTTTTTTTTGCTTTAACCGACCACAGACATAACCAACAAACATTAACTAATGTCTATTGTTGTGAACCTTTACCAATGTTTCTTTTATATTTGACTCTTTCAGGCCTCTTTCTCTAATGTTCAAGCCCTGATGTCGCACTTTAACTCTATGCTGGCTCGACATGATCCAACCAACCATCAGGATCAGAATTCAGAGCTGATCCAGAAAATGTCCAAACTCAAACCTGTGGACATGAATAAACCCCCAGGCACCAGGCCTTCTCCAAAACCCCTAATAGTCAAACCCAACTTCACAGTCAACTCTCTAGAGAGCAGATTAAAAGCCACTGATGCCGCAGGATTGAAACTACCCAATAAAGCACAACAGGAATACTCTTTTTTAAAATCCCCCAACGCTGGAGCCACGCCGCCTGTCATGCACAAAATCAATCTCCAGAAAGACAGTCCTGCAGCTAAAGAAAGCACATCGGCTGATTTATCAGAGCCAAAAAAGAAAACTCTTCCCAGCTTGTTTGCTTTAGGAAAATGTCCTGCTAAACCAGCCAGACCTTCTCTTGTTGACCTCAGCAAATTCGGAAGAAACGGTAAGTTGTGATCAAAGTTATTCAATCACAGTTTACAATAAGGTTTCATTACATTGTAAAAAAAACAAAAAAAACAATGGGGTATATGCACAGCTAGTGTTTTTCAGCCAATGATGAACTTCCGATAAAAGCTTAACGTGACTTTTTTTAATTGCATAGTGTTCCTTTTACAGCATCGATGTTGAAATGTAATTGAAATACAATCAATTAAATAGACTTAAGCATCCTTTTTGTTGTTCAAGCTTAAAAAGAAACTAAAGATGCAGACCCTTAGTAGCAGCAGGCTAGCTCAGAAATTCCATTGAAAATACAGGGGTAAAATTAATTTCCATATGATAAAGACATGGCCCGGAAAAATATTGTGGTGCTGTTGTGAAAATGAAGGGAAAGACGCGTTTACATTTTACCGGATCCGGCACTTCATATTTGGTGATCCGTGCAGCCAAAGGATCCAATACATGTTAAAAACACGACCTGGAAAAATAGAATTTAATGCACTGCTTCTTGTTTGGTCCTATAGCCACTTTATATTGCATCTCAGCCAGGCAGTAAAGATTTTTAGAGAAATCAGATCTTAAACACAGCGCTTTTGTATGGGAGGACAATTAACCGAAAGCCCTGTGGCTGGCTGACTGAAATTAAAAGTCCGTGTTTGTATAGCCTATTAGTTGTCTTTATAAAAAATGAGTAAACGTTCCCTTAACATGATGAAGTAAATAAACTGTGCATAATTATGAAAAATTAAGGTCTGTGAACTCATTAATTCTAAATTACAACAGGAATGTTTAAAGGTCCCGTGAAGTGCTTTGAAATATGCATTTTTATTCAGTGTTTGATGTAATCTCAACTGAAACACGAAGACAGGGTGGGACAGAGTAGCTTCTCCCCTTTTTAAAAAACAAGCCAATAGTGTTTTGTTTCATCACCGCTCTGCCAGTGAGAGTGGTTGAGCTCAAGCTCATCAAATGAAAAGCATAAAAAGGGGGTGGGGTGTGATTGTCAGATACTGGAGAGCATTTGATTGGTCAAGATTTGATGAGAAACTGAAGTATGAGGTGACGTGGAAAAAAAGTTGATCCACTTACGCCCCATTCACACGAGGTGTCAGCATCAATGCTTCCTATTCACTTTGTATGGGCAACGTGAAGCATTGGAGAGCTGAACTTGTTGGCACTGCTTCAGTGGCGTTGCTCTCTGCAGAAGTTAGGAACTTTTTAAGCGTCAACGAAAGCGTCAGCCAATCAGATCGCTTTATGCAAATTCAGCTCAGACAGTAGCCGATTGCAGATTTGTTTCATTGGCTGACGCTGCTATGTCGATTGCGTCAACCCTAACTTCAGACACGACCTCTGTCAAGCGTTGACACTAAAGCCCCGTGTGAATCAGGCATAACGTCCCATTCACATGGGGCATCAGCGCCAACAATTCGAATTTACTTTGAATAGGTGACGTCAATTGTTGCCGAACTTAATAGTGGATCCGTTGGTGCAGAAATTGGGAATTTCTCAACTTTTCAAGCGCCAATCAGATCACTTTATGCAAATACCCCAGCTCAGACAATAGCCAATTGAGGACTAATTTTATTGGCTGATGCTGCTATGACGATTGCGTCAGCCTTAACTACAGACACTCTGTCCATCAAGCGTTGACGCTGAAGCCCCGTGTTAATTGGGCATTAAGGCTGATGTATACTTCTGGGTCAAGCACACGCGTATGGTGTAGTGCAGTCATTGCTTAGTTGCATAGCCCTTGCCATGACTGACACAGACGCTGACGCGCACTTCTCAAAAAATTAAATTACACGTCCCAATGACACGAATCGCAACCTCTGTGGTTGGTCTGCTTGGTAGTGGTGGCGAGTATGGGCGGTGCTAAGAACCTCCAAGAAACCTAACACAGAAACACCCGCGAAGAAACGCAACACAGAAGAACATAAATACAGTTGGTAGTAGGCCAGCTAGCGCTTCAGAAGTGTTATTGCAGAGCAACACAAACAGCACGCAGAAGTATAAATGCGCGGGTCATGCCGATCACTTGACGCCGAAGTATATTATATAGACGCCGAAGTTTTATATCTTCTATATCTTTGTCATTGTTTTGTACATCACTAGCTTATAGATATCCTTGAAGACTAACACACTAAAAAGCATTTTACTTAGTTTAAACATACATTTTTTATGTTTTGTTCTGTTTTGTATTTGTTTTGTTCTTCAGTTTGAATGTCAACGTCATAAAGGTGTGGAAAATGAAAACGGCAGTGAGAACGGAAGTGGGTCACACACAGTTTGACCACTCCATGTATTGCTGGGTGATGGATTATTTTTTAGAATGCATTTTGTTTATATACTTTTTATCTTCATTTTGACGCATTTTTTTGTTGTTGGAAAATTTGGTGTCTAATAAATAAGAGAATCGAATGAAAGCAAATCGAGTCTAGTGCATTCGAAAGCAAAGCCCAGGACTGTACTATAGCCCAAAACACAATATATAAAAATATAAAAGCAAAAGTTCATTCAGAAATACATTTACAATCAGTCATTTAGCAGATGCTTTTGTCCAAAGCGACTTACAAATAAGGAGGTATTTAGCAATTCAACAACAAGAGGCAATACAGTGCTGTCATTGGTTAGTGCTCAGAGAATTAAGTGTTTTTTTTTCATATAGAGAGGAGAGTGTTTCTGTAGGTGGTTTGTCAGGCCCACTCACCTGTGTGTACCTCATTTTGAAAAAAAAAGAAAACATCTAGAATTTCCCTGAATTTATTTGTTTGTTTGTTTTAATCAATTTCATAGCTGGTTAAAACATTTATTGCTGGTCGAATTTGTCAAAGCATGGCAGAATGTTTTAGGGACTGCCTAAACATTACAAACATTGCAACGTCTGTTAAAAACTTATGTACATGTGTGATTACACTTCACAGTAAAATTGTACAGTTCGGTTTATACAGTTTTTCTCACATGGTTTGTTTTTGTCAGTGTCAAATACCAACAACCCAGCTTTTTCCGTCCTCCCCCCACCTCCGATTGGTCATCCGTCCATCACATCGGTGACTCCGCCCCCTCCAGCTGACTTCTCATTTCTCCCTCCTCCTCCAATGTGAGTCTGATTATGAGATGTTACAGCATCAATGACTATTCTGGAGATGCATTAAACATCAAAATTCAATTCAAATATAGAATGTTTACATTATTATATTATATTATATTATATTATATTATATTATATTATATTATATTATATTATATTATATTATATTATATTATATTACATTACATTACATTACATTACATTACATTATTTTATATTATATTATATTTTATCATTATCTTACATTACATTATTATATTATATTATATTATATTATATTATATTATATTACATTACATTACATTACATTACATTACATTATTTTATATTATATTATATTTTATCATTATCTAACATTACATTATTATATTATATTATATTATATTATATTATATTATATTACATTACATTACATTACATTATATTATTACATTACATTACATTAAATTATATAATAATATATTATATTATATTATATTATATTATATTATATTATATTATATTATTATATGCTAATTAGTTCCTTAATTAATAGTTTATTTATCAACATGACACTATTACTGGGGATTAATTCTGATGTATACAATTACAATGTAACTGATTTATTTCATGAAATGCCACTACAATAAGAACGAACTATACAGCCAAACTGTTTCTACGTTTTGTCTGGAAATGCAATCAAATTAAGACAAAAATGTTTTAATTATGAAAAAGTTAATAATGACTTTAAAAAGCTGTGTTTCTTCTGTTGTGGACAGGGATCAGGAGGACTTTTATGATGACGCAGGCGTCATGGACCAAACACAAGCATCACTAGGTCTGTTATTTAACTTGGTTTTAAATTAAAGTTAAGTTAGCATTGTTGACTCACAGCAAGAATGTTGCTGGTTCGAGTCCCGGCTGGGTCAGTTGACATTTCTGTGTGGAGTTTGCATGTTCTCCACGTGTTGGTGTGGGTTTCCTCCGGGTGCTCCGGTTTCCCCCACAGTCCAAAGACATGCTCCATAGGAAAATTGAATAAACTAAATCGGCCGTGGTGTATTAGTGTGAATTAGAGTGTATGGATGTTTCCCAGTACTGGGTTGCAGCTGGAAGGTTATCCACTGTGTAAAAAATACGCTGGATAAGTTGCCGGCTCATTCCGCTGTGGCGACTCCTTATTATTAAAGTGGGAATGAATGATTCTCTTAATGGTATTGCATTAGATTTAAAGCTAATGGTCTAATTTTAAATAATGAGCACATGCAATTATTTCTGATGACATGTCACAGTAAAAGTGTACAATTCAGTGTTTTTTTTCTCATGTTCTGTTTCTGTCAGTGTCCAATACCAAAAACTCAGCACAAGCATTTTCCTTCCTCCCCCCACCTCCACCTGGTCATCCGACAATCACATCTGTGACTCCGCCCCCTCCGGCAGACTTCTCATTTCTCCCTCCTCCTCCTCCAACGTGAGTCTAATAATGACTATTCTTATATATATACACACACACACACACACCTCACTGGCCACTTTATTAGGTACACGGTACTAGTACCGGGTTGTAAACCCTTTTACCTTCAGAACTGCCTTATCCCTCATGGCACAGATTTGACAAGGTACTGGAAATATTCCTCAGAGATTTTGCTCCATATTGACATAATAGCATCACACAGTTGTTGCAGACTTATCGGCTGCACATCCATGATGCGAATCTCCCATTCCATCACATCCCAAAGGTGCTCTATTGGATTGACTTCTGGTGACTGTGGAGGCCCTTTGATTACAGTGAAGTTATTGTCATGTTCAAGAAACCAGTCTGAGATGATTTGCACTTTATGACATGGTGCGTTATCCTGCTGGAAGTAGCCATCAGAAGATGAGTACACTGTGGTCAGAAAGAGATAGACAAGGTCAGCAACAATACTCAGATAGGCTGTGGTGTTCACACAATGCTCAATTGGTACTACTGGGCAAAAAGTGTGCCAATAAAATATCCCCCACACCATTACACCAGCACCACCAGCCTGAACCACTGATACAAGGCAGGATGGATCCATGCTTTCATATTGTTGACGTCAAATTCTGACCCGACCATCCGAATGTTGCAGCAGAAATCAAGACTCTTCAGACCAGGCAAAGGTTCTCCAATCTTCTATTGTTCAATTTTGGTGAGTCTGTGTGAATTGTAGCCTCAGTTTTCTGTTCTTAGCTGACAGGAGTGGCACCCGGTGTGGTCTTCTGCTGCTGTAGCTCATCCTCCTCAAGGTTTGATGTGTTGTTCATTTAGAGATGCTCTTCTGCAGACCTCAGTTGTAACGAGTGCTTATTTGAGTTACTGTTGCCTTTCTATCAGCTGGAACCAGTCTGGCCATTCCTTTCTGACCTTTGGCGCCAACAAGGCATTTGCGCCACAGAACTGCCGCTTTCTGGAAATTTTGTCTTTATCAGACCATTCTCTGTAAACCCTAGAGATGGTTGTGCATAAAAATTCCAGTGGATCAGCAGTTTCTGAAATACTCAGACCAGCCTGTCTGGCACCAACAACCAGGCCACGTTTAAAGGCACTTAAATCACCTTTCTTCCCCATGCTCTGTTTGAACTGCAGCAGATTGTCTTGATCATGTAACGAGCTGTTGGACAGATGTACCAAAAAAAGTGGCCAGTAAATATATATATATATATATATATATATATATATATATATATATATATATATATATATATATATATATATATATATATATATATATTGGTCTGGTACAGGAAATCTTTGACAATAAATACATGTGTTTCCTCTGAACAGGGATCAGGAAGACTTGTATGATGACACAGGTGTCATGGACCAAACACAAGGTCTGTTATTTACCTTAGTTTCTAATAAATGTTAAAGGAATAGTTCACCCAAAATGAACATTTGAATGGTAATACAATGGTTGAATGGTTCTTTATTTGGTTATAAACCATTATGACTTTCTTTCTTCTGTTGAACATTAAAGAAGATACTTTGAAGTGAGCTAAACAACTGTTACCATTGACATCCATACACTACCTAACAAAAGTCGTGTCGCCTATCCAAGTTTAAGGAACAACAAGTAATAACTTGACTTCTAGTTGATCATTTAGTATCAGAAGTGGCTTATATAAAAGGCAAAGACCTCTAGATTCCACTTATTTTACTAAAATAAAATATGGTCATGTCTTGATTTTGAATGATTTCATTTGGACAGTAAAGTCTGACTTTGCTTAGACAAAAATATTGTTACTTAACAGAAATAATGCACAGAATAGAATATAAAGTCATGGTGCAGTGGAAACAGAATGAATATTGTGTCTGACTCCATCATGATCTTAGAGGACTGCATCCAAACATCTCTGCAATGACTCAAATCACTTATTAATAAAGTCATCTGGAATGCCAAAGAAAGCGTTCTTGCAGGACTCCCAGAGTCCATTAAGATTCTTTGGATTCATCTTCAATGCCTCCTCCTCCATCTTACCCCAGACATGCTTCTGATGGGCTGGCCAATCCTGGAGCACGTTGACCTTCTTTGCTTTCAGGAACTTTGATATGGAGGCTGAAGTATGAGAAGGAGCGCTATCCTGCTGAAGAATTTGCCCTCTCCTGTGGTTTGTAATGTAATGGGCAGCACAAATGTCTTAATACCTCAGGCTGTTGATGTTGCCATCCACTCTGCAGATCTCTCACACGCCCCCATACTGAATGTAACCCCAAACCATGATTTTTCCTTCACCAAACTTGACTGATATCTGTGAGAATCTTGGGTCCATCTTGGGTTCCAATAGATCTTCTGTATTATCTGTGGTGATTGGGATGCAGCTCAACAGATGATTCATCTGAGAATTCGACCTTCTGACACTTTTCCTAATGATCAACTAGAAGTCAAGTTATTTTTTTCTCTTAAAACTGGGATCGACGACAAGACTTTTGTCGGGTAGTGTAGTATTTGCTTTTACTATTGTGAAAGTCAATAGTTACAGGTTTTTAGCATTCTCTAAAATATCTTCTTTTGTGTTCAACAGAAGAAAGAAACTCCTAATGGTTTGAAACAAGTAATGGATTGATAAACGATGATTAATTTCTGTGCAGTGACTGAAAAAGTGTGTCTGCTTAATCTCTAAATGTGTTTGCACCAGATTCAAAACGAGTGGTCTAATTCTGCAGAATGAGCACATGCAAGCATCACATGCAAACATATTTAGACTTGAATAAAGTATGTGTGACTTGTCACTTCCTCCTTTGTTGTTGCTGGTGACTTCTCTACAAAAAAAAGTATGAATGAAATATTTTTTTTTCTTTTAGGAACTAGCAGCAATAATCCTGAGGTAAAGATGAATTCTACATTGTTTTTGCAAAGGTGACATCTTTTGAAGAGCAAAGCACAGTAAAATAGCATACAAAATGAAATGAAGGCCTAACAATACAGCTTGAGTGATTAAAACAGAATCATGAAATTATAACAGAAGATCAAGAAGTTTGTTTTAAGCAGTAACTCATATCATGCTGCTGTTTTTGTTTGTTGTGTAGGAGGAGGAGGAGGAAGAGATGTATGAAGATCTTGAACACAACTGGTGAGAGCTCTTAATTTTAAACAGTGTGTGCGGTATTTATTGTGTGTTATAATTGCATAGTTGTTGTTTTAACGGTGCACAAGCTGACAAAAAAACATGTCTAGATGTAACCCCGCCGGTTTCACGCCACCCAACCCGCTCCGAGCTGGTATCGAACCGGCGGCTTTCCGCATGGGAGTCAGTTGCTCTACCAAGCAGGCTAAAGACTATGACCTCTAGTGTCTGTCGCTAGAGCACCTTTAGATGTCAGAGGAGTGAGGTTTACCTGCACAGCACTTACTAGCTGGCCTTTGTTACACTCACCCCCCCAATCCTCACTCCCATCCAGGTCACGGCACCAATGTAACCCCGCCGGTCCTACACCACCCAACCTGCTCCGAGCTGGTATCGAACCGGCGACCTTCCACATGGGAGTCGGTTGCTCTACCAAGGAGGTTAAAGACCATGGCTAAAGACTCATTAGAGCACCTTTAGTGGTCAGAGGAGTGAGGTTTTACCTGCACAGCACTTACTAGCTGGCCTCCGTTACATAGACACTGGAAGCATTGATATATGATGATGCCTATTAGAATGAGCGGATAATCCCAGTTATGGAAGCAAAAAATATCCCTGTATGAGTTTGATTTTATATTTATTAGCTGCACTGCCCAGGAAAAAGCTGCTCTCCAAAGGGGGATTAACACAGTGCATAAAATCACTGTCCTTAGAGGAGTTGTTCAAAGCCGCTGCTACTGCAAAGCACACAGCATCCTGAAGTACTCTACCTTCGCCACAGTTACTCACTGAAGCTAAGCAGGGCTGAGCCTGGTCAGTACCTGGATAGGAGACCACTAGGCAACACTAGGTTGCTGTTGGAAGTGGTGTTAGTGAGGCTTGCAGAGGGCGCTCAACCTGTGGTCTGTGTGAGTCCTAATGCCCCAGTAAAAGTGAAGTGGACGCTAGACTGTCAGTGGGCGCCGTCTTTCATATGAGACGTTAAACCGAGATCCTGACTCTCTGTGTTCATTAAAAATCCCATGGCACTTCTTGTTAAAGAGCAGGGGTGTAACCCTTGTGTCCTGGCCAAAGTCCCTCTATCGGCCCTTATGATCATGGCCTCCCAATCATCCCCTTCCACCGAATTGGCTCTATCACTGTCTCTCCACTCCCCCTATAGCTAGTGTGTAGTGAGCGCACTGGCGCCGTTGTCCTGTGGCTGCCGTTGCATCAGCCAAGAGGATGCTGCACACTGGTGATGGTGTGGAGAGACCCCCCCTCATGATTGTGAAGCACTTTGGGTGTGTGGCCATACACAATAAATGCGCTATATAAATACACATTACATTACATTACATCCAGCACACCATCTATTTCAAATGTTACCTTCGGGGAGGCGATATAGGAGCATAAAAATCAAAACAAACAGTCTAAAAATTGTACATATTCCAGGGCTGTTGCAGTAATGAATGGACATTAAATTGTGTGTGTTTTCAAATCGTACTCAATTTTTAATCTTACTCACTTTTTAAATTGAAAGCTGCTTGAAAATGCGCTTGCCACTTTATACATGCAGACATTAAATTGTATGCCTTTTTGGCCAACATTTTACCCACTTTTAAACTTGAAAGCTGCTTGAAAATGCACTTGCTACTTTATGTATACTTACTTCTATCATTGTTTTGTTACTACTTTTATATATGTAACGTAGCACTAACAAGCATGCCGTTTTCCCGCTTGCAAATATAAGATTGACTTCATACAATAACACTACAAAGAAGATGATAGTATTAAGTGAAATACAGTATCAACATCCTAGTATCTGTGAGTTATATTAACATAACTTATTTACTTACAGTTGAAGTCAGAAGTATTAGTCCTCCTGTGAATTTTTGTTTCTTTTTTAAGTATTTTCCAAATGATGTTTTACAGAGAAAGAAAGTTTTTACAGTGTTTCCTAGAATTTTTTTTCTTCTGGAGAAAGTCTGATTTGTTTAATTTCAGCTAGAATAAAAGCAGTTTTAAATTGTTTTAAACCGTTTTAAGGTCGATAATATTAGCCGTCTTAAGCAATATTTGTTTTTGATTGTCTACAGAACAAACCACTGTTATACAATGACTTGCCTAATAAACCTCAAGCCTTTAAATGTCACTTTAAGCTGTATAGAAGTGTCTTGAAAAATAGATTGTAAAATATTATTTACTGTCATCATGGCAAAGATAAAATAAATCAGTTATTAGAAATGAGTTATTAAAACTATTATGTTTAGAAATGTGTTAGAAAAAAATCTCTCCTTTCGAAAAATATACAGGAGGGCTTATAATACTTTACATGTATAAAAGTAATATAGGATTTTTTTGTTTGTTTGTTTTCCTGCTGTTTCTTCTGCATAAACAAATCTGCAGCAGAACTTTTGTGCATTTTAGAGGAACGCAGTTTTTCATCTTTCAAAGTAATTGGTGGAAATCGTTAGACAATCGATTCAATGATCCCTTATAAAATCAGTAACTTGCTTCATTTCCTAATGAATCATCTGTTTTGAATGAATCGTTTGAATAAATGATTCAGTGAATCACTCTTTAAGACAAAGGCTGCGTCTGAAATTGCATACTTGCGTACTATTCATTCATTCATTTTCTCTTTTCGGCTTAGTCCTTTTATTAATTTGGGGTCGCCACAGCAGAATGAACCGCCAACTTATCCAGCATATGTTTTATGCAGCGGATGCTCTTCCAGCTTCAATCAATCACTGCGAAACATCCATACAAAATCAAACACACACATACACTACGGACAATTTAGCTTGTCCAATGTACCTATAGCGCATGTGTTTGGACTTTTGGTGGAAACCGGAGCACCCGGAGGAAACCCACACCAACACAGGGAGAACATGCAAACTCCACACAGAAACACCAAGTGACCCAGCCGAGGCTCAAACCAGCCACCTTCTTGCTTTAAGGCGAATGTGCTATCCATTGCGCCACCATGCGGCCCTCCATACTATATAGCACACTAAAAACAGTATGCCAGCTGAATAGTATGTCTGAATTCATAGAATTCGAAAAACAGTAAGCGAGAAGTACCCGTATGACCTACTACTTCTGGCTATGTTCTGAAGTGCGAATTCGATGCACGCTATGCTATCCCATGATGCCCCGTGAGAAAATTCTTGAAAGGGAGTGAAGCGGCGCAACTGACACAGGAAGATTACATGATTATGACAAAACGGTGGATGTAGAACATCCGAGTTCCATTCATACTACTGGCATCTATACTGTATAGCAGTGTTTCTCAACTGGTGGGTCGGGTCGTAGGAACATTTTCAGTGAGTCGCTGAGTGTGTGGTCAAAAAACAACAAAGGTTAATTTTTTTACTTATTTTGCTTATTCCAGACTTTTATTTTGAAATTTGTGCGCGACAACCCTACCGTTTGACATGTGAAATTTCATTTAATTATAGCAACAAATATGTTGAAGCGCAAGTACGACCCCGAATATGTGAAGTATAGATATATATATTGACGACAAAAAAAGACTTAAAGCTTTAGTGTCATAGTGAGGTGCTCTCATCAGAGAGCATGAAACCTTCTAAATTAAAACGACATTTAGAAACCAGACAACATGTTTTATCAACAGTTCAGTTTAGTTCATGGTAACTAATCATTTCCTTACCCTAAACACTGTTTTTCAGTATTTGTTGTTTTTACTTTGTAATATTTCTATAATTTGATCCATTTTTTTTTAAATGACAGCAAAAAAAATATTGTTTATTTGTAAGTCTCGGTGAATGTCTTATGATGTATCTGTCACTACTTGTGTATGTAAACAAATAAAAACAAATGAATTGTAATTCATAAAATTGTATTATAGTTTCTAAAAATTTGAGTTGTGGCTTGATGACCATGTAAAAATGTGGGTTTCATGGCCAAACCAGTTGAGAACCCCAGCTGTATAGAACAGACTTTTGTAGCGGAGTATCACGTTCAAACTCAAATGCAGTATCTAATGTGTAGGAGGCAATTTTGGACGCAGCCAGAGACTGTCATTTTGTTTATCCACGAAAGGCTTAAGTAAAAACAAAAAGAAAAACTGCACAAACAACACACTTTGCATGTTTAATTGTACTGGGCTGTGGCTGGAAGGGCTACAGCTGCATAAAACATATGTTGGAATAGTTGACAGTTCATTCCACTGTGGTGACCCCTGATGAATAAAGGGACTAAGCTAACGGAACATGAGTGAATAAATAAATTAAAATAATAATAATATGCAATACTATTGAAATAATTGCATGGTGGCTCAGTGGTTAACACTGTGGCCTCACAACACGAAGGTTGCTGATTTGAGTCCTGGCTTGGTCAGTCAGCATTTCTGTAAACCTCGTGTTGGTGTGGGTTTCCTCCGGGTGCTCCGGTTTCATCCACAGTTCAAAGACTTGCGCTATAGGTGAATTGGATGAACTAAATTGCCGTAGTGTGTGTGTGTGTGTGTGTGTGTGTGTGTGTGTGTGTGTGTGTGTGTGTGTGTGTGTGTGTGTGTGTGTGTGTGTGTTTGTGTGTGTGTGTGTGTGTGTGTGTGTGTGTGTGTGTGTGTGTGTGTGTGTGTGTTTGTGTGTGTGTGTGTGTGGGGGGGTGTGTGTGTGTGGGTGTGTGTGTGGGTGTGGGTATATGGGTGTGTGTGTGTATGGGTGTTTACCAGTACTGGGCTGTGGCTGGAAGGGCTACAGCTGCATAAAACATATGTTGGAATAGTTCACAGTTCATTCCACTGTGGTGATCCCTGATGAATAAAGGGACTAAGCTAACAGAACATGAGTGAATAAATAAATAAAAATTTTTTATTGTTTTTTTTATTATTCATACTTGTAGAGTTTGTGATTTGCACACATTCTTGAACTAAAGAATATTCAACTTATTTTTTTATAATTATTATAGTTAGTCAGTGTATTGGAGTGTACTAGCCTGTAGTATAGTACACTGTACTTGGAGTCAATTGTACTAGTCGGTTGGTAAACACTGCTCATATTTTTTCTTTATTTCTATATTGATGCACTTTAGCAGAGGATTCAAATCTGCTCAAATTCTATGCTTTAATCTACAGGCCGGAAAACAACAAAGACACAAAGGAGGAGAAGACGACCAAAGAATCAAAGGAGCTCAAGAAAAAGCTTGAAAAAGAAGAGAAGAAACGCTTGGAGCAGGAGAAGAAGGAGAAGAAAGAAAGAGAGAAAAGGCAACAGGAGACCATGAAAAAGTTTAAAGTAATCGCAGATATATATATATATTTTATTATTCAATGACATAGCGTTTATTTTTAATTTAAGTTAAATAATATTTTTTTTTTGTTGATTTCAAAAAAGGAAAAACATATGGACACAACTTTTTACTTATACATTAGTTGACATTAGTTATATTACATTTATTTACTTATATGATTTGTTTATATTATTGTTATACTGTATACAGTGCTCAGCATACAGTATATGAGTACACCCCTCACAAATCTCTCATTTAAATTTATATTTTTATTAGGAAGGTCTACAATATCATATTTGTGCATATACATTAGATTAGTCAGTACTGAAGCCAAATCTGGAGCTTATCTAACAAAATAACCGTCCAAAAACTAGTACAGCCAACTGTATATTTCATAGAACAATATTAAATGCAAATTTAAAAAAGAGGAAAAATCAAGAAAGCAAAAAAAATTTGACAAATATATTAGAAATTGTGTATGTTGTAATTTTTTTTTTGCAATGTTTTGCTTGAATATCAGTGTATCATCTTTCAGTTTGTAAAGATGTTTGGTGACTAAAATATTATTTTAATTAATATATTTGTTTAATAAATCTGTTTTGTTTAAATAAACCAATATTTATTGCCTATATTCACTGAGAAATAGAGGAAAATATTCATTTTCAAAATAGGGTGTACTTAATTATGCTGAGCACTGTACACACACACACACACACACACACACACACACACACACACACACACACACACATATATATATATATATATATATATATATATATATATATATACTTTATATTTAAAAGAAATACTGATGATAATAATTTAATAATAATAATCAATAAATGTAATTTCAAATTAATTAAATTTTTTTTTTATAAAAGTTATAATAAACTATTAAGTTTGAACGTTTAATTTTGGTTTTAGTATCTATGAAGAGTCATGTGAAAATATTTTCTACATTGAACATTTTTCTTAGCCTCTTATGCTTATGTTCAGTTATTTTATGTTAAAAGCAATGAAAATAATCAAGACATAGGAGGCTGCGAAAAATGGTAATTTCAGATAACACTTAGATATATATATATATATATATAGTTGAAGTCATGATTATTAGCCCCCGTTTAATTTTTTCCCTAGTTACTGTTTAATGGAGAGCAGATTTATTCAACACATTTCTAAACATAATAGTTTTAATAACTCAACTCTAATAACTGATTTATTTTATCTTTTTAATGATGAGAATAAATATTATTTCATTAGATAATTTTCAAGACACTTTTTTACAGCTTAAAGTGACATTTAAAGGCTAAACTAGGTCAATTAGGTTAACTAGGCAGGTTAGGGTAATTAGGCAAGTTATTGTATAGCAATGGTTTGTTCAGTAGATTATCGAAAAAAATATATAGCTTAAAGGGGGTAATAATATTGACCTTAAAATCGTTGTTAAAAAATTAAAAACTGCTTTTATTCTAGCTGAAATAAAACAAATAAGACTTTCTCAGTCTTATTATTATTATTATTATTATTATTATTATTATTATTATCATATTATCAGACATACTGTGAACATTTCTGTGCTCTGTTAAACATCATTTAGGAAATATTTAAAAAAGAAAAAAAAAATCAAAGAGGTGCTAATAATTCTGATTTACACTGTTTGTGTGTGTGTGTGTGTGTGTGTGTGTATTAATATATATATATATATATATATATATATATATATATATATATATATATATATATATATATATATATATATATATATATATATATATATATATATAAATATGTGTGTATGTATAGATATGTCTTTCGATTTCTAAAAAAGTGACTAAAATTTTATTTTAATAAATATATCTTTTTCATAAATTTGTTTTGTTTAAATGCACCAAAATATTTTACATATATTCACTAAGAATGGATAAAAATATTCATTTTCAAAATTAATAAAATATGATAATTAAATTCATATAATTCAAATTATAATTAAACATATGCCGGAATAGTTGGTGGTTCATTCAGGGACTAAGCCGAAGGAAAAATGAATGAATGACGACATACACGTGTATATATATACACAGTATGTTTATATAGAGAGAGTGCTTAGTTGTATGTATCTTTTACATGTCCTAGTATTGAAAATTGTACCATTAGCAATCTCACTGTCATCTCTCCTCTGAAATTGTAGATCAAGAGTCCGATTGTGGTGCTGGAAACAGTGAAGGTCAGAGTTGATCACAAGGGTGGGAAGAACAAACTTCCACTCAAGCAGGGAGAAAGCATTGAAATTGTGCGCAAAACTGAAAACCCAAAAGAATATTGGCTCGCCAGAAACACAGAGGGCCACTGTGAGTCTGTGTTTGACTTCATGTTTGACTAGCCTTGGTCAGCTGCTGTTTTGACATTGTGTTGGCGTGTTTTGTTTTTGTCTTCCGTACAGATGGTTTTGTGAAGCCTGACACTCTCGATGTCGTGCATGACAGATTGAAAGACACAGAGGACGAGCAGGAAGTGTATGATGATGTGGGAGCAGACGATGAGTACGAGAGTAACCACTGTAGATTTTTAACATTGTTCATGCTAATTTGATGTATATATATTATTAATAAATCTCTCTTTTTTCAGTCCACCAGATGGTGAGTCATTGCATTATAATTCATTATTATATACAGTTGGAGTCTGAATTATTAGCCCCCGTCTATATTGTTCCCCCAATTTCTGTTCAACAGAAAGATTTGTTCAACACATTTCTAAACATAATAGTTTTAATAACTCATTTCTAATAACTGATTTATTTGATCTTTGCCATGATGACAGTAAATAATTTTATTTTTTAAGATACTAGTATTCAGCTTAAAGTAACATTTAAGGGCTTAACTAGGGTAATTAGGGGAACTAGGCAAGTCATTGTATAACAGTGGTTTGTTCTGTAGACAATCCCAAACAAATATTGTTTAAAGGTGCAGTATGTAAGTTTGACACCCAGTGGTTGAACTAGGTATTGCATTCCTGGATCAAAACAAACGCAAGCGCATGTTTCCAGATTGATGACCAACAGGAGCAAGTCTGATGATTGAGCTTTAAAGGTTTAGATTTAAACAATGTTGTAAATAAAGGCAACGGCACACGATAGAAGGAATATGTTCCATATTAAAAGGAGTTTTTGTTCTAACCAGCACCTCAAATTGATATATTAGAAACCCTAGAAGTTCTAATTGATATATTAGAAGCCTCTATTTCTCACAGGTGAGCAACAGGAAACTGACAATGATCGTCTCAGGTACACCTCATGTGCTCTATTTAGTGTTAAATGCTAATAATGTGAGTTTGAAGGTCATTTTACATGACATTTATTACCATACTACTGAAAGCAGCAGCTGATAGTTCACCTTAGATCTTGACAATAAAATAAACCATTTAAAATTCACCTTCAAAATTGTGACTCAGGGTAAACCAACACATATCTTTGATTCAGCATGTACTGTACATTTAGTAATGTTAACAAGTGTGTAATATGTACTAAATAGGTTTTAAACCTTACCATTTCATTGGAGTGGAGTGAGTGCACTATTCTGTGCTTCTGAATGGCTGTTAAATTTCTGTCGTGTTTCGTCCAGGGCAAAATAGCCAAATTGCAAATCACTGCAAAAATGTTGTTAGGACATGGTGTTACAATGTAACCTGATCACCTAATGTTTATGTTTGTAATATTTATATTATTTGCTAAATAATAACCTCACGAGGAACTCTGAATCTGTGCCTCATTTCGGAGTCTGCTACTGTCTACCTGAGGTCACATTTCGGTCACGGAAACATGCTTTGAAAGCCTTTCTGAATTAATGAATGAATGAAATACACTGTTTTCCTCCAAGGCAACCCGGGTGCTGAAAAATGATTGGCTAAACTGGCATTGGGCGGGATAAACGAACCAAAACAAAGACAGACGTTCCAACACATAACTCACATTTTCAAAGCAGAACATTTGATTTAAGCATTGTTTATCAGATAAACAAGAATGTTATCTTAGCATGTTTCTTAAATATCTGCAAACATATTATAGTATTTGTATGCTTTAGAAGAGTCAAAAACCTACATACAGCACCTTTAAGAGGGCCAATAATATTGACCTTAAAATGGGTTTAAAAAATAAAAAATTGCTTTTATTCTAGTCGAAATAAAACAAATAAGACTTTCTCCAGAAGAAAAAATATTGTTGGAAACACTGTGAAAAATTACTTGCTATGTTAAACATTATTTGGGAAATAATAAAACATTAATTCACAAGAGGGCTAATAATTTTGACTTCAACTGTGTGTGTGTGTGTGTGTGTGTGTGTGTGTGTGTTTGTGTGTGTGTGTGTGTGTGTGTGTGTGTGTGTGTGTGCGCGCGTGTGTGTGTGCGTGTGTGCGTGTGTGTGTGTGCGTGTGTGCGTGTGTGTGTGTGTGTGTGTGTGTGTATGTGTGTGTGTGTGTGTGTATGTATATGTATATATATATATATATATATATATATATATATATATATATATATATATATATATATATATATATATATATATATATGTAATATAAAAAATATATGAAATATTTACTGAGAGTCAAGAAAATGTTCGCTAGAAATGATTTTTTGGTTTGCCCTTGTTTACATTGATAGCTGCTGAAGGCAATGAGGATATTTACGAGTGTCCAGAAGATCAACAAGCTGATTTCAGGTAATTGCATATTTTATGTTTAAAATAATTCCTTTCAATTTTTTTTATTGGTCTTTTGTATGACGATACAAATTAAATATTGAGAGGTAAACAGTAATGTATTATCTATTATTAATCCCACACCCTAACCTTTTATTCATTAAATCACCAAAACAATTAATACATAAATACCAAATTAAGAAAATTAAATACATAAGAACAGAAAATTAAATGCATAAGAACGTTTAATATAATTTAAAGGTGGCATAGAATGCATTTATGTATGCAATATGTTAAATAGTTTTCTACTATGTGGCTAAGGTAAGTGCAAAAAGTCTTCAGAAATGGTTTTACAGGTCCATTTCCAACCATATGAATTGGTTTTAAATTGATACTAAAAGATGTCAAAGATGTAAGTATCAGTCTGTTAGTCTTAAGGATGTCGGTACGCTACTGTGTTCCAAAACAGTGACACTTTGCGCTTAGAAGATGTGAAACCAGGTGACGCAGTAGCTCAGTGGTCAGCACTGTTGCCTCACAGCAAGAAGGTCGCTGGTTCGAGGCCTGGTTGGGTCAGTTGGCATTTCTGTGTGGAGTTTGCATGTTGTTGTAGGTTTCCTTTGGGTGCTCCGGTGTGCCCCACAGCACAAAGACATGCACTATAGGTGAATTGAACAAACTAAATTGGCTGTAGTGTACGAGTGTGAATGAGTGTGTTCGGGTGTTTCCCAATACTGGGTTGCAGCTGGAAGGGCATTGGCTGGATAAGTTGGCGGTTCATTCCGCTGTGGAATAAAGGGGCTAAGCAGAAGGAAAAGGAGTGAATGAATTAAATAACAGCTTTTGACCAATTGTCAATTTATGAAAAAAAATAATGTCTTTTTTTGTTTGAATTTTGGAAGAAATGTTATCATTCTTTTATAGATTAAAATCTAATATTTTCATTTGACTTTATAAATCCAATAAAACCAATTTTATCTGCTTTATTTTTACTGCTGTTTTTCAGCTTTCCCCCTCCACCTCCTTCAGATGGTTTTGAATTTAATTGTGAGGGTGAGTAACACTGCATTTTAATTGCAGCCAATATTGGAATATTATTAATTAATTTCTTTTAAAATTTGATCACACAGCACAACATGGCACTAGCAATGCCAAAACACTGGTTTGATTTCACAATGCATGAACAGTCAATGTGCAAAATATTATTAAGTGAATTATTATCAGTTTACTGGAGTTAATACAGCTAAACGCATAAATGTGCATGCTCTGAGATGTGTTTTTGGTTTAATGTTGAACAGGTGCCAATGAAGAAACGTATGATGATGTGCTTCAAGCAGATTTCCCTCCTCCTCCTTCTTCTTCTAGCAGGTTTGATTATACATGTTATCCCAATATGATCATAAAAACATGATAATATGTGGGTGCTATGACTGGTTGACCTGTCAATCAAACTGTGCAAACTGAGTTATACAGTCGAAGACAACATTATTAGCTCTGCTGTGAAATTGAAATTCTTTTTCGAAAACTTCCAAAGGCTGTTTAGAGAGGAATAATTAAATATGTTTTTAAACATAAGAGTTTTAAGTACGCTAGTTTCTAGTAATTTATAATTCAATTTAATTCATCAATGTACACTTAAAAAATGATTCATTGGATTTACTTATTTCTTAAGTAAGTGGTTGCAAACAATTTATATGGACTGAATTTAAACAAAAACATTAAGTTGAACATTAATAAATTTAATTTGTTTGTTAAAATTCAGCCCATATAAATAGTTTGCAAGCACTTACCTAAAATTTTGTTAGTAAATCACATGAATCATATTTTCAGTGCACGTTACAACATACTGTAGCTTAACATAGATGGAAAAAAAGACATGACAATATTTCGGATTGTGGAAACATCCTAGCATATCAGGCAGGCAGGAGAGTATGCTGCTGTAGTTCTAGTTAAATTAAAATGGATTCAGTTCAGGTTTAAACATTGGGCTCTATTTTGATGGTCCATACGCAAAGCGCAAAACGCAGGGCGCAAATGCTTTCAGGGCGTGTCAGGATGCGTTTTTGCTAATTTAAGGACGGGAAATCTGCCTTGCGCTTCGGTGCATGGTCTAAAAGGGTTGAGTTTATTTTCTTAATGAGTTATAGGTGTGTTTTGAGAATAAACCAATTAGAGTCTCATCTCCCATTACCTTTAAGAGTCAGCTGCGTCGCGCTAAGAGCGCATTCGCTATTTACAGGACACAAAGTAAGTTTAAGTGGAAAAAATTAGCTTTTCACTAGCAAACAGTTGACAGTTAATAGTTTTTAAACAAAAAACTGTTAAACAGAGCATCTACTGCGTGAGAATGAGGGATAATAGATCACTTTGGATAGGGAAACCTTTACGCACAGACATCAATTAGCCTATAAATAAATACTTTTGTTTGTTAAGCGCAAATATTCGTTTCAAAACTATTTCTTAATTCAGTTCTAATTTCCAGCAAACGAATAATAGAATAATAATAACGAAGTGTGCTCAAAAACCTGAGTTATATCCTAAAACACATGCTGTGCCCCATATAGTCTAAAACCTGACAGGTGGGCAAATCTAAGCTTGTTTTTAATAAAACAAATATAAATATGGATATAATAAATAATACTGCTAATAATAATAATAACAACATTTTACAAAAGCAAATTGTTATGAATGAACTGAAAAAGCCTCCCGAGATGAAGAAGACATAAAAGCAGTGATTTTTCATATTTATGTAGGCTAGAAAATAATATGTTTTGTAATATTTTAATCCTTTATATTTATATCCTATATCTATTCTTATTATATCCTATATATATCCTTAATATTTACATTTTTTCATATGTAAAGATATTTGCCTATTGCTCTCTTGTGTGTATTAAGCAGTGCGTAAGCAAGGCGCAACTCTGCGACGGAGTTTAGACCGGGTTAGTTTTGGTCTAATGAAAAATCTATTATAGTTTCTCAAAATAGCGACGCGCCAGCGGTCCGCCACAGAACGCCTTCCTTTTTAGACCAGAACACCTATGGGCGCACAAATGAGCGCTAATGCATTTGCTATTTAAACAGCGTAGCGCAACGCCTCAAAAAGACTATTGCGCCGCGTCTTGCGCCACACTGCACCGGGTGTATGATAGGGCCCATTTTCATTATTAGGTTTAGTTCAGTTTTATTTAGTTCATTTTAATACAAATATGCTTTACCAAAGCAAGCCAGGGGCGATAGTAACAAGGAATCAAATGGATGCAGGACGTATCAAAGATTATGTGAACCTCGGGATAAGGACTGACCAACATTCAATTCCTCTTTATTTCTGTAGCGCTTTTACAATGTAGATTGTGTCAAAGCAGCTTCACATAGAAGATTATAATAAATTGAAACAGTGTCGGTTCAGTTTTGTGTTAAAGTTCAGTTCAGTGTGGTTTAATATTCAATCCTGAGAGTTCAACACTGAAGAGCAAATCCATCGATGCGCAGCTCTACAAGTCCCGAACCTAGCAAGCCAGTGACGACAGTGGTGAGGAACAAATTTCACCATTTGATGAAAGTGAAAGAAAAAAGCCTTGAGAGAAACCAAGCTCAGTTGGGCACGACCATTTCTCCTCTGGCCAAACGTCTTGTGTAGAGCTGCAGTCTAGGCGCCTGAGGCTGGAGAATGCTGAAAGTCAGTCGTGGAGAAGCTGCAGGTGGGAGAGGTCACCTGCTGGTGCACAGGCTGGCCCTTCAGGATAAATGCGAGGAGTCGTCTGTCACTGGGGTCTTACAGGATTCAGTCTCATGCTCTCCACTCCTCCATAACCAGTGTTAAGGATACTGCCTGTCCACTGGTAATGGAAACCTCTGGAATAATAAAAAAAGACTAACATAAGCGCAGATTTTGTTCAAACTATAATGTCTTTTGGTAAGTGTTCCCAGCTCCGGTTACCCTAAATAATGCAGCATAACAATCCTTTAGAGGATTTGGATTTCATAAGATTTGCTAATGTCTGCTAATGCAAAGAGATGTGTCTTTAATTTAGTTTTAAACTGACAGAGTGTGTCTGCTTCCCGAACTGTGCTAGGAAGGCTTTTCCAGAGTTTAGGTGCCAGGTAAAAGAAAGATCTACTGCCTACCGTTGATTTTGATATTCTGGTAATAATCAATAGTGGACGTGAGGGACTATAATACACCAGGAGCTCCCTCAAATACTGGGGCTTGTAGTTTGTCGATAACATTTTTAAATTTATGCGATATTTAATAGGGAGCCAATGCAATGATGAAAGAACTGGAGTAATATGATCATATTTCTTTGTTCTAGAATGCACTTTAGCAGCTGCCTTTTGAACCAGCTGAAGTTTGTTAATTAGGCCAACATGATATAGGTGTGTGCTGGCGCTCATGGGCTGTTTCATGGGCACACGCAAAGCTTGAAGGTAAACAAACAACGGCTTATCATACGCATCTTATCGATAATTAATTACACGGTTGGCATTAAGATTAACATAGAAACTTTATCTGACTAACATCTAGCAGCTAAATGCAACTGGGAAAATATTCAAAGGCTTTTATTCTCATAAACCGCGCGGACGTGAATGCGTCTGACTGTTCTGATTGGCTAAAGCAGACGTCTCACGTCAGCACGTTCTAGATGTGCACGCGCTCTTTCCGGCAATCTTCCTTCTGCATTCACACAGCGCAGCATTCCGGCAAATTACCGGTAATCTTACAACTTCTCTTTCCGGAAATTAGCCAGAATGAATTTACTGGTATTTTCAAAAAGGGCCTGTTCACACATACACACCTTTCCGGAAAATTGCCGGTAATTTTCTGGAAAGGTGTGTATGTGTGAAAGGGGCTATTGATAGCAAATGTCGAGGTCTGGTAACATTTTTAAGATGAAAAAATGCAGTTTTACAGATGCTTAAAATCTGGCCTTCAGCTGACAGAGTGCTATCAAAAATCTTCCCCAAAGTTTTGACATGAGCATAGATGTTATCCGAATGGCGTACTGTATATGCACACAGATTTTAAGTAAATCTTTACAAATCAGTGATCTTAACTGCCTAATTAATACGCAAAATAAAGTGGGTCTCAGACTGGACAGGAAACACTGATTAAATTCTGCTCCCTGTATTTAAAATATGAAAATGTACTGCATTTTACCCCAGTATTTTCAATAAAGTTTCTACGCTAGTCTGCTGCTACTGATGGCGCTAGCATCTACACGTCTTTCATCTCGTTTTAGGCTTGAACAACTAAAAGAATGCTTAGGTTTATTTAACTGATTGTATTTTAATTCCAGTACAACATCGATGCTGTAAATGGAACCTTATGAAATTGAAAGTAGTCACATAAACTTTCGACCAGAAGTTTATTGTTGGCTGAAAACACTAGCTGTGCATATAGCCCAATGCAGTGTCTTTTTGGGAAGTGTTCCACTTTGGAGGATTTGTATTTCAAAGTTATGTGTGTTTTTTTTTTTTTTAATGTATAGTTATGTATGATCACATTACATAATATTGTACTAGTTAGTTTGCACGATACTAGCATTTAGCGTAAAGTGCAATTATTTGTTGGTAGAAAGGAAAATTCCATGTTGACTTTTCTAAAGGCAGTCAGTTAATAATAATAATAATAATAATAATAATAATAATTCCTTCCTTAATAATTCCTTACATTTATATAGCGCTTTTTTGGGCACTCAAAGCGCTACTAGGAGTGTAACAATAACAATACAGGCTCAATACAGCAGGCGTGAATGGCACTCACAAGAGAAATTTGAATTCTGAAAAAGTGTTCACAGTGACCTCTGGTGGATTCGTGAAAACAAAAACTGCACAAAACGTAGCTCCTGGGACATATTTGGCGCTCTCCAGAAATGTATATAGCGGTACATTTTCACAAAGAGCCTGTATTGTTATCGTTACACTCCTAGTAGCGCTTTAAGTGCCCAGAGACTCCTCAGAGACTCATTAATTTGTTCGGCATTTAAACTGATCTAAATCGTTATATATCTGAATCAATTTTCAACCAGTTTGCAGTTCGTATTTTCTGCCTTTCAAGGCTTTGAAAGGGTTATACATATTTTTATCTTGAATTGGCTAGGTTATTGTAATTCCCTTCATGTATATTTTAGCCATACCTCTATTACTCGTCTGCAGATGGTGCAGAATGCAGCTGATCATTTGTTGACAGGAGAATAGAACACACTATTCTAGGCCATTCCAGAATTTAGGAGCCATATATGGGAAGGCTCGATCTCCTTTAGTGGACTTACAAAACGCATCTCTACTCTTATTTCTGTTTTATTTGAGCTTTGTTTTAAATGGTACGTGTTTATACATCACTTTGGTAAACACTTGTTGTTTGAAAAGCGCTTTATAAATAAACATCGACTTGACTTTATCGTTCAACACACGCTCATTCTGAAAACGTAGCCCTATATATATTTCTGTAGATCGCAAATTATGTAGCCAGAAGTACGTATGGCTGCATTTAGTTTTTAAAATGAATGCTACAGGGAGGTATGACGCCGTTCCTTTTTACGCTTACCAGCTGACTGCCTGCCTCCGCATGTAAACTGTTACCAGTTTGTCCAGTTAGCTTTCCATGTACGTCAGCAGACTTGAGCTGCAGAGAGAAGTTAACAACGACGACGGGGTTCTTAAAACTGTCGGTTGGGTTTAGGGAAGTGGGTTGGTTGGTCAATCGGTGCTTTTGAAAACACTATTGGTTGGGTTTAGGGAGGGAGGAGGCTGGGTCAGTCATTCAGTTAGTCAGTCGACAGCGGCCTCTGGTGGATTTATGCGAGAACAGCAGGCGCGAATGGCACTCACGAGAGAAATTTGAATTCTGAAAAAGCATACACAGTGACCTCTGGTGGATTCGTGAAAACAAAAGCTGCAAAAAACGTAGCTCCTGGGACATATTTGGTGCTCTCCAGAAATGTATATAGCGGTACATTTTCACAAAGAGCCTATATTGTTATTGTTACACTCCTAGTATATGCATCTGCTATTATTATTTTTTTAAGATGGTAAAATGAAGTTCATATCTTCTTATTCTCTCTTGTTCACAGCAGTGTTCCACAGTTCAGCTCAACAAGCAAAGCAACCGAAATGGACCCGAAGAAAAAGAAAAAGTTTGAGAAGGAGGAGAAAGAGTTCCGGAAGAAGTTTAAAGTAAGACACACAGAAGTTGAACTGTTTAACTCTCCCACATACTAACCCTCATTGCTTTTTCTCACAGTATAACGCTGAAATCAAAGTGCTGTATGAAGCTACTGTCCTCCAAACACTGGTGATAAAGAAGTTTGGTAATAAAGACTTGCCGGTTAAACCTGGAGAAACGATAGATGTGATCCTTCATCAAGCAGGCGACAAACTCATCGGCCGCAACAGTGAAGGAAAATGTGAGTTTGTCAAGGAAATAAAACATGTTGTGCTGTGAATATGCATCATTCCAGCAAAGCAGGAAATGGTTATTAAATATAATTCCTCTATGTTTCAGTTGGCTATGTGTTTACTGCTAATTTGGAGCCGTAAGTACCATCTTTCTGTTGTAAAAATGAGTATATTGTATTGTTTAAATGTATGTTTTTGCTTTTCAAAGCACACTGGGGCTCATTTGATATGCATAATTAAAGTATTAGACAGTATTATCTTAAGCAATATATTGTATTAGAAATATTTATTTATTTAATAAATTATATATTTATTTATTTTAAAATGCCATTGATTTCTGTAATGCAAAGAACAATTTTGACTGTGATTACCTGAGATTTTAATGTCACATGATGCCCAAGACACATTTATTATCATTTTCATGTTGGAAACAGTTGCTTAATGGTTTTATGGAGACCAAAATACTCATGAAAACCATAATAATAATTCAGAAGTAAGTTGAAAATTCTTTAGTTCAACAAAGATACAGTTCAAGGGTCAAAAAATTTGTTTAATCAAAAAAAATGTACGCTAAACAACACTGTTTGCAACAGGAATAAATACATAGAACACCTTAGCAACTGGCTAGCAACACTATAGCAACCACTTAGAGCACCCTAGCAACCACATAGCAACATCCTATTAACACCTTTGCAACCACCTAGCAACGCCTTAGCAACTGCATAGCAACCACCCAGAACACTCTAGCAACCACCTAGCAACGCCTAAGGAACTGCATAGCAACCACTCAGAACACTCTAGCAACCACCTAGCAACACTTTAGTAACAACCTAGAACACCTTAGCAAACACTTTAGCAACCACCTAGCAATGCCTTAGCAACCCCCTAGCAACACCTTAGCAACTTTCTAGCAACACCTTAGCATCCACCTTGCAACACCTTAGCGACCACCTAGCAACACCTTAGCAACCACTAAGCAATGCCTTAGTAACCACTCAGAACACCATAGCAACCACCTAGCAACACCTTACCAACCACTCAGAACACCCTAGCAACTACCTAGCAACACCTTAGCAACCCCCTAGAACACCCTAGCCACTGCCTTGTAACACCTTAGCAACTGACTAGAACACCCTACCAACTGCCTAGTAACACCTTAGCAACCGCCTAGCAACCACTCAGAACACCACAGCAACACCTTAGCAACCGCCTAGTAACACCTTAGCAAGCACTCAAAACACCCTAGCAACACCTTAGCAACCACCTAGAACATCCGATCCACCGCCTAGCAAGAAACGCGCCGATCCATACTAGAAACATACTAACCTATTTGTACTTTTCCATCTATGCCGACTGCTTCAAACTTCCTAAAACCACTTCAATTATTTAATTTTAAAACTACTTCAGACTTTCAGACGTGGCTTTCTCAAGCCTCAATAAAGTTTGTCTATGAACTTTACTTTTCTAGTTAGTAAATTCTCACAATTAGTATTTGAGTTGGTAACTGAGTTACACAATTCTTCACCTTAGAATTCTAAGGTTCTATCTGACATTTTTGTCAAAATTGAGTTATTGACATATTCTTATTAAATGGCAACTTATTTACATTATGGGATTTTTTTTATAAGTTGTTTACATTTTAAGACATGGATTTTTAAAAAACAAATGTTACACGCATACTGTTTGCTGAGGAATGCAAAAACTTTAAAGCTTATTATCTCAAAATTTTTCAGAACGCAGATAGAACCTTATAATTTCAAGGTGACAAATTATAAAAGTAAGTAATTACCAGGGAAAGTCAAATTAATGTCAAATGAATAAACAAACACTGTACACTAATTTGCGCTATTTTAATATTGTTGTGGGACAATGATAGACAACAGCAGCATGTCCTCAACTATATATTTAGATGTTAGTCTCTCTCTTTCTCTCTGATCAGTTGACCTGTACTTGATTTTGTGTGTGTTTCACTTTCTCTCTTTAAGGGACGGATCGGTTTATGATGATGTTGGTGATGGTGAGGCTTAACTTGCAAAACTGAAATATAAATGTTGATTCTTTGTGTAATCTAATAATTGCTTATTATTTGTTCTGCTTTCTTGTTTGTTGCAGAGTGCATCTACGACAATGACTGAAGCATTGACAAATGCTTTTAGTTTTCATCGTCTTAAAGGGATAGTTCACATAAAAATCTAAATTTACTCACATGCAAGTGGTTGCAAACCTTTAGGAGCTTCTTGATTTAGTTGAAAACAAAAGAAGATATTATCAAGATTGCTGAAAACCTGTAACCAGTCAATGGCTACAATGGCTACAGGTTTTCAGCATTTTTCAAAATATTTTCGATAGTGTCCAACAAGAAAGGTTTAGAACAAGTGAAGGGAGAGTAAACAGTGAATAAATTTTCATTTGATGAAAGCAATATATCACATGTTATTGTTTGAGAATGATTTATATGTAGTGAAAACTATTGTACATAGTATATACGCCTCAGTGAATAAACTAATTTGTGATCTTAAAGCATGTCTTTGAGTGAATTGAATGTTATACAGTTTCTGAGTGGTGGAAATGTCTAATAATATTGTAGTCATATTTAATATATAGTAATATTATAGTATTTTTAATTGTGTTACAAAATATTAGATAGATAGACAGATAGATAGATAGATAGATAGATAGATAGATAGATAGATAGATAGATAGATAGATAGATAGAAAAATATTGACCAAATTTGTCTATAATTAAGTTAGAATATTTTCATTTTTTATTATTTATTTTTATTTATTATTTATTTAATTCATGCATTTTAGAATTCTAATTATAGGCTTTTATCAGGGTATATATATATATATATAAATCATCATAAAAGTATGATCCTGTTTTTTTCTTTTACTTTAAAGAGTGTTAAAGCTATACTTCCGGGGTTTCTGCTTAGCAGCAAATAAAACAAATCCTTCTTTATACTCAAAACCAAAAATCTTCCTATAAAAAATAAATATAATATTGTAGCAGTTAAACAAATAAAGAGAAAAGAATAATTTAGTTTTAATATGGAGCTTAGTTTCAAACAATTAGGTATTTTTTTTATTTTCAGAAAGATGAGTGTCCACCTTTTCTTCTAACAGCCCAGATCGATTTGAGCAGCCAGGCTGACACAGAAGTTAGCAAGGCTAGCAATCTCTCAAAAGTCCTCATTTCTTGGTGTGTGTGTGTGTGTGTGTGTGTGTGTGTGTGTGTGTGTGTGTGTGTGTGTGTGTGTGTGTGTGTGTGTGTGTGTGTGTGTGTGTGTGTGTGTGTGTGTGTGTGTGTGTGTGTGTGTGTGTGTGTGTGTGTGTGTGTGTGTGTGTGTGTGTGTGTGTGTGTGTGTGTGTGTGTGTGTGTGTGTGTGTGTGTGTGTGTGTGTGTGTGTGTGTGTGTGTGTGTGTGACAGCTGTGTGTGTGGGTCTTGTCATCAAATATGGTGAAAAGTCCTTCATGACAGTAATAGTTTGATTGCGGTGTTTACTTCAATAATGCCACTAATAAATGCATACTCCACACGTCTTAATTCCATTAATTCAGTTATAAGGTCATTAAAACTTCATGTTAACTGAATAAACAGTTAGTAAACACAAGTACATCTTATTGAACATCATTTATTTTCATTAATGTAGATATTATTCTCAAGCAGTTTGTGATGCATTTTGGAAACAGGAGATAAGCCCCTGGTCTAATGCGCCACCTGGCTTGAGAAACCCGTTCTCAAAGACTTACTTTCAGTCATTATTTGGATAGCACACATATTCTGAATGCCTTCCGCAGAATTCAAATGAGCCATTTTAATGTAGATTAATTCCAAGGTTATAGTGAGATTAAACTTGAATAAAAAATGTATCTATGCCCAACTATAATGTAAATATAAATATGATAGTTAAGATGCAAAAAACTCTAAATGCCATCTGAAAAATTAGCATTTTTGTCAGCCTTATGTTTATGTTCAGTTATTTTACTTTAAAGGCAATGAACATAACTTGTTCATCACTACAAAAGTAAAATCACCGAGCCTACACGCAGGAGTCTGATAAAAACGCTCCTTTTTGAAGAAAACATCAAACAGCATTTAGAGGTTTTTGCATCTAAACTCTTGATATTTATTTTTAATTTGTTGTGATCGCTTGTTATTCAAAATAGTATATTATGATGATTATAATTAATGCATTACCTACGTTTACCTAATCTATTAATCTATTTTTTTATTTGCAGCTCAATAATGCCAATTTTAATAATGCATACGTAAATAATGTCATATATATATATATATATATATATATATATATATATATATATATATATACATGCATACATACATACATACATACATACATACATACATATATATGTATACATATTTATAAAGTTATAACATGATTTTAATCATCTAATTTCACGTAATAATGATATGATTATACATTACACATTATTCAAATTATTTTTTTAAAGAAATTGGTCTTTCTCATATTATATTAAAAGAGGTTTTCACAAAAGACTCAAAGCCCTTAGCATCGCTGCACTCAAAACACCGCGAGAGTTTACGAGAGTTCCGGTGTTGTGATGATGAACGTCCCTGCCAACATGGCGGTCAGCATCCGCGGCCGTCCGACCCGGAGTGTACGGATGAGAGGCAAGTTAACGGCACTTACACCTGCTTCACAAAGCTCAGCCGGCGCTTTTTAAAACCTTTCGCATGTCTAGTTCAACCTACAGCTCGGATAAAGGCTCACAATATCTTTATTGTGCTGTTTTTTGTGTTTGACAGGTCGGAATGACAGCGGGGAGGAGAATGTACCGCTGGATCTTACGCGGGGTGAGAATCACCATAGTGATAAAAATAAGACACCTCAATAATGTTTCTCTGTAATAATAACCAACCTAAATTCAAGTAAAATGCTTTAGTATTTGCTCATCTTCTCTATCTGGCCCTTATACAGCAGAATGAGGGGGTGAAGATGATGCTTTCTGTCTCAAAACCTAATGTGTGTCCTACATAGACTGCATTATATGCGTCGCTAATGCCCTAGATATGCTGTCTAGCTAGGCAGCTTACTATGATTTGTGCAATAGCTGTTGTTTTGATCTGTGATTCACAGCCCAGTCAGTTTGTTGTCTTGCAAACATCTGCAGGTCAGCAGAATAGTTTGCTGTGCTAGTAAACATCCACTGCATCTCTTTGGCTTTATATACTGCTCTATATATCAGCTTGTACGTCTTTAATGTGTGGTGTGTGTAATCTGATCTGGTTTGGGTTAGATGCTTAAAGTCTTTGACGAGGCTGATCTTGATGAATCTTGCAGTGCAGTCGTGTCTCTTGAGAAATGTACTAAATAAAGACTTCAGCAGGGAAAAGGGTTTAATTGCAGTTGCTGAATGTAGACCATGATATCACAGTCACGTAGGGCCTGAGCGACAACAATCTTATATCAAGATATAAGTCATCTCATAGAAGTTGAAGTCAGTTTTATTAGCATTCTGCGTGATTTTTAAATTCTTTTTACAATATTTCCCAGGAGATGTATAACAGAGCAAGGACATTTTCAAAGTATTTCCTATTATATTATATCTTATTGAGGTAAAGTTGGTTTTCTATTTGTACATTTAGACTTTACTTAATAATATCATTTCAGAAAAGGATTAGTTACAAATTCTAAACTAAAACCTAACACCTATCATATTATTATTATTAACATAATACATAAAAAAATGTCACTTTAAGCTGAATAGTATCTTGCAAAGTGAGTGAAAAAATATTATGTACTGTCATTATGGCAAAGACGAAAGAAACTAGTTATTAAAGCTATTATGTTTAAAAGTATGTTGAATATATGTTTGAATGTATCTTATTGAGGTAAAGTTGGTTTTCTATATGCACATTCAGGCTTTCTCCTTAATAATATCATTTCAGAAAAGGGATTATTTACTAATTCTAAACAGGGAAATCATATTAGCAGCCAATGACTATCAAAGTACAATGTTAAATGAAATATTAACAGTAAATTAAATAGTAAAAAAGTTGTTTTGAAGTCTTTCTTACTTGTGATTTCAGACCAAATATTTAAAGAACCATGGTAAACAATATAGGGAGCATGTCACAAGTTGTCACTGAACAAATCTGTGAATATAAAACCAACTTTACCTCAATTTAAATCTTCTGGAGGAATTTTTACTTTTAGTTTTGCTTGATTAAAGCTATAAATTATTAGATCCATTAAGAAATATTTTATTTTTCCCATTGTCTACAGAAGAAACCACTGTTATCCAATAACATTAACCAATCTAACATAACACCTACCATTTTATTATTATTATTATTATTTATTATTATTATTGTTATTATTATTATTATTAACATAAGCTGAATAGTATCTTGCAAAGTGAGTGAAAAAATATGTACTGTCATCATGGCAAAGACGAAAGAAATTAGTTATTTAAGCTATTATGTTTAAAAGTATGTTGAATATATGTTTGAATGTATCTTATTGAGGTAAAGTTGGTTTTCTATTTGCACATTCAGGCTTTCTCCTTAATAATACCATTTCAGAAAAGGGATTATTTACAAATTCTAAACAGGGAAATCTTATTAGCAGCCAATGACTATCAAAGTACAATGTTAAATAAAATCTTAACAAGAAATTAAATAGTAAAAAAGTTGTTTTGAAGTCTTTCTTACTTGTGATTTCAGACCAAATATTTAAAGAACCATGGTAAACAATATAGGGAGCATGTCACAAGTTGGCACTGCACAAATTTGTGAATATAAAACCAACTTTACCTCAATTTAAATCTTCTGGAGGAAGTCTTACTTCTTTTAGTTTTGCTTGATTAAAGCTATAAATTATTAGATCCATTAAGAAACATTTTATTTTTCCCATTGTCTACAGAAGAAACCACTGTTATCCAATAACATTAACCAATCTAACCTAACACCTACCATATTATTATTATTATTATTATTTATTATTATTATTATTATTATTATTATTATTATTATTATTATAATTAACATAAGCTGAATAGTATCTTGCAGAGTGAGTAAAAATATTATGTACTGTCATTATGGCAAAGACGAAAGAAATTAGTTTTTAAAGAAAATTATTCTGGTCATCAGGGCGGCGCTTATTAAATGTAAAATAATTGTTAAACATTTATTACTATTTTAAATAATTAGTTTTAAATTTTAGTTTCAGCTTAAATGATTACTCAAGTCATTATTGCTTTTATTACTATTACCATTAATAATAATATTAATAATAATAGGGGCGTCATGGTGGTGCAGTGGCTAGCACGATCGCCTCACAGAAAGGAGGTCGCTGGTTTGAGCCTCGACTGGGTCAGTTGGCATTTCTGCGTGGAGTTTGCATATTCTCCCCGTGTTCATGTGGGTTTCCTCCGGGTGGTCCGGTTTCCCCCACAGTGCAGACATGCGGTATAGATGAATGTAAGGGTAAGCTAAATTGTCCGTAGTGTATATGTGTGAATGAGAGTGCATGTGTGTTTCCCAGTGATGGATTTCAGTTGGAAGGGCATCCGCTGTCTAAAACATGCTGGATACAGTAAGTTGGCGGTTCATTCCCTTGTGGCAACCCCAGATTAAAGAGGTACTAAGCCGAAAAGAAAATGAATGAATGTCTTGATGAACTCTGGGAGTCCTGCAAGAACGCTTTCTTTGGCATTCCAGATGACTTTATTAATAAGTGAATTGAGTCATTGCAGAGATGTATGGATGTAGTCCTCCAAGATCATGGGAGTCATGCGCAATATTCATTCGTTTTCCACTGCAGCATGACTTTATATTCTATACTGGACATTATTTCTGTTCAGTGACAAGACTTTTGTCTAAGCAAAGTCAGACCGTAATGTCCTAATTAAATAATTAAAATCAAGGCATGATCATATTTTATTTTGTTAAAATAAACGTAAACTTGAGGCCTTTGCCTTTCATATAAGCCACTTCTGATACCAAGTGATCCACTAAAAGTCACGTTATTATTTGTTTTTCCTAAAACGTGGAAAGGTGACAAGACTTTTGTCAGGTAGTGTATATCGTCCATAGACTGTAAAATATATGGACGTAGTATCCGTGACGTCACCCATAGGTTTCTAAAGAGCGCAAAAGAAGCCACAAGTAGGCCCGGCCAACCGTCTTCATTTTGTATGCGTGTCATCACACCCACGGCGGGATACCAAACAAGGGCAAAGAGGCGGAGAGTGAGCGGAGCTACAGACACCTGCTGGCATTTAGCTTGGACCTGGTTCAGACACACTTTACTTTGGGAGAACGCTTAATACTTTATCACCTGTGACTCGTTTGTATTCTGACCACTTGTGCTTGGTTGTATACTATATCAATAAAGTGTTTAGTCTTTTAAAAACACTGTAGTAACATATTGAGCCACTAAACATTGTTCTTATGACGTTTTTCAACAGGAGGAAAACGCAAATTACTTCCAAACACTTCAGATATGGTCTGTGTTAGTAAATGCAAGACTATTGATGAAATCCAGCATAACACTGTATGACAACGCTTCAGATGACTGTTCTAGAGCCTACAGCTAATCAATTAGTCAGATTCTGGAGTGCATTACAGCTCTAAATATAAATATAAACGATAAATGATCTTAAATAAAACAAATACATGTATAGAGATGGTAGATAAGTATATAACTTTACTCACATGGGAAACGGAGGCCACGTAAATGGTTTGTGAGCACAATTAAGTGCCCTCAGCATGCCATGCCATCTAATAATTGTAGGAAACAAGTCCAAAAGGCAGTTGACTGTGTAAAGCCACATAAAACAACACAGAAATATTATAAATATGTCGAGTTCAGTGGCTAATCTGCAGGATTCAGCTGAGGTGACATGACGGCGACCAACGAGACCTAGCTGTCACTCAAGTGGCCACGCCCTTAATTATGCAAACTTAATATAACTTAATATAAAGGAAACGGATGAGTTATAAAAAAAATTCACCCCCCTCACAGTTGTCATGAAGGGTAATATTAGCTGTATTAACCAAAATCTTTTTTTGTACCAGGCTGTAAACACCTTTTTTTCTGCGGTAAAGTTGGCCATTCTAACAGTGGGCTCAATTGAAATTTGCTCTGTTTTGGAGCCAGGAGCGGCCACGACTAGCGGAATTTCGGATGAATTGCAGTTTTAGTTACTTCCGTATTGGTTTCCTGAGGGAGAGCGGGAGGTTGCCGCTTGATATCGTGATATAGCAAAGCCCTTCAATCATTTGTGTGATTAATTCATACTCGAGATCCTGAGAGATTTTGTTTGTATGAATGATGACTCACAGAGATAATTAACCTTATTGTTTTTATTTGAAATAATTTGTACTTTTACTTTTTTTTCTTTTTCCTCACAGAACCCTCAGACAACATGCGTGAGATCCTACAAAACATTGCCAAATCTCACGGGGTTTCCAACATGAGGAAGCTCGGCCATCTCAACAACTTTGTTAAGGTAAAGAGCATCTTTGGTTTTTTCAGAGATAAATCTGTGTCTGTTAGTGATTTTACTTGAGGCTGCACAATATATATTTTTTGTTATGTTTTTTATTTGTCACAATGCAGAATCTGTCATGTCGAATTGGGGTGATAGTTGACAAGACGATACAGTTCACAAGATTGTGTAGTCCTTGCGGAGTTAAACCTTAGTGTTTTGAAGGTCTGTGACTTTCAGTTCAAGAGAGTTTAAATCATTCATTAAGAACAAGAAACTATCATGTTTGTAGCTTAAAGATTAAATGTAATTATAATTATTTTAAATAATTGTTTATACACAAAACAATGCAGTGTTATTTTACTATTGAACATAACATTTTTGTGTCTGAATGCTGTTAGAATCCACAGAAAACCATGAAATTGGTTAGAAATTACATTTCTATTGCAATATAAATTGCAGAAAAATGAAATATTGTGAGCTCGATTTCTTTTTTTTTTCCCAGTATTTTTTATCCATATTTTTACTGATGAGAGGAAATGATAACCACAGTTAAATGGAATCTGATGACTTATTTTTACATTGATTTTGAGGGAAAAGTGCATAATGTAAATATTGTAGAATATTTCAAATTGAGTTTCTCTGTGCACTCTTGGCTTAATCAAAAATACTTAAAATCCGTATGATTTGCAGTATTTATTTTTGGATAGTTTTTTTTTTATTTTTTTGCGTTGCACATTTTCAGATTAAATAATAAATTAATAATCCATAAATGCCCTTGCATTTTACTATGCTTTGAGTATTAGATACAAATCAAGAAATGTTGGTGTACAAAAAATTCAAAAAAAGCATTTACAAAGGTGAGGTTCCATAGATCATAAAAATAAATAAATAAATAAATAAATAAAAGTGCATTTTTACCATGTTTTGTAAAAATAAAATGTTAAATAGTTATGTCTGGTCTGAGTTTCCTTCCTAATTCAATTAGCCAGGAAAAAAATAAAAATAAAATGTCATTTATATATATATATATATATATATATATATATATATATATATACATAATATATAAGTCAGAATTGTTAGCTCCCCTGTTAATTTTTTAATTTTTCTTTTAACTACAAGAAGATTTTTTCAACACATTTCTAAACATAATAGTTTCAACAACTCATTTCTAATAACTGATTTCTTTTATCTTTGTCATCATGACAGTAAATAATATTTGACTATATATTTTTCAAGACACTTCTATACAGCTTAAAGTGACATTTAAAGGCTTAACTAGGTTAATAAGGTTAACCAGGCAGGTTAGGGTAATTAGGCAAGTTAGTGTATAATGATGGTTTGTTCTGTAGACTATCAAAAAAAAAAAAGCTTAAAGGGGCTAATAATTTTGACCTTAAAATGGTTTTATTTTAGTTGAAAAATATTATCAGACATACTGCCAAAATTTCATTGCTCTGTTAAACATCATTTGGGAAATATTTAAAAAAGAAAAAAAAACAAAAACAAGTGGGGCTAATAATTCTGACTTCAACTATATATATATATATATATATATGTGTGTGTGTGTGTGTGTGTGTGTGTGTGTGTGTGTGTGTGTGTGTGTGTGTGTGTGTGTGTTTATATATATATATATATAGGTAGATAGATAGATAAATAGATAGACAGATAGAGATATAGATGAGCAATATCACACTTGTGTATATATATACATACACTTGTGTGTGTGTGTGTGTATATATATTCCAATTTCTGTTTATTGGAGGGAAGATTTTTTCAGCACATTTCTAAACATAACAGTTTTAAAAACTCATCTCTAATAACTGATTTATTTTATCTTTGCTATGATGACAGTAAATAATATTTTACTAGATATTTTTCAAGACACTTCTATACAGCTTAAAGTGACATTTCAAGGCTTAACTAGGTTAATTAGGTAAGTTAATGTATAACAGTGGTTTGTTCTGTAGACTATCTAAAAAAATTAGCTTAAAGGGGCTAATAATTTTGTTCCGAAAATGTTTTTAAAAAATCAAAAACTGCTTTTATTCTAGCTAAAATAAAACAAATAAGACTTTCTCCAGAAGAAAAAAATATTATCAGAAATACTGTGAAAATTCCCCTGCTCTGTTAAACATCATTTGGGAAATATTTTAAAAAGTAAAGAAATTCAAAAGGGTGCTAATAATTCTGACTTCAACTGTATATGTGTGTGTGTGTGTGTGTATATATATATTATATATGTGTGTATATATATATATATATATATATATATATATATATATATATATATATATATATATATATATATATATGTATGTGTGTTTGTGTGTGTGTGTGTGTGTGTGTATAAGAAAATTAAATTGTGTTTTCTTGTCAGGCATTAAAGTCAAGTAAAACATTTTTTGAATGAATCAAAAAAATTGTAGTCATTTATTTTTTTACTAATGCAATGTTTTTATGGTCTGGACCTGTGAGTAGATATGGGAAGTGGTAAACAGCAGCTGTGTGTGTGCGTGCGCATGTGTGTGTGTTTTGAGTTGTTTATCATAGTCCGCGTCCTCCTCTCACTTTCAGTTTCTTTCTGACAGGGTTTGTTTTTAATGCTTGAGAGTTTGATCTCAGTGGGTCTGAGGTGAAGTCTCGGTACTGTTATTACAGAAGCTGTTTTCGTGAGTGTGCTGAAGTGGGATTTACTCAGCTTTGGTGAATAATAACTCCGGTGGTGGGCGTGTGTGTGTTTATGTGTGCATGAGTACTGTGTGTGGCCTTTTAAGGATGCTGAGATAGAGGAGATCTAATCCTCTCCGAGGGTCACATGGCCCCTTCTGACTGCCTGAGCTCTGACATCATCACAAACACATACATATGCATGCACGGCCTGCCAAGGTCATTACGCTCCACAGTAACGCGCAAACGTGTTTAGGACGGAGGCAGACTAATTTTACACTGAAAGGTCAGCTAAGTGCGATTGTTGATGTGTCTGTCGCACTTCTTATTTCTGGGGTCAGTCTGTGCATCTCATCATTACCAGACAGTGTTTTTGTTCTTTCTCGCAGCTGTGATCACTTTCAGTACAGAGTTTTATATTTGTAAATAATATTGCAAATTAATCATTCCTGCAATCATTCAAAATATGACTAAAATTCACTACATCTCAGAAATATGGGCCCTATCATACACCTGGCGCAATTAGGCGCAAGACATGTCTGGCATGATTTGAAAAAATTTAATTTATTTTTTAAGTCAAGACATGATGAGATTGTGTATAGAAGATGCCGCATTGGACACACGAGACTCACACATGAACATTTACTCAAAGGAGAAGAACCCCCATAATGCCTTTATTGCAACAGAAACCAAACTGTAAAGCATATTCTTGTAGAATGCCCCATTTTTAATGTTCTCAGACAACAATTTTTATCTGGAGAGACTTTAAGTGAAATTTTTAAAAATGTGAATCCATCTAAAATTGTAGAATTTTTATTAACAGTAAAGCTTAAACTGTTTTAGATTTTATCTTATATATTATCATTATTATTTAAGTATTTACCTTGTGTATTATTTATTTGGTAATGACTTTTAATTATTAGGACTTTTAAAAAAAAATATAGAAAAGTGGTATTTATAAAATGTGGTAACCCTGATCTGTTTTTTTTTTTTTTTTTGCCATAACATAGCCATAGAAGCTGAAATGTCAATAAAGTTAAAACTCTCTCTCTCTTTGGCATGATTTGGTGCTGTTTTCAAAGTAGTGCAAACAATAATTTTTACGTTTGCGCCACGTTGTTTACATAGCAAATCTATTTACACCTCTTTTTTCGGACTCATGGGTTTGCCAGTCTTGTAAGAAGGTGTGTTAAGGCGCATTGTTGGCACGTTGCTATTGTGAGGAACTGAAATAGACTGCCATTGACCAACAAAGGCTGCATTTATACTGCAGATCTTGATGGTCAATTCCGATTTTGTGACAGATTTTTTTGATGACCTGCTTATATCATCTTTTAAAATTGACTCGTATTTCTATTCCTGTGTGTAATCTTTTGACAAACTGTTTTACTATAGTTTATGACAGAAAGGTTCTCATTTGTCAATTTTTTTGATATACATGCTTTTTTTAAACCTTTAGGCATCTAATGGCTAATGGCGGATTTATACTTCTGCGTCAAGCGCACGCGTATGCTACGGCACAGCCTACGCATCGACGCATAGCCCTACACCGTGGGCGTCGCTGACATGCACCTCTCAAAAAATGTAACTACACATCGCAACAACGCGTAGCGGAAGCTTTGTGATTGGTCAGCTTGGTAGCGCTGACAAGTCAGGGCGGAACCGAGAGCTGTGCGAGCGGCGCAAGCACAATGGAGCGATTGTTTACAAGTGTGGAGTCCCGTGAAGGAGCTCCGGATGGAATGGTTTGTTTTGTGTTTACCTCATAGTTAAAGTTGTTGCATGTCTGCTGATTTATGCCTTAAAATGAGCGAGTTTGAGCCACTTGTACATTCAGGAAGCGTTCAGAAAAAACAAAGCAGCAGTGAAGAAACTCGACACAAAGGAACATTAACACCTCACTGCCCACTAGTGTTTTGGAAGTGTTAATGCAGACCAACAGAGACAGCGCGCAGAAGTATAAATGCACAGCTACGCGCGTTGTATGTGCCGTAGGTTACGCCGGTCACTTGACGCAAATGTATAAACAAGGCTTTAGCCCCAATCCCAATTCTATTTTTGTATCCCTACCCCTTCCCCTTGGCCCTTACAACCGAGGATAAGGGGAAGGGCTTTAAAATTTACTCCTAGGAATTGGGACAGCACTACAGTATCTGCAAACGTCATCATATGTCCTCGCGATTTCTTGCTTCATATGAGATCAGACGATCGCGACTGCTGGAGTGATTCCAGTTGTGGTATTTTTTGGTATTTATCTTCAGGAAATCACTGAAGGCATATATTATGTTATCATAATGATCTAATGTGGCAATAAGATCGTAATACTGTGCATTTAACACAGTGGCCATATTCATCAATGTAAACACACACAAAAAAAAAACACTAACATTATAGCAGAATCTGTAAAAAGCTCATTGACAGCCACTAGACTTTTCTGACAGGGTATTCCAGTGTCATCGGGTGTCAGAATGTTGTGGGACTGCTGTACAGGAGTTATGATTAGGGATCATAGATTGCGAAAGATGGCAAAATTTAGCGTTTTTTTTTTTTTTTTTAAAAGCATAACGGTAAAACATGAACGAGGTTATAAATATATTTAAACATGTGTTTGTTTCTTATAAAAAGAAACTTCCGGGTGCAGCTATTGCTGGGGTATTCTGTGAATTTTTTCTTACCCCTTAGTTTCAAGTGTGGTCCTGAGAAGTCTTCGTTTGAAGAGGTGTATACCTCTTGCCCTTAGCCCTACGCCTACGCCTTCAAGCTAAAGAGAATTGGGACACCACTACCCCTTCACAGGGACGCGCAAAACGAGGGGTAAGGGGAAAGGCTAAGGGGTATAATTGGGATTGGGCCTTAATGTAATGTCCATAGCTTCATTTATGCACGTGATGTATGCACTAGTTTTAAATTAGTTAATATTGGTTACGTGGTGGACATTGCGCTCTCTCGCTCTCGTTAACATGCTTAAATACCTGTGCTATATGACAATATAAAAGCTGTTTAAGTCCTCGTGTATGAGATTTAAGGTTTGCGACTCTGCCGAAGTCTGTTGTGTAAGGAAAGTGTCAGACTTGACATTATTCGCTATGGTTTTTAATGACACGCAACTCGCATTGACAGGTGAAAATCCAATCTACCTGCTTACACTGCAGACACGAGAACATAGATCCGATTTAAATCGGATAAATTTCCACATATGAACAGGGCCTGAATCTGATTTGAGTAAATCGGAATCCACGTGATTTGTTCCTGCTTAAACGTACATGGGCCATATCCGATCTGTGCCACATGGGAGAAAAAAAAAATCGGAATTGAGTCACTTGAACAGTGCAGTGTAAATGCGGCCTAAAAGCTGCGCTGAACACTTTAGTTATGTGCCTATGCAGGTCCAAACGCTTACACGTTGCTTAATACACACAGGATGTACAGCAATACACAAATATGTTTGCATATGAAAACAAATTAAAAGATTAAAACGATACAAAAATGATTATTTTCTACATAAATATAAAAAACACTGCCTCCATACCCTCATCTCGGGGGGCTTTTTTCAGTTTATTCATGACAATTTGCATTTGTATAATGTTATTATTATTAGTATTATTTATTAATCATATTTATATTTGTTTTAATAAAAACAAGTTTAGATTTGTCCACCTGTCAGGTTTTGGAAAAGTCTGCATCACCATATGCTGCATAGGAATAGGATGTGTGTTTGGATACAACTCAGTGTTTTGACCACACATCAGTATTATTGTTCATTTATTCGTTTGCTGGAAATAAGAACTGAATTTAGAAATGGTTTTGAAACAAATCTTGGTCACTTTATTTTGATGGCCCGTTTGTTGAATTTAAGTCACATTGCATTTACATGCCAACTAATTCTCATTAGATTATAAGTAGACTGTTAGGTTGAGGTTGGGGTTAGGGTCAGTGTAAGTTGACATGTACTTACAAAGCTTCTTATAGTCAGTTAAATGTCTGTTTAGCAGCAGTATCAATAGATATTAAGCAGACAGTCTACTGATACTCAAATGGACCATCAAAATAAAGTGTTACCCAAGTCTTTGCGCTTAACAAACTAAATTAAATCTGTATGCTAATGAATGTCTACAGTTTTCCTTACTCCACGAAAGTAAAGGAGTAAAAGTAAAGTAAAGAGAAAGTAAAGAATGGAGGAGGCTCGTTCTTTATCCTCGCGCTGCAGATGGTCTGTTTAACTGTTTTCTCACTAATGAAGCGTTCAGATTATCCACTTACAAAATCCGCCATGTAAATAGCAAATGCACCATGTTGCGAAGCAACTGACTCTTAAAGGGAATGAGAGACGAGACTGATTGGTTTAATGCCCGTTATGCTAAAAAACACCCAAAGCATATTAAGAGAACAAACACAACCCTGTTAGACCATGGGCCAGGGTGCAGAGCGTATTTTTCATCCTTAAAAAATCAAAGGTGGATTTGGACATGCTCTTAATGCTTTTGCGCCCTGCGCCTTAGACTTTGCACCTAGATCATCAAAATAGAGCCTCAGATTTCACAAGCTGTATTTATTTTAAGACTTTTATAATAATATAAATTGCACCGTTTTATACAATTACAGTGAAAGTAAACTGCAGTGAAAGTAAACCTTTTTTTAGATGTTTTTTTTTCAGTGAACATGCATTCAGAGGTTTATTCATTTTTATTTCGTTTTATATCAGTTTATATAATTATGTCATATAATAACCCACTTTAGGCTGGTGGGTTGCAGTTTATTGCTGTTATTTGCGTAAGGTCGCTGCATCTGGTAGATTAATCTAGCGCTCTAAGCTAGTTCTGTCATTGTTGACATTTACAGTAATGAACATGTTTGCGGCTAGGTCACCTCATTTATCAGAAAACAGCAAAGTTTTATCTGTAACAGTCATAAATATGTACAGTGTTCATATCTATGGGTAATAGTTGCTTTCATATGCACATCTTATCCATTACTTCTCACTGTAAGAAATATAAGGTGTGTTGCGCAGTTTCAAATGGTCGACTCGCGGTGAATGTGTGACTGAGAGCCCTGAATTAGGCTGTTTTTGACAGGTGTGTTTGTCTGTTGTTGTTGTTGTGTTTTTTTGGATGCCTTCTCATACTTTACTTTCTCTTCAAATTTTTGGACCAATCAAATGCTCTCTAGTGTCTGACATGCCCCGCCCTTTCAAGATGCTTTTCATTTGCTTCTCATTTGATACGCTTGTGCTCAACCACTCTCACTGGCAGAGCTGTAAGAGAAACAAAATGCTGTTGGCTGTTTTTCTGAAAGGGGTTGAGCTACTGTATGCCCCACACTGTTTTCACGTTTTAGTTGAGATCACGTCAAATTTCAAATAAATATAAAAAAAAATACACATTTCAAATTACTTCACGGGACTTTTAAAGGTGGGAATCTTTTAGCACTTCACAATCTGATCTGACACTGTAAGTCACGATTTGATTATTTGAATCCAAAACGATTCTTGACCTATTTCTTTCAACTTTACTTATTTAAAAAAAAAGTTTCTATGCTTTTGTTTATGATTGGAATCTATTATTGATTTTATTACCAAAGTCACATTCAGCATGAACAAGATCTGAACATTGAAATGTCAGATTACTAGCAGTTATAAAGAGCAAACTGTTCTTATTCCAAAAAGAGAGCATTGCATTGTTTTTTAACAAAGAAATCTCTTCAAAGTAAATATGTTTATATTAAAGTTATATTTGGAAATTGTGTTGAAATTGTTTTTAAGTTCAGAGCCAGGTGTAAAACCCTGATGTATATTTTTACTGGGATAAATTTAATGTATCAACTGGATAAAAAATATAAAATTCTAGCTTACCCCAAACTTTTTAACACTGAGGTTTATATGAAAGCGCACATTGTTTAAATCCTGTATTAATGCACTAAACCACAACAGTCTAATAAAAACTCTGTCCATATACAATGGGGCAAAAAACTATAAAAAACAAATCACTGTTGTTCTCAGAAGACATATTTCTAAAGTTTTGTGTAATAAAATGAAATGACGCAGGGATAAATTATTAAACACATGAAGAAAGGGAGGTGTCGAAAGGCAGTGAAAGCCCAGACAGCAGCTGAAGTCTCACAGTAGTTCTTCAACAACCCTCTGCCCTTCCAACATCTACATTAGCAGGATGATAAAGATGAAACCAAGGTGGACATTTCAGCAAGACAATGATCCAAAACACAGCCAAGGAAACTCTCAAATGCTTTTAGAGAAGGAAAATCAAGCTGTAGAATGGCCCAGCCAATCACCTGACTTGAATCCAATAGAGAATACAAAATAATGAGCAGATTTGATAGACGAGACCCACAGAATCATCAAGATTTTGACGCTCACACCCAAGAAATGCTGGTGACTACATTTTCCCCCCATTTGTATTGTTTGGGTTGTCAACAGCTCCTTTAGAAATTAAATTCCCAGGAAAATACATGACGTGTTCAATACTTATTTCCCCCACTGCATATTACCATTAAGAATAAACAGATTGTACATTGATGTCTTTTTTTTAAATCTTTTTTTCAGCTCCTGAACAGTGTAAGTCATTGTGAAGAAAAGTTAGGATTTACACATGAGGAAATCATCATTTGGTAAGTAGATTTTTTTTTCCAGAAATGTTGCTTTTTTTTTCTGACTACACTGTCCACTGGCTATCCCGAACATTCTGATCTGAATCACAGTTTTTGCTCTTTATTTTGATCATTTTAGTCTGCGTGTGGCGTTGCTGAACGAGGTGAAGGAGGTTCGGGCTGCGGGTTTGAGAGCACTGAGGTATCTGATCCGTGACAGCAGCATCCTCCAGAAAGTTCTTCAGCTGCAGGTGGATTACCTAATCTCTAGGTGAGTTTGCACACCTGATTCGGTTCTTTGTCTTCTTTTTCCTCATTTTGCAAAACACTTAAGGTCGGATTTTTTATTTATTTATTTTTTTTTTGAGAAGCAACAAAAATATCACAAATTACTGTGATTAGTGCTGAGCAATGGTTAATCGCAATGAATCTACCTAATTGAACCATATGGTGGCCGGATAGTGCAAAACAACATTACAAAGTGTCAAACACTTTTACGAAGCTCACGACAAATTTACATTTTGGAAAATATTTTTACAGATCATAAGACACAATTACATAGGAAAAACGACTTTACCAAGGATGAAACAAATTTACAATTTGAAAAAAAAATTAACGAGACGCAAAATCCTTTTACCAGTCCCAAAACAAATTTACAATAGCCCCTTTCACACATACAGACCTTTCCGCAATTTTCCGGAAAGGTTGTGTGTGGGAACAGGCCCTTTTTGTAAATACCGGCAAATTCGTTCCGGCTATTTTCCAGAAAGAGAAGTTGTAAGATTACCGGTAATTTGCCGGAACGCTCCGCTGTGTGAATGCAGAAGGAAGATGCCGGAAAGAGGGCGTGCACGTCTAGAACGTGCTGACGTGAGACGTCTGTTTTAGCCAATCAGAACAGTCAGACGCATTCACGTCCGCGTGGTTTATGAAAATAAAAACCTTTGAATATTTTTCCAGACACATTTAGATGCTAGATGTTAGTCAGATAACGTTTATATGTTTCTTCTTAATGCCAACCGTGTAAATAAATATCGATAATATGCTTATGATAAGCCGTTGTTTGTTTACCTTCAAGCTCTGCGTTGCTTGTGCCCGTGAGTCAGCTGGTGAGCGCCATCACACACACACACACACACACACACACACACACACACACACACACACACACACACACACGCACATCATGAACATCTCGACATGCGAAAGTGTTTCTCTATATGTTTTCATCGAAGTTGGTCACAATACTGATCCATCCAGAGTTTGTAATGTAGTCAAATGTTTACAAATACAAGCGCAGCCGTTTAGAGCTCATTTCTGGTTAATGATGTCAGAATTTAACGGTATTTTGGAATGGATGTGTGAACAGTCTTTTCCGGAAAAATTCCGTAACGTCCTCGCCTGTGTGAACAGCACTTTTTTTTTTTATTTACCGGTAAAGTCGTTCCGTAAATTTTCCGGATATTTACCGGTATCACTGTGTGAAAGGGGCTAATGACAGATTCTTTACGGAAAGGGAATGTACCACATATTTTGAAACCTATTTTAGGGTCAATATTATTAGCCCCCCTTAAGCAATAAATATTTTTTGATTGTCTGAAGAACCGATTGTTATACAATGACTTGCCTAATTACCCTAATTAAGCCTTTGAATCGCACTTTGATTCTGAATGTTTGTATTTTGAGAAATATCTAGTAAAGTATGGCAAAGATAAAAGAAATCAGTTATTAGAAATGAGTTATTAAAACTATTATGTTTAGAATAATAGTTGGGGGGAAAGGGTCGCTAATAATTCAAGAGGGCTAATAATTCTGACTTCAACTGTATATAGTTATTTTCCTACCTGTAAATAAGGAAAGTGAAATAAAAACAATAGAATAAAAATATGAAACAAACTGTGCTTTAAGCATCTTCACTGTAAGAAAAACACTTTAGCTACAACAGTCCTTCATTTAAGAGCAGTGAGGGATTTTCTCTTTTTGTTGTTTGAATAATAATGATGAAAACAGGCAGCAGCAGGAATATTGCACTGTCACTTTAATGGTTTCTCTTCCACATTTGATTCTCAAGTTGTTTGTTTATTACACAAATGAGGGTTAATATAAATAATCACTAAACACCGCGAATTGACCATTAAAGCGCTCACATTAGGATAACGTCAGATGTATCTGCTTGGCTTGTCTCTTAGGCTTAGTGCACAGTGTGCGAATGAGACGAATGCTGCCCGCATGCTGTGTGTGTGCGCTGGAAACATGCGGTCTCAATCGCGCTTTTAAAAACATGAATGATTGGAATGTACATCAATGAATAATTTGCATCCCGTGCAGCAAAAGTTACATTACAGCACATGCTTTGTCATTTTCACGTGAAACTAAGTTTTGCAGAGCAACAAATGTGTGCAACTGAAAAGGGGGTGGTATATGATGCAGTAATTGTTTTATCTCGATTAATGGTTTTTCATAATCGTTAGAAGACAAAATCGAAACTGAATTTTCGATTAATTGCACAGCCCTAATACAGTATACACTTTATGTGCATATTTGGACATTTTGTGCTGTCCGTAATGCACTTTTGCGCATGCAGGTCAGTTTAGGACCATGATCTTTTCACACTGGAAATCGGATATTGGCCACATTTATAACAACAATGTGAACAGCCATGCAAAACAATCAGATCTGAAGAAAAAATCAGATTTAAGCACTAAGCCTCACAGTGTTAAGGTAGCAATTTTCAAATAGACTAACGGGTCCGGGTCGGTATCTGTGCAGCACATTTATAGGTCTCTGGGTTTTAATTTTTGGAGCTGCGAAGATCTCTACTTTCAACTTAAGCTGAATATTGAGTAGGGCGTGGGGCTTTATTTTTACCCACCTTTGCCTCATAGCAAACTAACGGTAAAAAGGGCGTGGTTAAGAATGATGACGTCAGCTAAAGGATCCAAACTCTAAAATGGTCAGACTTTGAATAAAGATTACCAAAGCAAACTTGCATTGATGAATTGTTCACCTAAAGAATAACAATGCGCTAGCTGTTAATTTAGTTAATGTTAGTTTTGACTTTAAAGTCTACATAAACCGGAATCTGCGGCTGTTTTTTATTTATTTATTTATTTTTGTAATAATATATAATTGAGAAAACGGTGGCTGTGGCTTGTTTTTTACTAGTGTTAGCTGATTGGATTTAGTAAATTTCATTCAGAAAGATCAGGAAAAGGGTTTGAGGAGAGTTATTAAAACCTAACAGACTCCTCCTCCTTACCATTTCTGTTTGTTGTCAAAACTGACAGTTGGAGGGTTGTGGTTAAGTATGTTCAAAGAGCTTAGAATCACCAAGAGGCGACACTCAATAGACATTCCATTGCAACAGCAGCGCCCAGCAGCAGCCCCAGATTCCGCCATTTTGGATTGAAAGTGATTAGCTGTCTATTGGATCTTATTGCTGTTGCGATGGCAAGCAGCTGCTTTATTTATTTATTCATTCATTTAAAAAGTGCATTAAAACTGGGATACAACCTGAAAGATGACAATACAACACTTACTATCACAATCATCAGCACTTTTAATAGTTTATTTTACAGACTTAATATGCTCTTGTTCTATTTTCATTCCAAAATGGCCGCTGCGCCATCTAGTGGCTGTTTCCCAAATCGCACTAGAGTGTCGCCTCTCTGTGCTTCTATGCCCTTTGGTATGTTAGCCACGCCCAATACCTCAGACAGACGTAAGCTGCATCCCAAATTGCATACTCATGCACTATTCAACGCCATTTTGTAGTATAAACAGTGTAAGTAGTGCGTTCACACTGAAAACTCTAACAATAATAAGTGCACTTTAATTACCCGGATGATGCACTCATTCAGCCGCTAAAATGAAGTGTGTAATGATGGACACTTCACGCACTCAACGAGCGTAGGTTTGCTCACGTAGCTGAAGGGGCGGAGCTATCGGGCGCAAATGTTGGATAACTTTATTTATTTTGGATGGTGAAAGCAAAATTCTCCTGCGAGAGGGATTATAGCGCCTCCCGATGGTGAATGCGGTTATACTCACGGCAGGTATTATTTGATAATTCGGTCGTTTATTTCACTGATTTGGCAACCGTCAAACGTCATCAGGGAAACGGTTTGAATTTCCGCTTAGTAAAAAAACATTAGTGTTCCATTTGGGACACCACTACATACATATACTATCCTGTTGAGTGTGTAAGTGCATAAGTACATAGTGCATAGTGTATAGTGAGCCATTGGGACGCAGCTCTAATCTCAGAATTTCACTGAAAACAAACAGGAACTGCTACAGATTTCAATCAAAGATTATAACGGCAAACTATTTATTATTTCTTGATGACATGCACAGTTGAATTGTTCACCACAAAACCAGCAGTGTGAGCTAACAAAATCAATATGTTAGTTTTCATTTCATGTCTACTTTAAGCTCTGAGTTGACAAATGAACCTTATCAAAATCATTGCTAAATGATTCTAATGTTAAATGCATATTCTGAGAAAATTGCAATATTTTCTGACTTTAGATGTATTTAAACATGTTGTAGAGGACTGTTGCATAATGTTAGGATAAATGAAAATACAATGTGACCTACTTTTTAAAATTTGCTTCTGAAGAGCTTTTAAATGTGTTTCAAGTGTTGGTTTTTGTGTTCAGGTGTATTGACATTCAGCAGAGCAATGAGGTGGAGCGAACTCAAGCCCTCCGATTGGTCAGAAAGGTACGAGTTTTCACTGTAAATCACTGTATATCGTGATGATGCACAATATTATATCATGTCAACTTCAAAAAATTTTACCTCTTACCAACAGGGAAAACCACTTACAATCAAGAATGCATGATTATATGGTGTAATGGCTTCACAGTCAAACAATGTCATTATAATGGAAGTCAATGGGGTTGAAACAGCCCCGAATAATGAAAGGGTAGTCAATTTGACTGTATTGTTGAAGATTTTAAGATTTTTCAAAATAAGATTTGTCTCCAAAAATCATCCCATTTGTTGAAACACAGAGAAATTGTGGGCAAATTAAGCCTCATAATCACCCCAGAGTGGATGAAAACACCCCCAACAGCACCCAAAGGTTCAATGATTTAATTTTTCAATCTATTTTTGCCCATTCAGATGATAACGGTGAACGCGCAGCTCTTTCCCAGCTCCGTGACCAACTCTCTGATAGCGGTGGGCAGTGATGGGCTGCAGGAGAGAGATCGCATGGTTCGGGCCTGTATCGCCATCATCTGTGAACTTGGTAAGTTAATAGAAACCTTTTGTTCATTCAGGCTCACATCGTTTTTTTATGATTCATACTTTTTATTTATCTTTTAACAATATCAGTTTAAAATCTTTAACTTTTTAACCTTTCCTTCACCCTACCCCAACAGCATCAGTTTCAGTTATTAGTTGTTACTATCATTTACATTTACATTTAGTCATTTAGCAGACGCTTTTATCCAAAGCGACTTACAATTGAGGACAAGGAAGCAACTTACACAACTATAAGAGCAACAATGAATAAGCGCTATAGGCAAGTTTCAGGTCTGTAAAGTCTAAATAATCCAGATCATAAATCCAATAAACACAAATAATAATAAAAGCTCAAAAAAGAAACAGAATCAGACTCAGACTATTTAGTTTTCGTCGGTAGAAACTTGTTTGTCACGAAAATTATCACAACGAAAATTATTCAACGAAATTAACACTGATTGCACACACTTAGGGTTGTTATTGAAGGTTGCTACTGAACACACCAACACAGCAAAGTATCACAATATTTTCCGTGGCAATACTATAAATGCCCATATCGATATATTACAAACATTTTATTATACGATTTGTTTAAATATTTCAATACATTTCTTTACAGTCCACTAGATGGTGGTGTTGAAATTGTTAGTTTTTTTTTTTTTTTTTTGGTTAGTGGGTCATCTTTGGTAGTGCTAAATAGGGCTGTGTGATTTGGGGAAATATCTAATTGCAATTTTTTGACAGATATTGCGATTTTGATTTGATTTGCGATTTAATTTTGTAGTCAAGCTTTAGCTCAATAATCTGTATCATAGCTTCTTACTGTTAAAATGAGTGTGAGTTAAAAGCTTGTGCTTCATCCCACTCCACTTTTACTTTTTGTTAATGATATTTTATGTATGATATTTTTGTTTGAAAATAAAATCAAATTAAATCAAATCAAAAATGGAACTGAAAAGATGTTTACCTACTCCAACATTTATTCAAATTTGTTTTTAAATATTCACAAATAAAACACTCATTTTTCTCTAGAGCAAACAGTAAACACAAATACAATGACCTTACCTTTCTGTTTTCAAGTTCAACTAAAATTAGGGAAATAGTATAAAAGCAAAAAAATCATACTTATAAAAATTAAGGGCATGAACCTACACTGGTCTCATGGTTCGGTTACAATTATTACGCCATCAATTTGGTTTAGTTTGGTATCTCGGTGCATTGACGATGCTTTTCATACATAAGTAGATTTTTTCTTCACAACACAAGAATTTTTTTTATTAAAAATCTATAAATATAATAATATTTATATATTATTTTTAATACAATTTAGTCCTTTAATACAGCAGTCAGATTTATGAACTGTATCTTTAATTTGACCTGCTCAAAGAAAACACTCTATCTGAAACTCCAGCACATGCACAGAAGACAGCACGAGCAATTATAGCAAATAAATTAACGTAAATATTATCCTGCTTGCTTTTTGAGCACTGTCAAGCGAGTTTTTACAACTCTATGATTGGTCGTTGTCTTCACCCACACAACAGAAAGGGCTGCGATTGGCTTTAGAAATAAAAGCGCTGCTCACCGATGAGTGCCGGGGGAAGAACAGCCAATGTTACAATCTATCTCAGGTAATCCTTAATAGACACAGTGGAGAAAACTCGCACCTCAGGCACGCTCGTGTCTGGATGCACAAGTATCGCTTTAACAGCCGAGAGGAGAGGAAAAGTTACCTCACGAACACGCCAGCGGGTCAAGTGTGAGAGAGAGGCAGAGATGGATTTTTACAGCATTTCTCCATAGTAGTGAAATAGCAGCTCATGTGCTGGGCCTTCTTCAGTGTCAGTGAAAGACAGTCCAGCAAACTCACAAGCAGTTGAACTGTACCTTTTTAGGAGTAGGAGCATTTTATTTACTTGTCCTGGCCTCCTTCACCATAGTATTCTACTGCGACATCACGCACAGGAGATAAATGACGTCAGTACATAACCGGTTATGATCTATTACTGAACCGATATTGAACTGTACCCATCTGCATCGCAGTGCACCGAAGAAACAATTAATTTTGACACCCCTACTAAAAATACAGAACACTCAGCAAACTATCATGGCTCTGAAATGGTAATTTGCTGTTGCTTGCTACTAGATTGAGTGTCACTGGCAATACTTTCAGCTGACTTTTTAGTAAGACACTCCTCAAATAGCCGCTTGTGGAGCTTTTTAAGGTGATGATTGTTGAATTTTCTCGTGGTGTAGCAACAATTCTTAATAGTCACCTGTTTTTGTTCGTTGTCTGTGACCAAATATTTCAAAAATATTCCCATATTACAGATGTCCTGTTGTTCTTTGATATTAATTTGTCTATTAATGCTTCTGAAGGGGAAAATGCCATCAGCCCACACGTTCGCGCTTTCCTGCTTGTTTTTTTTAAATATATTTTTTATTGTAGGAGTTCCACATAGTTTGGTTGCACAATTCTGATTGGGCAGAATGAAAGTGTGCTCACTCAATTGGCTAGTAAGACTATCACACACAGATGGCAGTCATGGATTTGCTCTTAATGGGGGAAATTAAATAATACATATATATTTCATATCGCAGCCTCTTGTGATTAGAAAATCGCAACGTTTCAAATCATGATTGTGATTCGATTTCGATTAATCGCACAGCCCTAGTGCCAAACATGGCAACATTGTGGAAAGGTGCTTGCTACATTTTTGACAGGTTTCAATGAAGGGGTTGATTAAGATTGTCTAATCTACATCAGTGTGAAACGAGCTAGGCCTCAGCTCTTGCCGAGATCATCACCTGCCTTAGATATACAAATCGTCAATCAACACAACCTTAGTAGTTTGTCATGTACACGTTGGTTTGTTTGATTTGGTTTGACTCTCTGTTGTGGTCCAGCACTGAAGAACCCAGAGGTGGTGGCGCAGCGAGGAGGTCTGAGCACCATCCTGAAGAACGTGATCGACTGTCAGCTGAGCCGCATCAACGAGGCCCTGATCACCACCATCCTGCACCTGCTCAATCACCCTCATACGCGCCAGTTCATACGCGCTGATGTTGAGCTGGAGGTAAACAAACACATGCTCATGAGGATTCCCATTAGTATTTGGCTTTTAGTCATTCCCTGTTGACATCTTCTCTCTGCTGCCCATATAACCAAAACAAATATACTGTTGAAATGATTGGCCCTCCTGTGAATTTATTTATTTATTTTTTCCCAAATGATATTTAACCATCATCATCCTTAGCGCGACAGTCCATTACTGGATCCTAACTGCCTCACGTAATTTCCGCCAATGTTCTCTGTCCCGGTCAACTGCCCACCAATTCCTTATTCCTAAAACATTGGCGTCACTGCTAATGCAGTCTCGCCATCTTGGTTTAGGCCTTCCCACTTTTCTTTTGCCTACCGGGTCAGTGCTGAAGATTTTTTTTGGAATGGCATTTTTATCCATGCGTATGACGTGTCCTGCCCACCTTAGCCTCGCAAGTCTGATATATTTAACTAATAATGTTTAACAGAACAAGAAATTTTTTCACAGTATTTTCTATAATATTTTTTTTTCTTCTGGAAAAAAGTCTTATTTGTTTTGTTTGGGCTACAATAAAAGCTTTTTAATTTTTTAAACCATTTTAGGGTCAATATTATTAGCCCCTTTAAGCAATGTTTTATTTCAGTTGTCTAAAGAACAAAACACTGTAATGCAATGACCTACCTGATTACCCTAGTTAAGCCTTTAAATATCACTTTAAGCTCTAGAGAAGTGTCTTGAAAATATCTAGTTAAATATTATTTACTGTCATCATGACAAAGATAAAATTAGAATTATTAGAAATGAGTTATTAAAACTATTATTCAGGAGGGCTAAACATTTTGACTTCTACTGTATGTTAAACAAAACTAAAATTATATAAAATGTTTGTTTTTTTCCTCCAGCAAATCCTTGCACCTTACACTGACTTTCACTATAGACACAATCCTGAAACCGCCGAGGCACAAATCAAGTAAGTTCTAGATTTTGATGCACACTGCAGTTTAAAGTTTCGGAAGGATTATAGTGTTTTAACCCTTTGACAGAAGTCTCTTATGCTCACCAAGGCTTAAAATGTTTAATCAAAAATAAAGTAAATCTACTGTGTCATTTATATTTATATGCAAGAATTACTTAAATAAAATAACAACAATAAAAAATTATATTTATTATCATCATTATTAAGCTGGAAGGGCATCTGCTGCATAAAACATATGCTGGATAAGTTGGTGGTTCATTCCTCTGTGGCGACCCCTGATTATTAAAGTGACTAAGCCGAAAATAAAATAAATGAATGAAATATCATTATTTATTATAATCTAATATTATTATACATTTTTGTCATTTTTATATTTATTTTTTTTTTATTTTATACTGTGAAATTTATATTAATTTCAATTTAATTTAGAATGGAGGTTTAAAGGACATTTAAGTTGCAGTAAAAGCATTTATATTGTTTTTTAAATCTCACTGTTGAAAAAGCACGAATGGTTTTCAGCATTGATGGTAATAATAGCCATATTTAGTCATTCATAATTAATAATTGTGAATAATTGAGTGGCATATCAGCATTTTAAAATGTTTTTGTAACCAGTCACACTGAAGACTGGAGTAATGGCTGCTGAAAGAATTGCTCAAATAAAAATTAATACATTTTTAAAACCTTTACTGTATTTTTATCTTATAAATGCAGCCTTTGTGAACGCAAAATAAAACAATTTAAACATCTTTATACATTTTTATTACCAGAAGTAGATTGCACTTAAACGTTGCACCACTTTAGTTTACATATGATCTCTGATTGATCTGCGCTGTCCTGTTATCATGTGCATTATTGTCCAAAATGTTTTATGATTCATTTTGTTTCTCAGGGAGGACAGAGAAGCTCGTTTTTTAGCCAGTAAAATGGCCATCGTGGCAGCGTTTCGCTCATGGTCAGGTATGAACTCTAATGCATCTTCATTTTAAAATGACAAAAGAATCCCTCGTTGCTTCTTCTCTTCATCCCTCGCTTCTGCTGTTCTCCTGCAGGTATTATAAACCTGTGTAAATCCGGGAACTCAGGGGTCCAGTCTTTGATAGGCCTGCTCTGTATACCAAACATGGATGTCAGAGTGAGTTATTAATACTATAACTGCATAGGCTATCATGGGAAATAAGTTTGTCAGATTCTGAATCCTTCATCTGCAGGGTTCGCACGGGTGCTTGAAATCCTTGAAAATGCATGATTTGTGTTCCATTTATAATTTATCTTTATAAATAATCACCTATTTAAATGAAATAAAACCATGTTTTTGCTTTTGCATGATGACTCAAAGTTTGTTATATAATTCATGACTGAACAAGCAAGTTTTGAACGAGGACAGAAGTGCTAATAATTCTGACTTCAACTGTATGTCACCAGAAAGCCTTATTAGAAGTTCTGTATGAGATCTTCAGATTGCCTGTCCCATTAGTGACTGGAGATTTTGAGGAAGCCTTGCACAGCGTGGGTAAGAAACACCTCCATTCATAAACATGCCTCTCTGGCTGCGACTCCTTGTATCTGTTCAGTTGTTGATCTTTCAGTGTGGGATGTGTTTCATGATGTTGGTGCCGTTCAGATCCCAGCAGGTTTCAGGACAGCTGGAGACTCTCTGACGGGTTTGTTGCCGCAGAAGCCAAAGTCATATTGCCTCACAGAGCGCGATCCAGGTGCGTTCGATTACAAATTTGTGCTTAACCTTTCTAAATATCAAAAATGAATGATGGGGTTTCCATTCAACTGAGTGTTACGTTAGTAAATGTCCTGCTTGAGACCACAAAGTGAATTATTTTGGCTTTTTAAGGATTTTCTTCTGGTTATTGACTTTTTTTGGTAAATTGACATGTTTTCCATTAGTCCTATTTTTCAAATGTCAGTTTAAAAATGACTTTGGGGACAACAGGAACACTTTAGCAATACACTAATACACTTAATTGAAAATGTATTACACACATAGGCATCGCTTTCTTGAAAAATACACTATGTATTGAATAACTGCAGGTAAACTATGTTTATATGTTATCCACCCTATATACATTTATGATTTTGAGTGTAATTTTATAGCATGCACCTTTTGTAAAGCTGATTTGGAACAATAATTATCATAAGCTAACTTAAAGGGCCACGAAACCCCCTTGTTTCAGCAGGGTGTTTTCACACCTCTACTTAAAGTCAGGAAAGTGGGCGTGTCCAGCTCTGTTTAGGGGGGAGTGTCGGAGGAGTAAAAGAGTGGTGATATCAGAGTGTCGATTTGGGCATGTACTGATTTTCAGAGTCAAAAAACACACACACACATTGGGGAGAAAGTGACTGTGTTTACATGGACATCAGTAATCGAATAATTCGACAAATTATTAAATGGTGTTCTTTAACTGCAGTTTGGCTCTTTCATTCAGGAATTTCATTCACACCCTTCGTGACAAACGAGATATTTGATTCGAGGAACTGCTCTAAGCATGTATTTTTCATGCAATGTTCGTTACCGCAAGGCGAATGAGAGAAAAAAACCCTCTGCATTTCCCGGAAACTTAGATGCACTCGGCAGGTAGCGTCAGAAAGCCGTGTGTGTTATTCCGGTCACAAATTGTGGTGACAAAATTCCTACACGATGGTAAGTTTGATTGTGGTGCTAACATGTTTACACTCTGTGTAATAGTTAGATCGATACAAACTAACTTTGCCATCTGAATAAACAAAGGCCACTGGTCGCTCACTCACCAAATCTGTAGAGACAGGACAATCAACACCAACTAGAGCCGCGTCTTTGTTAAGAGGAGGCGAGCAGCAAATCCAAATCACACCATTTCCAGATGAGAAAAGCTCTTGGGTAAACAATGTTCCTTAGACGCGTATTGTTGTGGAGCGTTGCGTGCACTGTAATCCACACGTGAGTCCAGCTGCACTCTCATGAAGGGAAAATGAAAACAAAACCTTCACCGCAGCAAATTATAAAAGCAACACTGCACACTTGTTTTGCCAATACAACGTGGCATCTCTCTGCCGTCTAAACACTGCAACATTAATGAATATTAATGAAGTTGCACAATAGAGCGCGCTGATTGGTTTGAACCAAGCCTTACCCATGCATTAATGCAGCACACTCGGAGACTTCATAAGGCACTCCCAGGTACAGACGTACAGTCTACATGCTGGAATACACGCTAAGATCTCATGGCCGTGACGCAGCTTCAAAAATTCGTTTCAAACCGTAAGTACGAATTTGCTTGAAATAACGCCAAAACAACCAATTTTCACTTTTTAGTGAGATATATTTGTCCTAATAGTGTTTATAGCAGTGTGGGACACATCAAAAAATGTGTTTTGGTGTTTCGTGACCCTTTAAATTGAATTGAATTGAACAATCACACTCTTTTAGGGTTATTTGAAATGTATATTCTGGGATATTCTTAGTGAAATGCTCTTTCTTTTTCTTTTTTCACCAGACCAGACCTCATGGACAATTATCTGGCTCTGCTGCTGTCTGCTTTTATCAACAGTGGACTTCTAGAGGTGCATACTCACTCTAGACGTGTTTTTGCTTTGAGTGGATTTGTGAGGGTTTTTATTGCTGATGTTTTATTGGTTTGTTTTTGTTCAGGGTCTGGTGGAGGTCGTGACCAGCAGTGATGGACAGATATCTGTGAGAGCCACCATACTGCTTGGAGAACTCTTGCACATGGTACAGCATTACATTATGACACTATATTTTTTACGATAATTATCTATACAAGTTTGCTTAAATTAAAACAACAAAACTAAACCTATTTTATTATTTTGTTGTAGTATTTATAAAATTTTTCAATTAAATATAAATTGTTAATAATAAATAAGTATAAAAAATATCTAATTTAAGCAAGTTTGCCAGAAATATTTCTCATTTTACATTTAGTTTAACTCTTGGCCTTTTGTTTCTTTGGTACCAAATATATCACAAATGTTGACCCCCACTTACCGGCCACTTTATTAGGTACACCTGTCCAACTGCTTGTTAGAGCAAATTTCTAATCAGCTAATCACATGGAAGCAACTCAATGCATTTACACATGTAAACATGGTCATGACGGTCTGCTGCAGTTTAACCGAGCATCAGAATGAGGAAGAAAGGTGATTTGAGTTACTGAATGTGGCATGGTTGTTGCTGCCAGACAGGCTGGTCTGAGTATTTCAGAAACTGCTGATCTACTGGGATTTTCACGCACAACCATCTCTAGGGTTTACAGAGAATGGTATGAAAAAAGAAAATATCCAGTCAGCGGCAGTTCTGTGGATGCAAATGTCTTGCTGATGCAGGAGGTCAGAGGAGAATGGCCAGACTGGTTCCAGCTGATAGAAAGGCAACAGTAACTCAAATAACCACTCGTTACAACCGAGGTCTGCAAAAGAGCATCTCTGAACACACAACATGTTTAACCTTGAGGCAGATGGGCTAAGGCAGCAGAAGACCACACCGGGTGCCACTCCTGTTAGCTAAAAACAGGAAACTGAGATGCAATTCACACAGACTCACCAAAATTGGACAATTTTAGAAAAAAAAGAAAGAACTTTAGAAAAATTTGCCTGGTCTGATGAGTCTTGATTTCTGCTGCGACATTCGGATGGTAGGGTCAGAGTTTGGTTTCAACAACATGAAAGCTTGAATCTTGCTGCCTTATATCAACGGTTCAGGCCAGTTCAGTTCAAATCTGCAGCAACTACATGATGCTATCATGTTAATATGGACCAAAATCTATGAGGAGCATTTTCAGCACCTTGTTGAATCAATGCCATGAAGAATTAAGGCAGTTCTGAAGGCAAAATGAGCTCCGATCTGATACTAGTAAGGTGTACCTAATAAAGTGGCCGGTGAGTGTATATCTCCATCAGTCCGTTTCATTTAACTTAACTTAAATAAAATATTTTAAAAAGTTAAATAACAATAGTTTACATAAACTAAAAAAAAAGAAAAGTTGTATGCAAATTATGATTACATTACTGTAAAATATTAAACACTATTGCAATGAAAGAGAGACCGTTTGTTCTTAAACAAGTATATAAAGCTTGAACTAAATGTGGAAATCTTTAGAGATTTTTAAGGATTCTAAATTCTCCCTTTTTATTTTAAATGAACACAACCTTGCTATAAAAAATGGTAAAACATTTTTGTTTCTTTGAAAAGGTTGCTATCCTTTTTCATATTTTGTCTGTCATTTGGTTTCAATTAGTAAATATACAGGTTTTCTTTTAATGGACAGTCATTTTTTTCTTCGCCATTTGATCCAATTGAGCCTAGACACATTATATAATAATTGTGGCACACACAACAGTATTTATGCACACATATACACTTGTTTATTTAACAACATACTTAGTTTACATTTTAATTTATACATAATATAGGTGTATATACAATATTGTATAAAGTAATATACCTGTAAGTGCACTTGTATATTGTAATTTTTTATGTGCTTGTTATTTTTTTATTCCTTTTTTTATCAAGTGTTTTTGTCCTGTCACTAAATCTGTTGCACTGTGGACTTCGGTCACGAAAACAAATATCTTGCGTATTTTATCAAACAGTACAATACAATAAAGCTCTTTCTGATTGATTCTGCTGTAGAACGTACTTGACGTTTTATCATGTTGATCTGTGTCTTCATCTTGATTGGTCTGTCTTCTAGGCCAATACGATTCTTCCTCACTCTCACAGTCATCATCTGCACTGTTTGCCAACACTGATCAACATGGCTGCTTCCTTTGACATCTCTCAGGAGAAACGGCTGTGAGTGCGACTGTGCACACACACACACACACACACACACACACACACACACACACACACACACACACACACACACACACACACACACACATATATACAGGGACACTGCATAGGTGTAATGTATTTTATACTGTAAAACCACTTATGATATGACTCTACCTCACGCCTACCCCTAAACCAGGGGTGCCCAAACTCGGTCCTGGAGGGCTGGTGTCCTGCAGATTTTAGCTCCAACTTGCTTCAACACACCTGCAGGGATGTTTCTAGAAAGCCTAGTAAGAGCTTGATTAGCTAGCCCAGGTGTGTCTAATTAGGGTTGGAACTAAACTCACCAGGACAATCTGTGACAATGAATATCAAAAGACTTTGTTAAATGTGAATTTTAAGCATTTGGAATTAGAGGTACACGAGGTGTGACCCTTTAAACCACCACAACAGAGTACAATTAGGTCATACCAATGTCATTATACAACTTTATGTCCCTGTAAACCACATATACCTGTACTCACACACACTCATCCACTCTCCAGTGTCTTACGGTGCAATTTGTACATTTTAATGGTGTGTTTTGCAGGCGTGCCAGTGCAGCCGTGAACCACCTGAAGCGTTTCCATGAAAAGAAGCGCCGGGGCCCCAAACCTTACAGTCTTTACCTGCATCACATCCTGCACAGGACGTCCAGCTCCTCTCACAGGAGGGACCAGCAGCATCATCGGCCACACAAGGACATCTATATTATGAAGGTATCAATGCTGCCCTTGGAGGAAATCTCAGATTAAAAGGCTCTGAAGCAGGGGTCACCAATCTCGGTCCTGGAGGGCCGGTGTCCCCGCAGGGTTTAGCTCCAACTTGCCTCAACACACCTTCCTGGGTGTTTCAAGTATACCTAGTAAGTCCTTAATTAGCTTGTTAATGTGTGTTTGATTAGGGTTGGAGCTAAAATCTGCAGAACACCAGCCCTCCAGGAACAAGTTTGGTGACCACTGGTCTAAAAAAAAAAGAATTGAGAAATAAGATGCTTCTTAAAATAAAATAATATCTATTTTTAGGAACATTAACTGGATAGTTCATCTAAAATCACTCTTACTATTTTTTTTCTATTCTAAAAAAAGATATTTTGAAGAATGTTGGAAACCTGTAGCCATTGGCGTCCATCGTATTTGTTTTTCCTACTATGGATTTCAATGATTGGAATTTTGCTTCGTAATTTGGGACACATAACACAGGAATGAGACGAGTTGGAATCTAAAAACTGACATTTGTCACACACTAGGGCCACTTCTGGAAATATTTTATACTATTTACACTTTGATTAATGAAGCCTATGAAGCACTTTAAACTGAATGAGACAATGTCTTTAATTATCTGTGAACCAGTTCAAAACTCTGTTCCAAAATTTCACTTGGAATTTCTGAAATTTTCATGTTTTGCAACACCTCCTCTCCTCGATTTGGTATCACATCTGAGGGGGTTCTACAGAATTTTGGCTGTACTGAATAAGCACTCTCTTAAAACAAATTAAATCAAGTGTACACTTTTTATTTTAGCCACGTGTAAAGGCCTGTGCACACTTAGATGTTTTTTTGCTTGCGTTTTCTGTCAACGTTTAACGCCTCGCGATTAAATAACGGGCGTCAATGTGATCGTGCACACCAACGTGCAAAACGGCAGGCGCAAAAGTGTCATTTTGAAAAAACGCCTCATGCTCGTTTTTTTTGTTTTGACGCACCGCGTCAAAATGTTCTCCACCAATCAGATCGGCACTTTTGCTCATGTGCACGGAGCTGCTGAAGTTACAGTAAACACAGGGCTCGAAATTGCGACCATTTTGTTCGCATATGCGCCTGAAATTTGATCCATGCGACCTCAAAATATGTTTGGGAGCATTTTTGCGAGTGTATAAAATTGTTGTGTGCGACCAGTTTTTACTGCAAAATGTTCACCACATGCGCAGATTCGGGAGACATTCACACAGAATAAATAACAAATAATGACATCTTACTAGTGATCATGTGCTGAATGTTAATCCATCATCTACACTTTTCCAAGAGTCCATAAAAGACTCCGTTGGCGTCAGGTCCGCTATGAAAAGTCTTTTCAGGTAACTGTTTGCCACATCTAGCACGAAAGCTTCTGTTCAATCCTTCATATAATCGCCAGATGCTGTCTGCCGTGCAAGGGGCAGCTATATGTCAAATTTATGAACATGGAGCTGCTTATTGCACTGGTGAACAATCATTTCTACATCGCTAGAGCTGAAGCTGCTGCTTGAACTATCCATGCTTGTTCGAGTCACCAGTAACTTTAACAAAAACCGTATGAACTTCCTCTCCTCCTTTTCTTCTGTGTTATAAGTGGGTGTCAGAAACTTAAAGTTGTGTAGCGCCATCTAATGTCAAAAGAGTGAATTTGCATACTTTTCAGCTTGACGCCAGTGAAAATCGATTTGGTTTGAATACTAAAAAACGACTCGTAAAACGCTGACGATAAACGCTAACAAAAGCGTCCCGGTGTGTAGGAGCCTTAAGGTTCTCATCAAATAAACAACAAAACATCAATCACAACAAAAAAAATAGGCATTTTAAAGTTAGAAGCAAAATAGTCTTTGAAAAAATAAAAAATCAGCGACCACTTATTTAGAGCACTTGAGAGCGATGCAGAAAGTCCTTTTGATGTCCTGTGACTCCTTAGAAGAGAGGTGGTTGTTTGTAGGACAGCAAGTTGCCCTTTTTAAGTGAGATTGTTGCTCCCCGAGATGTTGGTTAACGTAGCTCCTCCAGTGAGAAACAGCAAGCCAACCTATGCGACAGCAACATATAAACAGTCCTTCTAAAACAAGCAAACAAAAATTACATAAATAACTGCTTACACACAAAACATTAAATAAAATACACATATACTCACAATTGAGCGATAACTTCGAAAGTGCTCAACCATTGGACTAAATGTGAAGGCCTTTAGCGAAAGTGATCCATGTGGTGGCCACTTTACCAAACACTCCTTCTTTCTCTATGGTAAGTGACTTTTTATACAGGTGCAAATCAACCTAGTGCCCCTGGTGGTCGGAAGCAGTATTACATGTCCACATACCAAACAAAACACAATGCAAGAAAATAAATAAATAAATCAGAAAGTAATAGTAGTAACATTTAACATGTTACAGTTTATATTGATATAATAAGATACTTAAACAGGAGAGTTTGTTGTTTGTGTGTGTGGTGTAGGACACTGAAGAGGCGCTGATGATGAACCTGAGGGACAGTCAGATCCTCAATCACAAGCAAAACCTGGACTGGAACTGGATTTTGATCATCACTATACTGAAGGTAAAAACCCACATTTAGTTATAAACAAATGTAATTTTATGTTTAGAAAAAATGCATGTTTTCTTTTACCAGTTCACTCAGTAAGCAGTACTCCATGCATTCAGAAAATTCCCTTCTTGTGTACAGTATACATATTATACTGCTTATTTCAGAAAGTATGTGTAGAATGTCAATACAGTCGCGTTAAAGTGGAACTATTGTGCAAAAATCACTTTTTTAAAGGGATTAAACGTAGTTGTGTGGCAAATCTCTGTGAATATAAAAAGCTTCTATTAGTAAAAATGTATTAATTTAATTTGTTTATAATCACACTTGATAAAAATACTATGCAGAAACACTTTGACTGACATTCTCCATTTGTACATGTCATCATAGGGAAAAAGCCCCATCCATTAGTGACCATTTTTCCCTCATTAGCATAAGACGTTAGTCTTGTTTTTGAATCTGCCACTATGCTGACACAGACATCTGTAGCTCCGCCCTCTTTTAAATAGAGCTCAATCTCATTTGAATTTAAAGCGGCAGTCACCAAAACAGCACATTTAGGATCAAAGCTTGAAAGGATCAGTTTCAAAGAGTTATTAAAACATTATTCGTGTGGTATTCTGAGCTTAAAATTTACACACAAATTCTGGGGACATCATAGACTTATTTTACATAATTTAGAAAAGGACACAATACTGTAAGTCCACTTTAATGCCATTGCATTAGATGAATTATGTGGTATTTATTTAAAATTCAATAATTATTAAACACAAAAACATTTATAACTGTTACAAACTGTCTCTGGTTGATATTCTGTTCTTTTAAACTTTCTTACTCTCAAGGAATTAGTTTTTTTAATCAGGGGAAGCATCATTTTCATCATTGATATACTAAATGTTTTTGTTTCACCGCTCAGTTAAAATCTGCGTGTTACAGTGAATTTTATGCTTTGTTCACACAAGACGCAGCTGAAGCATCATGTGTGAGTGATTTACATGTTAAGTCAATGCAAAGATGCAAAAAGACATCTTGAGGTGCAATACGCACGAATGAGGCGGCGTGAATAACGCGATTCGCATGAATAATGTTTAACGTTTTGCACGTTTGATGCTCGAGAAGGTAAATATGAACTTTAGCAGATATTCGCGCCGTTAAAGAATGAAAATATCCAACCACAATCAGGAGTTTAATATATGTGAAATACAAAAGAGGAAAAATACAAACTAGATTAGCTGCAGAAAGAAAAAAGACTAACAAAACAAAGGAAGGGGTAAGTAACTTACAATTTTATAAAAGTGTATGAAGATAAATTAATCAAAAGCATTAAAGGAAAGCCGTCTACTCAAATCAGAGTCAATAGACGACAGTTCTTCATATAGAACCAAGACTCTGACACATTTTTTGTTGTTACACATACGGAAAGATTTGAGCAGAAAATGTCGAAAGGTAGAGAATGAAGCCATGCATTTTGCTTATGTATAAAAAAAAATTTCCAAACAAGATAAAAAAGTTAAAAATAAATTCATTACATTTATGGAAAGATTCTGAGTAATAACAAATAATTTCTTTTTAACTAAAAGATTGCGTAAAGGTAGAAGGAGTGTTTAAATATCGATAACGGTCAAACCAAAATTTTTTAAACAAATTCACACGTTCAAAATAAATGTATTAAAGTTTCATCATCCTTACCACAAAATGTACAACTACTCTGAATATCAGCATATTTGGAAACAAATGAGTTCGCCAGATATATTTTATGTTATATTTTAAAGTGGATTTCTTTAGTTTTACTAGGAAGGAAGAATTTATGAGGCAACAACTAAGCATTTCTTCAATCTATATTATTAATTAATGCAGCCCAATGGAATTCGCCTTGCGGAACAATCCGATTTTTTTGCTGAAGAATTAGATGAATATGCTTATTATTACAATTCTTATCATGAATGTCAATGCTGTCCAGCACTAATGCTGATTCCTTCATATTTTTTGTATTGTACTGTATATGGCTTCTGACCAGATGCATTTAACTTGAGGGGATAGCTCTAAGAACAGTATTATATTCTCTAAAAGGAAAAGTCATGAACTGTCAAAAATCAATTATTAGCTTTCTGTTGTAGGGCCGTGATTATGAAGTAGTGCCTGTTGTTGGTGTCCTGAGAGGAAATCCTCTTGCTGACACCGGACAACAGCTCCATTATCCAGCTATAGTTTCTGGAGGAGTTGATGAACTCAAAGAAAAAATTTAGTGGACTCAGACATGGCGCCAAACAAATATACGCTGTCTCTCAATAAAATCCATGTTAGCCATTTAGCAACGAAGCTAGAGTCATTGGGCTGGCAGAAGCCCTGCCCATGATGCGAATCCGTGTCTATTGTGAAGTGAATTTGACGTGCAAATGAAGCGAGTAAACTCAAAATGTTCATGCATCATTATTCGCGCATTCCACGTTCGGTGTGAACACGGCATTATAGGTTCATGTGACACCAAAGAATAGAGTAATGATGCTGAAAATTTAGCTTTTCACATCACAGAAATATAAATATATTAAATTATAAAGCAGTTGTTATTTTCAATCTTTTTACTGGTCTTTTGTATGACAGAACAAGTAATATATACAGAAAAGTAAAGCAGTCAAGATACTGCAATTCGCTACCAATCAATACAGAAATTTTTAAAACTTCAATTTCCCGCTAACATTTGAGCGCTTAAACAGTGCTGATTTACCATTGTGTTCACATGCTCAACAGAAATGACTGTTATTGGCTGTGAAGGTCATCAATTCACCGAACTCACCGCTGTTTACCCAGTGTAACTACAGATACAGGGACACTAGAGTAGAGGTCTGCATTCCCGGAGGAGTCGGGGACCCGACCAGATTTTTTTGCAGCGTGGGAATAAATTTCCGAAAAAAACACGGTAGCGGTCAGTCACTCTGATGTAATTTGAATGGGAGCGGGCGGTCCAACAATATAGCGCCGCGAGCGAGAGAGAGCAAGTTCATCCGCCGCGGTGTGCTGTACCAAAGACTATAGAATACAGACACTTGGCTGAACTGTGTGTGTGTGTGTGTGTGTGTGAGCGAGTGCATCTGCCGTGGTGCTGTGTGTCGACTGTGGACTCTGTAGCGTCAAGCTGGATGTTTTTTGAAAGGCAAATATAATCGCTATAGATTTTACATTCTTCCTTGGCCCTGTATGTATCTGTTATGTGTGTAGAAAGAATCTCAATCGGTAGTTGGCAAATATACTGAGTGGATATATTTGTAAATCGGACTTTAAAAGAGTCAGTGCCTCACCAGCCACAAACCTTACCGCACGTCACACGGCACAAGAGGCAAACAAAACTGACATTTAGCCTTCAATCCTTGCACAACCTACACTTTTATCTGTTATCTCTCTCTCGTAATACTCGATTTAAACATAAGATTTTGGAAACAAGATCTAAATTTAGTTGGGACGGTTTGGTTGGGTAGAAAATGGGACAGGTCGGGCAGTGGGAGAATAAAGGCTGAATATACAGCAGGAACGGTCGGGTGCAGAATAAAACCTGGCGGGAGCAGAACTAAAAATTCCGTCCCCTGCAGATAACTACACTGGAGCATTTCAACGTCGATCAGCTGGTTTGTCTATAAGCTGACATACGAGCGATCCGCTGATGAATCGTGGCTTAAAAATGCTCCAGTGTCCCTGTATCTGTGGGTACACTCAGTAAACAGTGGTGAGTTCGGTGAACTGATGACCTTCACAGCCAATCACAGTCAATTCTGTTTAAGAACGCACTCAACAGCACTCAAATGTTAGCGGGAAATGGACGTTTTTAAAATTTCAGTATCGATTGGGAAAGAATTCCTGTATCGTGACAACCCTAGACCATTGATAATCCCATGCCCCAACCCCTTTCTTACTAACTCAATTACCAAAATAAGAAAAATGAATATATATATATATATATATATATATATATATATATATATATATATATATATATATATATATATATAAATAGAAAACAGTTGTTTTTAATAGTTCACCATACACTGTTGTTGTTCATTTCTAGTGGCCAAACGTGAACCTCAAAAACATCAAGGACGAGCAGATGCACAAGTAAGAGCATCTTAACATCAGACATGAGCTGCAATGTCTTGCTAAGCTCTGACCACAAGCTGCATCCCTAATGTTTGTTTATTTGTAGGTTTGTGAGGAGGTTGCTATATTTCTATAAGCCCAGCAGTAAGCTGTACTCTGCTCTGGAGTTGGATCACGCCAAAGCCAGACAGCTCACAGTCGCAGGCTGCCAGTTCAACCAGTTCCTCCTGGATTCAGAAGAGGTAAGAAAGGGGAACAGACCAAATAGAGGATATACTATATTTAATGACTAATACACTTAATAGAGGATATACTATATTTAATGACTAATACACTTAATAGAGGATATACTATATTTAATGACTAATACACTTAATAGAGGATATACTATATTTAATGACTAATACACTTAATAGAGGGTATACTATATTTAATGACTAATACACTTAATAGAGGATAGATTATATTTAATGACTAATACACTTAATAGAGGATAGATTATATTTAATGACTAATACACTTAATAGAGGATATACTATATTTAATGACTAATACACTTAATAGAGGATATACTATATTTAATGACTAATACACTTAATAGAGGATATACTATATTTAATGACTAATACACTTAATAGAGGGTATACTATATTTAATGACTAATACACTTAATAGAGGATATACTATATTTAATGACTAATACACTTAATAGAGGATATACTATATTTAATGACTAATACACTTAATAGAGGATATACTATATTTAATGACTAATACACTTAATAGAGGATAGATTATATTTAATGACTAATACACTTAATAGAGGATATACTATATTTAATGACTAATACACTTAATAGAGGATATACTATATTTAATGACTAATACACTTAATAGAGGATATACTATATTTAATGACTAATACACTTAATAGAGGATAGATTATATTTAATGACTAATACACTTAATAGAGGATAGATTATATTTAATGACTAATACACTTAATAGAGGATATACTATATTTAATGACTAATACACTTAATAGAGGATAGATTATATTTAATGACTAATACACTTAATAGAGGATATACTATATTTAATGACTAATACACTTAATAGAGGATATACTATATTTAATGACTAATACACTTAATAGAGGATAGATTATATTTAATGACTAATACACTTAATAGAGGATATACTATATTTAATGACTAATACACTTAATAGAGGATAGATTATATTTAATGACTAATACACTTAATAGAGGATATACTATATTTAATGACTAATACACTTAATAGAGGATATACTATATTTAATGACTAATACACTTAATAGAGGATATACTATATTTAATGACTAATACACTTAATAGAGGATAGATTATATTTAATGACTAATACACTTAATAGAGGATATACTATATTTAATGACTAATACACTTAATAGAGGATATACTATATTTAATGACTAATACACTTAATAGAGGATAGATTATATTTAATGACTAATACACTTAATAGAGGATATACTATATTTAATGACTAATACACTTAATAGAGGATAGATTATATTTAATGACTAATACACTTAATAGAGGATATACTATATTTAATGACTAATACACTTAATAGAGGATATACTATATTTAATGACTAATACACTTAATAGAGGATATACTATATTTAATGACTAATACACTTAATAGAGGATATACTATATTTAATGACTAATACACTTAATAGAGGATAGATTATATTTAATGACTAATACACTTAATAGAGGATATACTATATTTAATGACTAATACACTTAATAGAGGATAGATTATATTTAATGACTAATACACTTAATAGAGGATATACTATATTTAATGACTAATACACTTAATAGAGGATATACTATATTTAATGACTAATACACTTAATAGAGGATAGATTATATTTAATGACTAATACACTTAATAGAGGATATACTATATTTAATGACTAATACACTTAATAGAGGATATACTATATTTAATGACTAATACACTTAATAGAGGATATACTATATTTAATGACTAATACACTTAATAGAGGATATACTATATTTAATGACTAATACACTTAATAGAGGATAGATTATATTTAATGACTAATACACTTAATAGAGGATATACTATATTTAATGACTAATACACTTAATAGAGGATATACTATATTTAATGACTAATACACTTAATAGAGGATATACTATATTTAATGACTAATACACTTAATAGAGGATAGATTATATTTAATGACTAATACACTTAATAGAGGATATACTATATTTAATGACTAATACACTTAATTAAGGATAGATTATATTTAATGACTAATACACTTAATAGAGGATATACTATATTTAATGACTAATACACTTAATAGAGGATATACTATATTTAATGACTAATACACTTAATTAAGGATAGATTATATTTAATGACTAATACACTTAATTACACTTAATAGAGGATATACTATATTTAATGACTTAATTACCTGAGGTTCGCGGTCACCTGTTTGCCTTGTTCGTATAGAGATCTGCGTGGGACACACACACACACAGAGCGCGAGAGAGACGCACAGCACCACACACACACACTCTCACTCTCTCTCCGTTTCTCTCTCTCTCTCTTACATACACACACACACACACACACACACACACACACACAGAGACGCACAGCACCACACGGTCTCTGTCTCTCTCTGTGTGTGTGTGTGTGTGTGTGTGTGTGTGTGTGTGTGTGTGTGTGTGTGTGTGTGTGTGTGTGTGTGTGTGTGTGTGTTTCAGAATAAAGCGTGAGAGTGGTCGGTAACTTAAAAGGGAGCGGTTGTGCGGTCTTATAATATCGCTCCTGAGCGAGCGAGCATCCACGTGGATGCTGTGTGTGTGTGTCTCTCTCTCTTACTCTCTCTTACTCTCTCTCTCTCTCTCTCTCATTCATTCACGCACACACATAGAGTGAGAGAGAGCACCAAGCGACACACAGACAGCATGCTCTCTTATTTACACACACACACACACTGCAGGTGACTTGGTGCACGACTCGAAATCTTACCTTACCTCTCTTTCACTCTCTCTCCTTCACACTGTCCCGTCATGACAATTACGCATACGCATTTGTAGGCATTAAAAAAATAATATTTATTGTTTAATACTTGTCTCCTATTGAAGTGCATTGTTTTTATGACGGTATAACGGTATTGAAACTGACACCGTTGCTATTTTAAGATCCCGCGGTATACCATATTACCATATTACTGCCCAAGCCTAGTATCTGTGTGTCTGTCTGTCTGTCTGTCTGTCTGTCTGTCTGTGTCTGTCTGTGTGTGTGTGTGTGCGTGCGTGCGTGCGTGCGTGTGTGTGTGAGAAAAAAAGAGACAAGTTTTGTTTGAGAAAATCATTGTGAAAATAAAATCTTTACAAATTTTCTTAAGCAGCACTGTGTGTGCAGTCTTCCCTTTGATGTTGCGTCCTTACCCCTAGACGGGGCGTAACAAAATTAAGGGATCCTTGTCAATGCACTGATTGACTGTCTTGTGTTTTTGTAGGACGGTCAGTCGTATTTGGAGGAGCTGGTGAAGGATATTGTCCAGTGGCTCACTTCGTCTTCTGGGCTCAAACCAGAGCGCAGTCTCCATAGCAATGGCCTCCTCACCACCCTCAATCAGCACTACTTCCTGTTTCTGGGCACTCTTTCTGCACAGCCACACGGAGTCAAGATGCTGGAGAAGTGTGGTGTATTTCAGTGGTGAGAGAACACACACACTCATTATTGCGTACAGTATAGTAGTAATAATAATAGTAATAAAATAGATCAAGTATTGAATTCAACAAAGTTTAATACATTTCTTTGAATATGACTTTTTCAAACGGTCAAGTTTGGAAAATTAATCTGACATTTTAACATAACTATTAAGTGTAAGTTAAATGTTAAGAATAGTAAGGACTTTCATGGCGCTACATATGCCCGGGTATGAATTACAAAGGCGCTTGATTTAAAATGAATGGTGCTTTTAAAGGTCATCGAAGGTCCTTGAATCTGTTGTTCATGAAAGCGTGGGACCCCTAAAGCTGTTAATCTTTTGATCTTGATGTGTTTTGCTCAGTCTGTTGAACTTGTGCTCGATGAAGAACCAGGATCATCTGCTGAAGCTCACGGTCTCCACTCTGGACTACAGCAGAGACGGACTCGCTCGAGTCATTCTGTCTAAGATCCTCACGGCGGCCACTGATGTAAGATCACAGAGATACCATTGTTCTGTTTACTAAGTGAAGTTTATTTATAAACTAATTTCGAGAGAATCAGGTGATTATGATTGAACACGGCTGGTTATGCATTAGCATGTATGATCCACCAATCAGGCCATTCCTAAAAGAGCCAGGGTTTCTCACTACAGTCATCTTCGATTTGAAGAGTCCCCCCTTCCACCCCTACTCCTCCACCTTTCCCTTCTTAGGGAGGCACGGTGGTCCAGTAATCAGCATTGTTGCCTCACAGCAAGAACATCACCGGTTCTAGTCCTTTAACAGGCCGGCTGTCGTTTCTGTGCGTAGTTTGCATGTTCTTCCCGAACTCTTGTGGGTTTTCCCCGGGTTCTTCAGTTTCCTCCCACATTTCAGATACATGCACAAGTGAATTGATCAATCTAAATTAAGCCCTACAGTCAAACTCTCATCCAGCAGCATATTCAATTCAATTCAATTCAGCTTTATTTGTATAGCGCTTTTACAATGTAGATTGTGTCCAAGCAGCTTCACATAAATGGTCATAGTAACTGGAACAGTGTAGTTCAGTTTTTAGTGTTTAGGTTCAGTTCAGTTTAGCTCAGTTCAGTGTGATTTAATCATTACTGAGAGTTCAAACACTGAAGAGCAAATTCATCGATGCGTAGCTCTGCCAATCCTGAACCATGCGAGCCAGTGGCGACAGCGGAGAGGGAAAAAAAACTTCACCTGATGGGAGTGAAGAAAAAAAACCTTGAGAGAACCAGACTCAGTTGGGCACGACCATTTTAATTTCTCCGCTGGCCAAAAGTCTTGTGCAGAGCTTCAGTCACCGCGGTGGAGGCTGGAAGATGGCCTCAGCATATCTCTTCATAGCAATCCTTTTAGTCATCAGCTCTCATCAAGGGAGGAGTTGTGAGATCTACCTGAGCTCAAAGCTTCCCTCTTGTCCTGCAAACAGGAGGTAGCCCAGGGCCCAAGTACCTTTTGAGCTCAGGGCTCTCTGAGCATGCCAAACTTGCTTATAATCAATCATCAGCTAAGTGGGAACTCTTGAAACATATAAACATTTTCATTATCAACAACAAAAAAACAATTTATTTTAGCTTGTTGATCTGGAAGCTTAGTATGAGGTAATACCATTGCTAAAACTTTGTATTACATAAAAGTTAATTATTGATCATTTGAAATCAGACCAAGTTATATACAGCTGAAAACTGTATTAGCTTATTAGCTGTCCAGTGAAATAGTAATTGTATTTCAAAATATCTGCAAATACAGAGAGACTATTTTTTTTAAAACACAATAGCTATGTTTTCATCCACCTTTTTTTAAATGCGCATAAAAAAACAGATGATGGAAACGCCATGATGCGCATAAATTTTGAAAATACGCATAAAAAACTTATGCGCCTAACTGGGTAGGATAAACTTTTTGTTCTATAAAAAAAGATGCGCATAAACTGCGATGGAAACACTTTTACCGCACAAACTCCAGCCTGCGCATTAAAAAAGGTCATGTGATTTTGTTAAAAGAGATCATGTGATGCTTAAAATGTGTGTGAATGGATAAAACGTCAGGCTGAGCACATTATAAAACATCTGAAATGTTGTTTTGGTCATTATAAAACGCCTTACCATTTCAGTATTGATGTTATTATATTATTAATGACCTTCAGAATCAAGAGTGCCTGTCCTCTGTGTCTGACACCTTCAAACGCCACTGCGCGCTCACTGCTTGTCAGGATTGTCTTCTGAGGCGCATTCATTTAGAAAAGATTGATGCAGCTTCTCCTACTGCAGCAAATGCAGTTTTTACTGTTGATATTTGGCGCCAGTTAATCAGGAAGTGACTCGCTTTGACTCGTTGGATGGAAACGATGCTTCATTCGCACAACTTTTATGCGATAATCCAGTTTTGCGCATAAAGTTTATTCGCATTTTTGGAGGGAAACATAGCTAATGACTACATTTACATGGACATCAGTAATCAAATTATTTGCCTTAATCTGAGTAAGACAATAATATGATTAAGGTGTTTACATCAAAAGTTGCTTTTTGAATGTTTCTTTCATGACATAGATAGATTAACATCACGCTATCCACATTTCCTCCGGAGTTTCATGTATTTTCGGGTGTATCATTTTAATTCAATGACTTTAGCTGCAGTTTGGCACTTTCACTTTCATTCAGGAACATTTCATGCATGCCCCCCGTGTTAAACGAGATATTGGATGGGAGTATGAACTGCTGGAAGAGTGTTATTTTAATGGAGTTTGATACCCCACACCGTATTGGAAAAAAAACTTCAGAATTGCGCAATGCAGATGTCTGTGGTTCTTCACTGACTCGATAAGTGCAGAGAATAGTCAAATAGCCGTGTGTGTATAGACTATCCTGTCACAAAATGCTATGAAAAATGAAAATCCTACACGACGGTAATAGTTTGATTGCAGTGTTTACATGTTCGAACTGCACTTCCATATTGCGTTTACAATATGAAAACTCCACCTGTCCTAATTCGATTTCTCTTTAGTTCAATTATGACCTTAATTAGATTAATCTAAAACCACTGTTTACATGGTAAACTCTTAATCAGAGTATTGTCTTAATCGCATTAAAATTGTCCTGTTGGAAGGTAAATGCCTCAGTCTCAAGTGTTTTGCAGTCTTCCAACAGGAAAACAACCCTAAACATAAAGCCAAGGCCACAATGGAGTGATTTAATATCAAACATATTAATGTGTTGGAATGACCCAGTCAAAGTCCAGACCTAAATCCCATCGTGAATCTGTGGCTAGATCTGAAAACTGCTGTACACAAACGCTCTCTATCTAATCTGACTCCGCTTGAATTGTTTTGCTAGGAAGAATGGGCAAAGATTTCAGCCTCCAGATATGCAAAGCTGGTAGAAGCATATCCCAAAAACTTGCAGCTGTAATTGCAGCTTCCACAAAGTATTGACTCACAGGGGCTGAATACTTTTGCACACTGCTTTTTTCAGTTTTTTTATTTGTAAAGAAAAAAAAAAAAGAATTTGTGTATAATTTGCTTTATATTTCACAATTGTATGTCATTTTGTGTTGGTCTTTAACATAACATTCCAATAAAATAGATTTATGTTTGTGTTCATAATGTGAGAAAATGTGGAAAAGTTCAAGGGCTATGTGTACTTTTGCAAGCCACTGTAGATTTGATGAATGACTCAACCTAAAATTGATGGTATTTGTTGTTTGTGCTGCTTCAGAACTGCCGCTTGTACGCCACCAAACACCTGCGTGTGCTTCTGCGTGCCAATGTTGAGTTCTTCAGTAACTGGGGGATGGAGCTGCTGGTCACGCAGTTGCACGACCACAACAAAACCATCTCAATGGAGGCGCTCGACATTCTGGACGAGGCCTGCGAAGACAAGGTGATTAATGAAGATCAGTAGCTTATGCCATTTCTGATGTTACGATCTGTTAAATGCAAATGAAATCAAAACTAACCATATTGATTTTGTTGGCTCACATTGCTAGTTTTTAGGTGAAAAATATATCTGTGCATGTCATTAAGTAAAAACAAATAGTTTGCTCTTATAATCTTTAATTGAAATCTGTAAATGCACTTCCTGTTTGTTTTAAGTTAAATTCTCAGATTATATCTGTCTGAGGTATTGAGCGTTGCTAACATACTTAACCACATCCCTCTACTGTCAGTTTTGACAACAAACAGAAATGGTGAGGAGGAGGAGTCTGTTAGGTTGTAATAACTCTCCCCAAACTCTTTACCTGATCTTTCTGAATGAACTTTACTACATCCAATCAGCTCGCAGTAGAAAAAAACAAGCCACGCCCACTGTTTTCTCTTTTAATATTCCATACCTCAAGGAACTACGTCACAATGCGAAAAAAAATAATGGTTGCAACCTCTTGTTCATGCAAACTCTAATCGTTTATGAATGACGTAGTTGTGTTTGCTTGTTTTATGAAATGTTATTAATTATTATTAATGTTCATTCAGGCCAATCTGCACGCTCTGATCCACATGAAACCAGCTCTGTCTCATCTGGGGGATAAAGGCCTCCTGCTGCTGTTGAGGTAAAACAGCCTTGGTTTTCTGTTATGCAGTGGGCTTTTTGTAGAAATGCTTCAGAGGCTGATTTATTGTGGTTATTGTTAACTGAAATTATTAAACTTTTTTTGGGGGGTGGGGGGGGGGGGGGGGGGTAGTGTCATTAAAATAAAGGTCAAATAAAATATGAGCATATTTAAAATTAAATTAAACCTTTTTTCTCCATTTTAGATAACATTTAAAAACATTTAAAAATAGGAAGTAGAAATTTCAGTTGCGTTTATTTTAAAAATACTGAATGCTGAAATAATATATTGTGCAGCCCTGACTTGAATATAGGTTAGTTGTCTTTACATCTTTTCTGTCCTTGGTTAAAAACTTGCTCTCACATTGTTAAAATATGAGCGTATATAGAATTAAATTAAACCTTTTTTTCACCATTTTAGGTAACATTTACAAACATTTAAAAATAGAAAGTAGAAATTTCAGTTGTGTTTATTTTAAAAATATATATTTTTCAGTGTTTACTATTTGTTTTGATTTATTTTGGTGCACAGTTAAATTGAAAGACTTGTTTAAATCACTGTAAACGGGATTCATATGGTCATGGAAAACCTGGAAAAGTCATGGATTTTTGACATGGCATTTTCCTGGCCTGGTAAAGTTTTGGAAAAGGGGAGTGAATCTAGAATAATATATAACAAATAAATTACAAGCATAGATAAATAAAATATAGTAAAGATAAAAGTAAATGATAGTTTACAGGTATTCACTATTCAGCTACAGATACTGAATAATTAGCACTGCATAGTCTTCATTATATAGCATTTAATCTTCATTAAATTTACAAGAAATGTCTTGTGGCCGGATGTTTTAAAATTTGAATTATTGGAATATTCACCGTCACAGGCCCTAAAGGTACAGTTCCGCAAAGATTAAAATGTCCTCACTATTTGCTCACACTTCACTTGTTTTAATACTATAGGAGTTACTAAATTATTATCTTTTTGTGTTCATTAAAAAAAAAAAACCTCATAAGTGTTTGAAACAAGTGAAGGGTGTAAATAAAATAGTAAGTAATTTTTGGGTGAACTATCTTTTTAAAAATGCATGCAGATGATGAACTTTTACTCCATTATGATTAAACTCTATATTAAACTATAATCCCAACATTGCATATCCTGCGATGTGACTATTGCGGATGCACACATTGCGATATCGATGCTGAAATAATATATTTTGTGCAGCCCTGACTTGAATATAGGTTAGTTGTCTTTACATCTTTTCTGTCCTTGGTTAAAAACTTGCTCTCACATTGTTAAAATATGAGCATATATAGAATTAAATTAAACCTTTTTTTCACCATTTTAGGTAACATTTACAAACATTTAAAAATAGAAAGTAGAAATTTTAGTTGTGTTTATTTTAAAAATATATATTTTTCAGTGTTTACTATTTGTTTTGATTTATTTTGGTGCACAGTTAAATTGAAAGACTTGTTTAAATCACTGTTAACAGGATTCATATGGTCATGGAAAACCTGGAAAAGTCATGGAATTTTGACATGGCATTTTCCTGGCCTGGTAAAGTCTTGGAAAAGGGGAGTGAATCTAGAATAATATATAACAAATAAATTACAAGCATAGATAAATAAAATATAGTAAAGATAAAAGTAAATAATAGTTTTCTGGTATTCACTATTCAGCTACAGATACTGAATAATTAGCACTGCATAGTCTTCATTGTATAGCATTTAATCTTCATTAAAGTTACAAGAAATGTCTTGTGGCCGGATGTTTTAAAATTTGAATTATTGGAATATTCACCGTCACAGGCCTTAAAGGTACAGTTCCGCAAAAATTTAAATGTCCTCACTATTTACTCACACTTCACTTGTTTCAATACTATAGTAGTTACTAAATTATTATCTTTTTGTGTTCATTAAAAAAAAAAAAAAAAAAACTCATAAGTGTTTGAAACAAGTGAAGGGTGTAAATAAAATAGTAAGTAATTTTTGGGTGAACTATCTTTTTAAAAATGCATGCAGATGATGAACTTTTACTCCATTATGATTAAACTCTATATTAAACTATAATCCCAACATTGCATATCCTGCGATGTGACTATTGCGGATGCACACTTTGCGATATTGATGCTGAAATAATATATTGTGCAGCCCTGGCTTAAATATAGGTTAGTTGTCTTTACATCTTTTCTGTCCTTGGCCAAAAACTTGCTTTCACATTGTTAGTGCCGTGTAAGCATGATCAAAATCAATTTTACATAGATATAAAACAAATTTAAACTAAATAGATTGTTGCATTTACTATGATATGCTGTAATAATTCTGAAGGTCATTGTTTTTTTTATTATAATAATTACATTTCATCATAAAAATGTACTTAAGTTCTATAAAAATTCTTGGAAAAGTCATGGAATTTTAGTAGTAGAAATGTGTGTGAACCCTGTATTATGTAAATTAAGTTATAAATCGTGCTTTCTGTTAAGCAGTGTACTATTTGTAGAAATGTCTTGCTTAATTATAAATCTGTGTGTGAGTGGTTTGTGAAATGAAATATGGAAATGATGAAATATATATTTATTATTTAATATAAGTGAACCATAATTGTAGAGGGGTTTAATGTTTATATTTTGGAGAGACATAACTGATTTAAAATGTTTTTATGTGTTTTATATTACTGGCCATAAACTAAAACATCAAACAAAAATTCAAAATCTTTTAAATATTCCTAATTTTTATTTAACATTTATAACTTTGTTTAATGTCATTTCATTTACTTTTATTTTTCATCTTTATTTTTTTTTATATTTATTTTCTTTTTATTTTGTTATATTCTACTATCATTTGTTCATTGACATTTCGCTTTCATTTTGATGCAGTTTAGTTTTAGTTTAGACATTTAAGTTAAAATAAATCATACATCATATTTATGAAACTTAAATTAATAAAGAAATAATTATAAATGCTACCTGTAATTTATAAGTTTAATTTGCAGTCAGTTTTAATTTACATTCATTTGTTTCTGTTTTTCTGAAAAGATAAAAGCTTCGATAAAATATAAGTATAATATAAATGCTGCTTTGATAGTTAGCAGACATAATTTTATTCAATCTAATAAATAGTTTTTAGTTCATAAACTTTACATTATTTTGCTATTTTTTTTGTGTGCTTCTTCAATTTAAGATTTAAATAAAATAAATGTGCAAGATTTAAATAAATAAAATTTAATATGCGAAGACCCCTTACTGATGCTTTAATAATCCACATTTCACTAACGTTTAAAAAACAAGTCATACAAAGAAAACAAACCGATTTTGTTTAATTTCCAAATGCTAATTTTATCTTGCTAAAGCGATTGCTCTATAATTTGCTCATTTAATGAATGTTCATTTATTAGGCTTATTTATACGAATTTAATTATATATTTAACAGTCATATATAAAGACAAAATTATGAATCTTTTAACTATGAAAAAGTCTTCAGGTTTCAATTTTAAATCCACTTCTAATAAACAAATGTAAATATGCTGAATGTCCTAGGCCTCATTTAAATACATTTACCATCCCGTTCCCATTCCCACACGGACTTCTGATTCACTAGCATCATTCAAACATTCGATCTCTTCTACGATCACCTAAACCCCTGTTAACAAAACCATGACACAACAACCTCAAAGCACTTTTATTGCTTTATTATTGCACTAGTGTGCCTCACACTGGTGAGTGGGCTAGACAAACCACTTGTAGAAGCTGATACTTTAACGGACACTTGCACCGGTTTTGCACGTTGACACTCCAAATCTCTTAAACAAAAGCAAAAACTAATGAAGTGTGCCTCACACAGGTGAGTGGGCTTGACAAACCACCCGTAGGAACACTCTGCCATGTCAAACAAAATCTTCTTCCTTACTCTTGCACTTATTTCTCTAAAAACTAATAGTTTTCTATGTATAAATAGCACTTTTTGTGTCTCTGTCTGTCAAATGCATCTCAAACGCATCACCTAAATGGTTTGTAAGTCACTTTTTCTCTCTCATATATCTGTAGATTTCTTTCCATCCCGAAAGGCTTCTCCTACCTCAACGAAAGAGGCTACGTCAGCAAACAGCTGGAGAAATGGCTCAAGGTGAAATATCAACTTTTAAACTCTGTGTTTTTCTTCCTCTTGACTGCAGTTGTAGTAAACTGTGTGTGTTTTTGCAGGAGTATAATCTGAAATATGTGGACATGATTGAAGAGCAGCTGAATGAAGCTCTTACAACATATCGCAAACCTGTCGACGGAGACAACTACGTCAGGCGCAGCAACCAAAGGTCTAATCACAGCTCATATTCATGCACATTTAGTTTGAAATATGTTTGCAAATTGCTATAACTATTGCACAAATAACAGGTTGGTTCCTGGGGCTCATTAATTTTTGTTATTGGTAATAAATATATTATTATTTAATTTATTATTAATTTGGTAGTTAAATTAAAGCTCAAAAAATATCATTAAGCTTTTAAAAATATCTAAAATAAATGAAATGGCTTTGTTGTTTTGAAGTACAATTTACAAACCTTCTTTAAAAAAAGATGTACAATTATTTTCCATTTATTTTGACAAATTGCATAAAGCGCAACTGAAACAAGCTTGTATAATTATGTAAAATAAATCAAATGTATTTGTTTGTCATTTTGAAGTAAAATTTACTAACATCATTAAAACAGATATAAAGCTATTGATTTAATATTTATTAGATGTTTAATATTTAATAAAGATTTCATAGTGCCTGGGGCAGATTTTTATTTACTTTTTTTATTGTTAACCACATTTATTTAACTTTTTTGTTATTAAAATAAAGCTTAAATAAAATATGAGCTTTATATAAATATCTAAAATTAATAAACTGGCTCTTATTTGTTGTTTTAAAGTAAAATCATTATCAAAATAATTTTTTATTTTATTTTAATCATATATTTATTTTTATGTTTTAATAGAGATTTAAGAGTTCTGATTTATTTTGGTTATTGTTAACTAAAGTTATTTAGTAATTAAAACGAAGCTCAAATAAAATGAACTCATTATTATAAAATTTAAGAAAAAAAACATTATCTTTTTTGTCGTTTTGAAGTTAAATTTCTAAACATCTTAAAAAAAGATAGGTAGCGATTGAATTGATTTATTTTGGCTGCTTTATTTATTTTTGTAACAAAAATTTAGGTAATTTAAATAAAATTCAAATAAAATACAAGCTTGTATAAATATATAAAATAAACGCAATTGCATTTTTTTTTTAATAACATTTATAAACATCCCTAAAACAGGATAGTATGTATTTAAAATTAGAGATTAAAAAATTCCTTGTATAAATATTTAAAATAAATAAAACATATTTTTTCAACATCATTGAATTAGATACGTAGATAGAGATTTACCATCAGTAATTGCATTATTGTTTCCAGAGAATCTGTTGTCAGTTGCAATTATTTTTATTCCCAAAATGCCATTATCATTATTTTTTATGTACTATATATTTATTTTGTGCAAGGTTGAATTGAATGTCTGGTTTAAATCACTATTAATTTGATTACAGAAGTAAATTTATAGAGTTCTGAATAGTATTTTATGTTGATTAATTTTCATATTTTTCATCTGTGTTTTAAATTTTTAAATACATTTAATTGTTGTGTTATTTTGTTATGTTGTACTATTTTTTGTGTATATACTTTTATCTTTAATTTAGATCATTTCAATTAGATTTTTAGATGTTTAACTTAATAAAATGTTCATAATTCATAATTTATATAAATACTACAATTTATGATGCTATATAAATAATGCAGTAATATTACTGGTTTCATTATATATTAATGTGATTCTTAATTTATGCTATATATAAGTAATTATTTAAAATATTTAGATTTTTTTTTATAATTAATCAAGTTTAATATAGTATAACGTATAATAATTCAATTAATATTTGAATATTTAAAAATAATAATAAAATGGCCACAACAGAATTATTCAAACTTAAATAAAATATGAAATCCACAATTCATACACAATTCTAATAATCAATAATTAAATAAAGACTAATTAAAAAGTAGTAATAACTGCTTTGATAGCATGTTAATAATACTAAAATAATATTAATACTTATAGCAATGAAAAGATATATACCTTTTCAATTTGTATTTCATATTTTAGGTTACAGAGGCCAAATGTGTTTCTCCCGGTGCATTTATACGGGCAGCTGGTCCATGATAAAACCGGCTGTCTGCTTCTGGAAGCTCAGGTATCTGATAATGCACTTGCTGCTCACGTAGACTGTAAAATGCTGTGTGTTTTGTGCATTTCATTGTCAATTTTGGTGTGTATTTGTTAGGGGGTTATCCCAGACCTGAGCTACACAGTGCGATCTCCAGTGCTGGATAAATGGGAAGGTGTTAAACAGCTGAAAGCAGCGCTCTGGGCTCTGGTCAGTGGTGCTTTTTACTCTGTGTTTATTGATATGCATTGTTATTAATATTTGTCATTTTGAATGTTTCAGGGCAACATTGGCAGCTCAAACTGGGGTCTAAACCTCCTCCTGGAGGAAAACGTGATTCCTGATATTATTGCTCTGGCTCAGCACTGTGAGGTTTTATCTATACGTGGGTAAGTCTACATTTTATTGAAGTATATCGGATTATAAGTTAATGACTGTGGAAGGCCTCAAAAAAACTTGCAATTTGGGGTCGGCAAGATTTATTTATTTATTTTTATTATTCAACATAGTTGCATTAGTTAACTTAAAGATCATTTATTCATAATAGACTTTTTTAGGGCTGTCAAATGATTTAAACAATTCATGTAATTAATTACACTTTTTTGTAATTAATCATGAATTAATAACAGAACGTAATTAACGTAATTAATCATGATTAATTGCGAAACGGCGTATTTATTACAGATATAAAAACACAGGCATGTAAGTGCCATTTGAATTTCAAAACAATCAATGTCCATAACAAACAAAAATTATTTCCATGTTGGATTCTAAGTGGACTACACACACACACACACACACACACACACACACACACACACACACACACACACACACACACACACACAACATCGGTGAGCGAGGGATCCCTTCAGATTCATCAACACGCACGATCACGTTCATCAAATTTGCTTAAACTAAAAGTTCTAAAGTGTGGCTGTATTTTACAATCGAGACACAGCAACCTGAAGAAGATGCATTTGAGGGCTCATGATGCAGCTTAAAGGAAGAGAAATGGGCTGTCTTTGAAAGCTTGCGACTTTCATTTACATGGACACCAATACTCCAATCTTATGATTAAGATAAAACTGATTAAGAGTCTACCATGTAAGCAGCGATTTTTGATTACCTTAAAGGATCACGCGAGTCCTGAAATGCGGAGGGTTTTTTTTTCCTGTTCGCCATGCGGTATCAAATTCCATTAAGTCATCCTGAATGAAAATATGCTGAATGAAAGTGAACTGCTGAACTGCAGATAAAGTCGAAAGATTAAAAATGAAACACCCGAAATTGCATGGAACTGTGGAGGACACGCTGGATAGCCTGGTAATGCGACATTAATTGTTTTATACTGACACTTTCCTTCTAAAAGCGCGTCCTTGGTCTTATCGAAATTTCTTTGCACATTAAATACACGCAGGGTCGGTGCAAGCTGAAGTAACGCTCTAGGCAAATGACAATCATGCCTCTCTTAACCTGACAGGGAAAAAAAAAAGTGACCAGTTCAAAAGTGAGAACCGTGAGGGTGGGAGTGGGTGTAGCGGATGAAAGTTAACTTTTTTTCACTATTTTGCTGCCCAGTTTGGCCGCCTAGGTTGCCTTTATGGACGCGCCCTCCCTGAACACACGTCGGCCACAACAGGAAAAAAAAAAAACTGCAACTGCAACTGCATTATTTGTGTTATTTATTTTTTTACACATTAAATAATTCTAATTAATGCCATGCGTTAACGCTCTAATTTTGACAGCCCTAACTTTTTTTTTTAAGCCCTAAATTTTTATCATTTTATTATTTTTAATATTTAAATTTATGTGATTGGAAATTGCATTATATATATTTACTCTATCAGGGTCCCCACGGGGTCTTAAAGTGTTAAATTTCAAAAACTAAATTTTAGGCCTTAAAAAGTCTTAAATTCACTGAAATATTTTCTTGTAGGGCTTAAATCATTTTAAACATGTCTCAATTTTCCCTCTGTCCAAGTAAAGCTACCCAATCGCACCGACATCCATCCAATCACCAACAATCCATCTCAATAAAACGTACATTTTTTAAAATATTACTTTTTTGTTGCAAAGAGATACAATTTACAATAGCTGTTTGACTTTTTTCAGCATTTTTTTTCTTAATTAAGTTCCCTAATCAGAGAAAGAAAACTAAAAATAATTACACAATTCCTCATGATAATAACAGATCAACATCACTTTACATCAGGGGTTCTCAACCTATTTCACTTCGGTGCTCACTTTCTCCGATCAATTTTTAAAGGCCCCCCTAATTTCTTTAAAATGTTTGTATGAAATGCTCATTTAAACCTTTATTTATTAACACACACACACACACACACACACACACACACACACACACACACACACTCATACTCATATATATATATGTATGTATATATGTATGTATATATATATATATATATATATATATATATATATATATATATATATATATATATATATATAATGATAATACATATATAATTTTATTAATTAAAATAAATTATTTATTTTTTAACCAAGACAGATTTAAAAAGAACCACGGGTCAACAGGGAGATTGCCAAAGACCAGCTTCTGCTTTAAACTGGACTGACCGATTATCTACTATTAAATATTTGCTATTTACAAATATACAGTACAAATACAATACAAATGTAAAATACAGTAAAACACCATAAATCTGTTGAAACACATCGTTCTGATGGCAGTTGAGTTTGCAGCAGGATATTATTGGGAGATCACTGACAGGAACAGTGAACAGCTCCGCCAGTGCACGTCTGAAGCTTATGTGCAAGTTCATTTTACATTATTTGACAGAAACATCATTGAGCCTCGCTAGATTTTCCTGTAGGGGCGCACGTCCTTTATAAAACACTCACAGGACATTAATCAAAATGTGGATATATTAAATAGTTCACACAAAAATACACGAAGAGAGACTTTCACTTCACGCATAGTTTGTGAATGAACAGACTTGTGTGTACTAGCCGCAGAAGCGGTCATAAGACTGTTTTTCTGCAGAGTTTGAATTAGTCAATCAGAAAACAGGAGAAAGTGCATTACTTCGATCGTTTTAATACAACATATTATAATGAAATCCAAAAATTATAGTATAATATCGAGTGTTTATTTGAAGTGGCCCACCTGCAGGATCGCCATTGCCCATTGGTTGAGAATCCCTACTTCACATGATAGATTAAACTCAATTAATTTGGACCAAAAGTCGACAAATGTATATTTTTGATTATTTATGTTATTGTCTTTCTATTAAATAAACTTTTAATAATGTTAAACTTGTCATTAAAAAAAAGAAAAAGAAACATTATGTTGAAAAAAGTCTATACCGCTAGAGTTTTCTTGTTTTGGCACATTAAAATATGCTGCTAAGCAATAATTACATTTGATTATAAATAATCATTAGTGTTTAGCTCTGTGCAAGTCTAACATTTAATTCATAGTGGTCTTGAAAGGGTCTTAAATTTGACTTGATTAAATCTGCAGAAACTCTGTTTATTTTTTATGGACATTATTTATTTATAATGTTATTTATAAATTAGCAAAATATTATATTTCAATGAGCTTCTGTATTTGTTATTGATTTAAAGTATCATAAAGGGGAAACAAATATGGTCTCTATGAAAATAATCTTTCCAGTCATCCTATGGCCAGTAAGTGACAGTCAGGTGTGTGTGTTTGTGCAGTACGTGTGTGTATGTGTTAGGTGTGATCAGCCGGACGCGGCAGGGCAGTGATGTGCTGAAGGCTTCAGGATGGGACTCCGTTCGTCATAGTCGCAGGCAGCAGTGGCCCGTGGTCCCCGATGAGGTGGAGGTTCCTCTGCCCAGTGAACTGTCCTCCGTCCCCAGCACTCTCAGCCTCAACTCTGAGTCCACCAGCTCACGACACAACAGCGAGAGCGAGAGCCAGCCCAGTCAGTCCATGCACACATTACTCTTCACTTCCTTTTAGTTTACTGAGCTTTACAAAATGTTTTTTGCTACTGTACTTGTTTAACCTCTTAACTGTCACATTCCTGCCACCGGGAAGCTTGTAAGGGTGCTTTCACACCTGTGAATCGATTCAGTTCTTCCAAAACAGAGATTACAAATGTTACATTGTTGCTCTTTGCTCTTGGAGCGGTTCACTTTCACACTGCAAAGTTTCTAATCGGAGCAAAAGAGCTAAAAATAATAAAACTCTTAAATCAAACTGAATTTTCTAGACAAGCAAAACATACCGTCTTGTTTTAAGAAATAATATGCCAAAATTAAGTAAGTTTTTTTCTTAAAACAAGTTAAATAATCTGCCAATGGGGTTAGCAAAATAATCTTGTTTTTCCTTTTGACATAAGATTATTTTGCTTACCCCATTGGCAGATTATTTAACTTGCTTTAAGAAAAAAAACTTACTTTTTTTTCATATTATTTCTTAAAACAAGACGGTATGTTTTGCTTGTCTAGAAAATTCAGCTTGATTTAAGAGTTTTTAGATATTTGGACTAGAAACAAGACAAAAAAATCTAAGTAAGAAAAGCATTTTTTGCAGTGTAGTTCCTCTCACTCTAAAACAAATACTTTAAAAAAGGGAATGATAAAATAAACGGATATTATTGAGACAAATTGTACAGTGGGGGAAAAAATACATCAGCATTTTTCTCAGAAAAACTATTTCTAATGGTGCCGTTGACTTGAAATTTTCACTGGATGTTGATGAAAACCAAAGAAATCCATATATGCAAAGAAAACAAATGTAATTAAATTAATTAAGTTAATTTGTAATAAAATGAAATAACACAAGGAAAAAGTATCGAACACATGAAGAAGTGAGGTGTATAAAGGCAGCGAAAGCCCAGACAGCAGCTGAAATCTCTCAGTAGCAAACCTCAGTCCTTCCACAGTGCAAATGAATATTTGCTGCTTCAGTCCAACATCTGCATTAGCAGGAGGATGAAGATGAACCTAGGTTGGACATTCAGCAAGACAATGATCCAAAACGCAGCCAAGAAGACTTTCAAATGCTTTCAGAGAAAGAAAATCAAGCTGTAGAATGGCCCAGCCAATCGCCTGACTTGAATCCAATAGAAAATACAAATCAACGATCAGATTTGATAAACAAGACCCACAGAACTATTAAGATTTTGACGATCTGTTGAAGTCTGTGAGAAACTCACTGAGAAACACCGGAGAAACGCAGAGACTTCATTCTCCATATGAGAGGCGTCTTTAAGCTGCCATCACCAAAAAAAAAACACATATAACTTATTTTTCATTTTGTTTCATTTTTTGTTTTGTTTAATGTTCGTATTTATGGAGTTTTTACCAAAAATCTGGTTCAATTCCATGTCAAAAGCTCTTTTAGAAATATTATTCCCAGAAAAAAAACATGACATGTTCAATAGTTTTTTCTTCACTGTAAATAAAGAACAGTTACTACAAACTAATTATAATGGAAAATAGTATAAAATAATAAACTAATAATAATAAAATAACTATAAATTAAAACCTAAACTAATGGTGTGTAGAAAATTTGCTATATATAATATAATATAATATAATATTATATTATATAATATAATAAAATATAATTAATATAATATAATTATCAATTATATAGTTTACCACGTTTCACAAAAAGCAAAACTCTTTATATTTTTATATTATTTTGGTAATATTTTTTAAATAATATCAAAATGTTTATAGATGTTCTTAAAGAAATATGATACTAAATTTATTTATTAAACAAGTATTTACATTTTTATTTGTATTGAAATTACAATTTGTATTTAGTTACTATACTCTCAAATTAATCAGTTTTTACAAAATTCTGTGCAGAAATGGCAAAAAATCTCCACAGATTTTATTTTAGGAAGTTTATAATTACAATACATGCATAAACAATCATTGCAATTGTTGCTTCACATCCTTTCTACAACTTCACACGTCTCTCCTACCGCAGGTTTATACTTTATGGATGATGATCGTGAGGGTTTGGACATCTACGAGGACTCCTCCCTCAGCATGCACGCCAAAACCTCCAAAGAGCGCAGCCCGTTCACCATCCTGACCCCTTCGCACCTCCGAAACCGCTTTCTCAACTCACTATCCCTCCCTAGTAAGAAAGGCCGGAGCCCGACGGACACAAAAGGCACCAGTTTCACTGCAAAAACCCCAGATGAGCTCCGGCTCATGCACTGCAACCGGAGCATCGCTGAAGTCGCAAACTCTTCTCCAGGACACTCTGAAGTCTTTTACAACGGTAGCCGAATGCCCCGCAGCCCCACAGTCAGCCTAGAGACGTCATTCGTTGGTATTAAAGCACTAGCAGAGCCGTACGCGACAGATTCTGAATCCAGGAATCAATTTAAAAGAGAACGAAACAGCAGGGAGCGTTTAACCTGCGACGGTGCATCTGTCCTACCCGGCGGCGGGACTTTTAAAAGCCGCAGTCAGAGTTTTAACACGGACACCACCACTAGCGGGATCAGCTCCATGAGCTCCTCGCCATCCCGAGAGCCTGCGATGGATACAGACTGCGCTAGTCTGAACACTGTGGTTAGCGCTAGGACGGTCAAAATGCAGCATTCGCTCAGTCCTAATAATCATATTCTTCTCTCTAAGTCGAATTCCACATCGCTGGTTCCTCCTGGATCGGCGCACACGCTGCCGCGGCGAGCGCAGTCACTGAAATCGCCCTCAGTGGCTACTATTAAGAGCCTGGTGGACTGTAGTTACATGTACACGAGTCCACGGGACGCGCTGGGATACGCTACGCTGAAGCGGCTGCAGCAGCAGAGGATTCACCCATCCCTGTCCCACAGCGAAGCGCTGGCTTCTCCTGCTAAAGACGTGCTGTTTACTGACACCATCACCATGAAGACACGCAGCCTTGACTCACGGCTCACTCCACGCAGGTATGCAACATTCATTTATATTATGTATTTAGACTAGTGTGTATTAACTGGTGTGCACCGTCAGTATAGCACTTATTAGGGCTGCACAATGTTGGAAAAATCTGACACTGCAATATAGTTTTTTCTGCTGCTATTTATTGCGATGTGAATACAGTTACTTGAAAAAACTATTTGGAAACAATTGATCATGTTAAAGTGATTGGAATGATGGACGTGCATTTGCATCAAATATGATAAACAATCTACAGGTAAATAGAAAAATTCAATAGATGAAAACATACTAATTAAATAAACAGCATTCGATAGTTTTATTGTATTCAGGTAAACAGTGTAAAATAATACTATGTAGTCTTTGTTGTATGAATAATTCAATGAAAGGAATCGGTATTCATTTTTTAAAGTTACAAACAGAACAATTTTTTTATGCCTGAATGCTTTTAAAAACTGTCACAGGCCTCAAAAAAGACTTACAAAATGATCAATTGTAAACCAGACTCAACATTGCTTATTTTGCGATGTGACTATTGCGATATCGATGCTGAAACAATGTATTGTGTAGACCTATAGAAAAATAAAATAGAAAATACTGTATTTATTTATTTTTATCATTGTATATTCTTTGTTGTTATTATTATTATTATTATTGATATTAATATCATTATCTTTTACTGTTTATTTTGTCCCTAAATGTAATTTGTGACATTTAGCTTTGGGTTTTAAGTAGATGCGGCTGTATCCTACTCAACTTGAATATGTCCAAGTAATTTTTTAATTTTGTGAGTATTCTAATATATATTAAATCATCTTTGTAATGTATATCATACTTAGTTTGTTATTAATTTATTTTATTGAATTGTTTTTATTGCCTTTGGCAATTAGTTACTATATGAAATAATGGTAGCAAATAATGTTTAGTAGCATTTTTCATTTCAAAATTAGATATGGAATATTATAATATTATAAAATTATTACTTAATTATGTTTGGTAAATGTAATTTTTTTTTCTATCTATCCATCCATCCATCCATCCATCCGTCCGTCCATCCCTTCGTCCGTCTGTCTAGCCATCCATCTGTCTATCCATCTATCCATTATCTATCTATCCATCCATTATCTATCTATCCATCCATTATCTATCTATCCATCCATTATCTATCTATCCATCCATTATCTATCCATCCATCCATTATCTATCTATCCATCCATTATCTATCTATCCATCCATTATCTATCTATCCATCCATTATCTATCTATCCATCCATTATCTATCTATCCATCCATTATCTATCTATCCATCCATTATCTATCTATCCATCCATTATCTATCTATCCATCCATTATCTATCTATCCATCCATTATCTATCTATCCATCCATTATCTATCTATCCATCCATTATCTATCTATTCATCCATTATCTATCTATCCATCCATTATCTATCTATCCATACATTATCTATCCATCTGTCTATCCATCCGTCTATCCATCCCTCTATCCATCCCTCTATCTATCCGTCTATATATCCATCTATCCATCTATCTATCTATCTATCTATCTATCTATCTATCTATCTATCTATCTATCTATCTATCTATCTATCTATCTATCTATCTATCTATCTATCTATCTATCTATCTATCCATCTATCCATCTATCCATCCATCCATCCATCCATCCCTGTCTGTCTGTCTGTCTGTCTGTCAATTGATTTTTAATAGTTTTATATAATAAAAAATAATTAAATATACAAGTATTTTGTGCCATTATCTATATTTTTTTCCAAAATAAGAAATTATGTTATATGCTTGTTGGTGAATTTGGTTTAAATCATGACTTGTTCTTGACATGTTGTGACATTCACCCATGTACAAACGTGCAGCTGGAGATCAGGGTGTTTTTGCTGGTCCTCAGGTGTTCTCCTAAAAGGTATTTTGGGCCGTTCAGCTCCAGTCGCAGACTGTCCAGAACATTTGTGCCATGGTGGGTAGAGTGGATCAAAAGTACAGTGCCCTCTTTAGCTTTGACCCACAGAAGAGTTCCTATCATAGAAAGACTGTAGAGTACAAAAGAGCATCCCGTCCTGTGTGACAGTTCCTGTCCCAGTCAGTGTCCCCTAAAAACTGTAGATTCTCCATCTGTCAGTCATTCATTCACATTTCATAGTGAGTTAGTGACTGAATTTTGATGTACCTGAAAGACTTGGTCAGATATTGCTGAAAAACCGTGAACCTTGATAAGTGCTGAGCGATTAATCAAAATTGAATTGCAATCACATTTTGAAGCATGACAATTAGCTAATCACAAAAGGTTGCAATGCTAATCCAATTTAAATATATTAACATGACATAAATATGTATCCAAGCTTGATTAATATTCAGAAACCCAACCGATAATTTTTTTGGGCCCCTGTTTATTTTTCCCCCAATTTCTGTTTAAAGGAGAGAAAAAAAATTCAACACATTCCTAAACATAATAGTTTTAATAACTCATTTCTAATAACTGATTTCTTTTATCTTTGACATGATGACAGTAAATAATATTTGACTAGATATTTTTCAAGACACTTCTATACAGCTTAAAGCGACATTTAAAGGCTTAACTAGGTTAATTAGGTTAACTAGGCAAGTTATTGTATAATGATGGTTTTGTTCTGTAGACTATCGAAAAAAATTGCTCAAAGAGGCTAATAATATTGTCCCAAAAAAAGTTGTTGTTTTTTTTTTAAATTAAAAACTGCTTTTATTCTAGCCAAAATAAAACAAATAAGACTTCCTCCTAAAGAAAAAATATTATCAGACATACTGTGAAAATTCCCCTGCTCTGTTATACATCATTTGGGAAATATTTAAAAAAGAACAAAAAATTCAAAGGAGCGAATAATTCTGACTTCAACTGTAGGCTTTATTCATATAGATGGTTAATAAATCTATAGATAATTAAAGCATCTTGAATTCTCTTCGTTTAAAGTGTGTGCTGCACACTATTGAAGACATTGAGCTGAAGCGTGACTTCACAAAATTAAATCACAAATCAAATCACAATTTTAAAGTCAGAAAAATCCAAATTAGATATATCCCCGAATCCCATAGCCCTAACCTAGATGATGTAGTGCTGATGATAACTCTACTCCTGCAGGTCCTACAGACTTTGTTGGTGTTGTGTGAAGGCATGGGCCGGTTTAAGATTCTGACGGTATAATAACCTTGGATAAAAATGTCACGGGATCACGGTATTGTGATTACTGCTCTAAAATATATTCTTTTTAAATGTCTGTGTAAAAAAACTAATTTTGAACACAAAATATTCTATTTTGAGAAACATTTATAATATTTTGGAGCAGTTAAACATGTTAGGATAAATAATGAAAATGAATCATTGATTTCTGCTGTCTTCGATAGTTTCAAAAAGACTGATTTCTTTATTATTTAAATTGGCATCTTTGGATATTTTTCTGCTGGAGATGCTGTTGTTAAAAAAATGTAAATAAAAAAAACCTACACATACTTTAGGAACGGTATTACAGAAAATTTTTGCGGTGTTAAAACCTTGACTTTTCCAAACCATGGTATACCTCATCCCATGCCTAGTTGTGTCATTAGTTGTGTTGTGGTGAATTATTATTATTATTATTATTTAAATAAAAAATTACAGCCTTGCCAGTGGGTTGATCAGATGCTGATGTTTGTTTAATGTGCCATAATCATCTTGTGACAAGGGTCCATTTAAGTAAGGTAATGGCTGTTTGGTTTCCAACACTTGCTGTACTATACGTGGTTGACCAATCACAACTATCTGAGCAAATTAACTGACCAATCAGAGCCAAGTAGAGTCTCTGTTAGGCAGGATTTAGAGAAACTGGACCTGAGAATTGAGATGTTTGAGCTAATATTTTGCAGTGCATGTGCTTGTGTTCACTCCTCTCACAGGTTTTTGAAAGCTCTGAGTTTTGCGTCTCTGGATAAAGAGGACTTGTTGAGTCCCATCAATCACTCCACTCTGCAGCGCTCCTCTTCCCTGCGCTCCATGGTCTCTAGCGCCACCTTCGGCTGCAGTGAGGACTACATCGGTCTGGCACTGCCCTTGGACATCAACAATATGTTTCAGGTACAATTTTTTTGGTGGTGTAGAGTATATACAGTTAACATCTAAATTATTAGCTCTCCTGTTTTTAAATATTTCCCAAATCATGTTTAACAGAGGAAGGAATTTTTCACAGCAGTTCCTATAATATTTTTTCTTCTGGAGAAAGTCTTATTTGTTTTATTTGGGCTAGAATAGAAGCAGCTTTTTTTTTTACCAATATTATTAGCCTCCTTAAGCAATATTTGTTTTCGATTGTCTACAGAGCAAACCATCATTATACAATGACTTGCCTAATTATTCTAACTTGGCTAATTAACCATGTTAAGCCTTTAAATGTCACTTTAAGCTGTATAGAAGTGTCTTGAAAAATATCTAGTCAAATATTATTTACTGTCATCATGGCAAAGCTAAAATAAATCAGTTATTAGAAATGAGTTATTAAAACTATTATGTTTAGAAATGTGTTGAATCAATATTTGTGTTAAACAGAAATTGGAGAATAAAACATATACAGTGGGGCTAATAATTCAGGAGGGCCGATAATTCTGACTTAAACTGTATATCATTTTATTTATTACAAAACAAAACAAACAAAAATAATATGATCATTTAAAATCAGATTAAAAAAAGTTCATTGTTGTGCCTCTACTGTGTATGACATGTAGTTCTGATTGCATGACTTATTCAGAAGGATGCTTTGAGATCATGCAAATTTTTTTAACAGTTTGATGAGGAAAAGATTAAAAAAAAAATGCTAGTAGCCTTTGTGTCATGTTAATTGTGCTGTGTTTGTATTTTTTTTTTTTAGATTAAAGAAACGTCATATTTCCAGAAGAGAACGAGTCCTCCAGCTGGAGATAAATCATCAAAATTTAATTTTGGGGAATCAGATGGTACGACTTTTACTTTTCTTTTCAGAATTATTATTAACTCTCTGATGTTCCTTATATGGGAATCACACTTGTGATTTTAGCCAAACAAAAAGGGGCGAAGGCTTCTAAAATACCCTGTTTTTTTTGGTTTTGTTTTTTTGTAAAATCAATCAAATTTATAATTGTTTAATAATGTTTTTTCTATATCAAAACATCATGTTTCTCTATTGAAAGCAATATGTATTTTTTATGTTGTAATTAAAATTTTTTAGTTATTGCTGTCTAAAAAATGTTTGGTCTAAAATGACCGAAGACTATCAAAGGCTTAATGACCATAATATTAATGATTAACGTTATATATCAATAAAAATATAACCATAATCATTAATAATATTATGTTTATATTTCAATAAAAATACACTGTTTTATATCAGTTTAAGAGTGTGTAAGCTGTTTGGAAGTCTCTCATCACAAAGGTATTTATTTTATCAAAGTTATAGTAAAACAGGAATCATTTGAAATATTATGATTTAAAATGTCAATATACTCTTTTTCGGACCGTTCTCTGTAAACCCAAGAGATGGTTGTGTGGGAAAATCCCAGTAGTTTAGCAGTTTCTGAAATACTCCAATCAACCATGCCACATTCAAAGTCATTTAAATCACTTTATTACTTTAACACATTAGTGCCCAATAATGGGTTTTATTTCTGTATCCCAATCGCGAACGAATCATTCTTTTTAACCAGAATTCTAAGTGAACCGGTTGGACTAATTCACTAAATCAAACTGAGTCATTTGCCACAGCCGTATCACCCTGACCAGGCTAAGCAGGGCTGAGCCTGGTCAGTACCTGGATGGGAGACCACATGGGAAAACTAGGTTGCTGTTGGAAGTGGTGGCCAGCAGGGGGCGCTCAACCTGTGGTCTGCGTAAGTCCTAATGCCCCAGTAAAAGTGAAGGGGACACTATTCTGTTTCAAATTACATTTGAATCAATTCGCGTCTCCAGTAACATTAAGCACTTATCCACAAACTACTTCCTTTTTAACATGCCTGATACCCCCCTCTTGCTCGAAATTTCCCTAGATATTCAGCTGTTATGCTGTGTTCACACCAGACATGGAACACGTAAATAGACATGTGCACATTTGAGTTTACTCGCTTTATTCTCACATCAAAATCTGCTTCATTCGCACGTCAAATCTGCTTCAGAACAGACGCAAATTTGCATCATAGATTTTATTGAGAAAATAACTGTTTATGTGCTTTATGGATGCTGAAAATCAGCATCGATATGTTTGGAGCCGTGTCTGAGTCCACTAGATCCTTTCACAGGTACACCCAGCTCTAAGAGTTCATAAACTCCTCTAGAAACTTAACCTGGATGATGGAAGCATTCAGCTTGGATGTCTATTCGTGTCTTTGCATTGACTAAACGTGTAAATAACTCACGCTTGACGCTTCCGCGTCTGGTGTGAGTGCAGCATTAGAACAGTGCACAGAGATCAGATCTGAGAAGGGATGAACAAATAATACTGCACATGCGTGATTCAGTGAACCGAACACAAACAGTACATGACAGCTTGCTGTGACTGAACTAATCGAGAACAACTGCAGCACGGGTAAACCGAGGGTCTGGTAAAACCCAAGTTTATTTTATACAGTGTTGGTACGTTAACGTGCTGCAATAACGCGAGACTCTTATCGAGTGATAAAAAAATCGCCGTTAATCTGTTCTCAAAGTTGGGAGCTGGGTCTGTTCTACGCAAGCTGTGATGACTTTAACCTTGATATTTTAGCGCGGATGTATACCTGACCGAGAGCCGTCTGACAAACAAATGCTCTTCTGAATCAAATCAGCAGGATGCCCTTCTGGATCTTTCACTTAGGTCGAAGACGCTACTGACCACGCTTACGTGGACATCTGTAATCTAGTTATTTGCCTTAATAGACAATAATATAATTAAGGTGTTTACGTGAAGTGCTTTCATGAAAGAGTTTCCTGTAATTTTGGCTGACTTTAACTGCAGATTAGCAGTTTCACTTTAACTCATGAACTTTTCTTTCATGCCCCTGTGTGTTTGTGTGTGTTTGTGTGTGTTTGTGTGTTTGTGTGTTTGTGTGTTTGTGTGTGTGTGTGTGTGTGTGTGTGTGTGTGTGTGTGTGTGTGTGTGTGTGTGTGTGTGTGTGTGTGTGTGTGTGTGTGTGTGTGTGTGTGTGTGTATATACGGTCTTTTACTGATAGCCGCGTGTGTGGATCTTGTCGTAAAATATGGTGAAAAGTCCTACATGATGGTAATAGTTTGGTCGCGGTGTTTACTACATTAATGCCACTGATATCTGCATACGCCACATGTCTTATTTCCAGTTCTGTTTAGTTCAGCTATGACTTTAGTCGGATTAAGGTGATTAAAAATCGCTGTTTGGAGCTTAAGTAGCCCTACAGTTTCAAATAGTTCAAAAAATCATATTTAACTGAATAAACAGTTAGTAAACACAAGTACATCTTATTGAACATCATTTATTTTCATCACCAATTTTCGTAGCAGAACAGTTTCTCAAGCAGTTTGTGATGCATTTTGGAAACAGGAGATAAGCCCCTGGTCTAATGCGCCACCTGGCTTGAGAAACCCGTTCTCAAAGACTTACTTTCAGTCATTATTTGGGTAGCACACATATTCTGAATGCCTTCGGCAGAATTCAAATGAGCCATTTTAATGTAGATTAATTCCATGATTACAGTGAGATTAATCTAGGTTAAAATGCTCACCTATAATTTTATAACAGAAAGTCTAATGGAGTTTAAATAAGTGAATCATCCTTTAGTTGGGTTGCAAAACTTAACTGTAAAAATGTTTTCAGATCATGGTGATGTTTTAACTGACTGAAATTATGATTATTGACTACATATATTTTATATGTTGAGTCCAAACTTGGGGAAGATTGTCACTTTACTTGTTTCAAACCTGTTTGGATTTCTTTCTTCCATTGAACACAAGATATTTTGAAGAAAGCTGAAGACCTGTAACCATTGACTTCCATAGTATTTATTTTTCCTTCTATGGATGCAGATTTTTAGAACTCTTCAAAATATCTTCTTTTGAAAACCACAAAAAATTAAAACCACTTGAGAGTTGATACATTTAAATTTTTTCTGTGAACTTCCCCTTTTAAGGAGGCCTGTTATGCCCTTTTTACAAGATGTAAAATAAGCTTCTGATGTCGCTATGTGAATGTGAAGTTTCAGCTCAAAATAGCACACAAATAATGTTTTATAACTCTGCAAAGCTGCCTCTTTTAGGAATCCTCATTATGGCGATTTGGTGACTGTCGCTTTAAATTCAAATGAGATTTTGCTCTTTTCAAAAGGGGGTGGAACTACAAATGCCTGTGTGTCAGCATAGCGGCAGATTCAAAACTCTAATAGCAGATCGCTGCTACTCACTCGGGGCTAATTATGCTAATGAGGGATAGTCACAAATGAGCGGGGCTTTCCCTCTCTGGTGACATATACAAAGGGAGAATATCAATCAGAGTGTTTCAGCAGACTGTTTTTATCCAGTGTGATTATAAAAAATAAAATGAATTAATTTTTCCCATTAGAGGCTGGCTATATTCACACACTGCTGACACACAACCCCTTACAAAAGTGACTTTTGCGTAATAGATCTCCTTTAATGTCTTTAACAGGAATGTTGAATGCTTAATAATATTAAAACACTTCATCTGTGTGGTGTTTTTTGCATATCTGCACTCTCAGGTTTTCTGGAATCGTGTCGTGGCCCTCCACTGAAGCAGCAGGTGAGCATCACAGAGCTGCTAAACAGCAGCCGGTCAGAGCAGCACCACCTGCTGGGGGCAGAGGAGACCACAGGCTTACAGGAACACACAGAGCAGAACTGCCTTTACTGCAGCGCGATCAACGCCCTCGGCTCTCACACACACAGCCACCTGAACAACACGCACAATCACAATGGTGAGAAAAAGTCCTTGTGGATGTTTATAAATCATCCTGCTGTTTTAGAAAAAGAGTGCATAAAAATGTGTAATCAAAATATAAACAACATTATTAATTTTTTTCTATGTTGTATTAGCATGTCTATTAGAAATGATTGGTTGTATGTTTGGTATTGGTTGGATGTTGGTTTATGATCATTTTGTAATTGTTGTTAATGATGTGCACGCTGATGTTTATGGAAGCCAGTTCCAGCCACTGATTAAAAGCAAAAAAAGGTTATTGCGAGTTTTTATCTCAAAATAGTGTGATACATGCGTGTAATTCTGCCTTTTTTCTCAAAATTGTGAGATGTCAACTCAAATTTGTGAGCTATTAAGGCAGAATTGTGAGGGGGGAAATCAGATTACTAATAAATAAAGTCTCAATTGTTTGATAATGACATGTCTGAGATAATTCTGAGTACGTCTGAATGCTGACTCTTAAATATATAGAGTTAAAGTCAGAATTATTAGCCCCCCTTTCATTTTTTTCTTTTTTTTTTCTTTTCAAATATTTCCCAAATTATGTTTAACCGAGCAGGGAAATTTTCACAGTATGTCTGATAATATTTTTTCATCTGGAAAAAGTCTTTTTTGTTTTATTTTGGCTAGAATAAAAGGAGTTTTTAATTTTTTAAAATCCATTTTAAGGTCAATATTATCAGCCCCTTTAAGCTATATATTTTTTCGATAGTCTACTGAACAAACCATCATTATACAATAACTAGCCTAATTACCCTAACCAGCCTAATTAACCTAGTTAAGCCTTTAAATATCACTTTAAGCTGTTTAGAAGTGTCTTAAAAAATATCTAGTCAAATATTATGTACTGTCATCATGACAAAGATAAAATAAATCCGTTATTAGAAATGAGCTGTTAAAAGTATGTTTAGAAATGTGTTGAAAAAAAAAATCTCTCCGTTAAACGGAAATTAGGGGAAAAAACAAGGGGGCGCATAATTCAGGGGGGCTAATAATTCTGACTTCAACTGTATATCTCACAATTATGAGAAATAAGAGGAGAGTTATTGTTATTTATTTACTTTTTTTATCGTCAGTTAATACATCACAACATTCTAAAACAGTCTCAGCTATACAGTAGGAAATAATGGGAAATATACAAACAAGTAAACAAGATAATACAGTCAGGCTGGGAGCTAAATGTGCACCATAGCATAGAAAATCAAGAGAAATTATTTATGTAATGCAAAAAAGGTGTCCTCAGCTGATAAAAATAATCAGACTTTTGATGCATGTCATAGGTGAGTTTCTTAAATGAGAATACCGTACATGCTTGAGTCAACCACATTTTAAAGAGGGTACCTGAAGAGATGACCACAATAAAAGTATACAATTCTTTGCCAGATAAACCCAGATTAAAAACAAATGCTTGGTGTGGGAGACCAACACATTCTCTAATCCAGATTTGAGAGCTATAAAGTAGTTTAATTTAATGTAGTGTTAAAGACTCTTCAGATCTCTGCTCGCGAGCCCAACAGTTGGACCAAACGGTGCAAATGACGTAGCCTAATTAAAAAAAAAGAACAAATCCATATGAATAAATGGACAGTAGCCTAGTTCAACAACTCCTTTCCTTTCTGAAAGTAGGATAAACAGTTGGATATATGCTTTATATTTTGTGATTTCTCCAAAAACCTAAAGATTGCTATGTTATTTATTTACCCCCTCTCCTCCTCCGCCTATGCCAGATCTGTCTGATGGTTTCTCTCAGTGGCACAGTCAGCCATCCCATAATCACCTGGAGGTGGTCACTCAGTCCAAGTTCTCCGGGGTGTCGGGCTGCAGTGACGCGGCCGTCAGTCAGGGCTCCGCCTGCAGCACTCCCAGCACTGAAATCATCCTGGGTGAGTGAGGAGCAGCGCTGGTTCACTTTCACCTCTGTCACATTCTGATGCTAATTCTCAAACAGAGACCAAGCCACTGCTTACACTTTTCACAACTCATGATTTCTGCAGTTGACAGTAATTTTTGCTGGTATATTAGTGAACATCTGGGTTTAACGTTTTAAAAGTTTTCATTCGAGTCAAATGAACTGTTCCTATAAAGGTTTCTTATCAAAGAGTAAAGAAAAACAGGGAACATTTTTATCTCAAAGAACCACGCAGAATAAAATACTTCATAAATATAGCAATTCAAATAATGAGATAAATAAAAATAGTAAGCATGAGAAAAATAGTTAAGTTACAGTTATGAGAGCAATATCTGTTATTGTTTTCAAATCAAATCAAATTGAAAATGTTTTAGTGCAGACTTTTAATTGGTTTTGAAATTAGTGTTCGTATTTAATGAAACAAACAAGATGTGCATTACCTGCAGACTGTCTGCTTTTTTCAGGGTATTTACATCCAAATCAGGTGAACGCTGTAGAAATTACAACAGTTTGCATATCTGCCTCCCACTTGTTAAGGGTCCAAAAGTAACTGGACAGA